ACCCCATTCTATCACAACGCCGCTTATTATTCATGACAACAACGTAGTAGTTTTGCAAATTGAATACATATGTAATTACGAATCATCACTTATCGCTTTTCCATAACAACATCCAGTAGAAAAGAGTAGGAGAACAACTTGACAGCATAGTCGATGTTGAACAAGTCATGTCTTAAAAATGCTTCATTCAGATCGCTCCATTGGATCACACTGTTTCTTTCTAATCCATTGCTTTCCTTCGTCAAAAATGGATGGAACAGATCGTTTTTTTTCTCATGCCTTATACTGTACAATGGACTATTATGCATTCAATGAGGCGTTACTTTACTCTAGCCACGTATTTTATACGTTGCCGCCTGAAATTGCAATGGACTAAATTAAAAGTTGTTTAAATTCCTTGATCTAACTTTCAAAATAGCAATACTACCGTACAACGGGCTATACTCTGACAACAGTCTATCCACCGAGTAAGACGGTATTACAAGATTGATGAACTTGATAAAATCATCCATCCAAAAGGGCTTGCTTGTTGTCACTTTCGACTTCTTCATGCCCTATTTGGTATATTAAAGCTGCAAAGTAACTTATTGATCCTTTGATGACGAAAATAGACTTGTATACTGTATTGGCGTTCTTGGAGAGTCCCCAAAATCAATCTACCAGATAACCTCTACACTATTGTCGTCTTTAACTTCTCTAACCAACGCTGTAGGATACCGTACAAAAATAATCTTCTTTTTTTCTTTGGGGGTGGATGGCACGATATCCCCAACCTAATTGGTAATTACATTAAGCTGTAATCCATTTTTTACTACATGCTCGTATACAGTACATTAGTCAATCAAGGTAGAATGGACAATAAGTAGTCGTGATATGAAATTGATATACTGTCATAGGTGGATGCATTTTGCTATTCTATTCGTTCTATTATCACACAACTTGGACGCCATGCTATCGATAGAGACTTGAACATGAATGATCGTCTTGTCTTTTTACATATTCACCACGAGACCGATAAACTACGCCAAGTTGTATGGTAGTGAATAAAATATGTACATCAAATATGAAATTGATATACTGCAATAGGTGGATGCATTTTGCTATTCTATTCGTTCTATTATCACATAACTTGGACGCCATGCTATCGAAAGAGACTTGAACATGAATGATCGTCTTCTCTTTTTACATATTTACCATGAGACCGATATACTACGCCAAGTTGTATGGTAGTCTTGGTAGAGAATAAAATATGTACATCAAGCTTTGCCTAATTACTACATCAATGAGAATGCAATATAATCGTCATTATTATTATTTCTACAATTTACGTCAGGGTTAGAAGAGTTTACCATTGAATCTATATCGACTAGTCTTAGCCTGTTTCATCATAATTCTAGTCCATTCTTCTCCAATAGTAATCAAAAATGACTTGCAATGGTGCAATAAATGGAATCGCTATACTGTTGAATAGCCATTTGTTAAGAGGGATCGAAATAATTGCCAGTATACGCGTAGGTCCACTTTGCTAGTAATCGATTATTTGTTCTCCTTGTATTTAAAAGAATCATCATAAAGTAGTCCTGCTGCATCATCATTAGAAAGGCTAATTGTCCTAGTTTATCCTCAAACTGATACTATACAATATCCCCATCATGATCGTCGTTGTATACCTACATTCACTGTATTATATACCATAGATTGATCAAGAATTTCTCCGTTGTTAATCATAACGAGGAGAGACGTAACTTTACCGATAGGTCAATTAGTTTATTCTACTAAGTAATTGGTCAAGGTAACTGTCGACCACAATTTATACAATTATGGACTGTTCGGTAGAGAGATGCATCTGTTGATGTTGTATCTATCTCCTACTGCGCTCTACAAAATTACATCTCTCGATCCTATTGAAAATTCATCCATAAGACATGCCACCTATGATTGCTGTTGGGCCTGGCTTATTCATGGCCTCAATGAACTACTATACTGTATAATAATTGTAAAATTGATCTTTTTTATTTTGGCCCTTATAGTCAACTAATAATCAAAGTCGAAACTTAACCCTACTTTAACGCGATCATTTTGAATACAGTCCAAGATCTACTTATGAATTATTATTGATTCGCATTCCTCGTCATTCTTGTCGGGTGCTACTACATCGCCATTCGTTATTCTTAATTTCTTCACTTCTGAACTTGTATACTATGATAAGATTCGAAATCAGTTAGAAGGAGAATTTCCTTCAAGAGAAGAAGAAAAATATCCTTATCAAGTTTACACTAGTGCATACTAGGTGTTGATCCAAAAAATCATGATTCCATTCAGATAATATACAACTGGACAATCTATCATCCACTTCCAATTGAAAATTCCATTTTTTCTCATAGTCAAAATACACCATCATATCGTCTTGAAGTATTCCACTTCTCCATAGCACTAGATATAGATCTATCATTTATTAATTAGAACTCATATTAATAATTACTCATTCATTATTTTAAAAGCATATATACATCTTTCCACTGTCTTTGAGTAGTAGTCATCTACACTGACTATCTATCCAATCGTACTTCAATTCTCGTTAGTCATAATTATTTAACGAAACTAATCTCCACTAATAACTACATTCTACTACTTCAATCTTGTACGACTACACTCAAATGGAAACATCACATTAGAGTGGATATCATGTCACAAGTTTGTTCTCTCCATTTCCACGATTATGGCCTTGTTTAATCCATGCCAACCCTTTCTACATTCGCCACTGAAGTTAGATAGAAACGAGAAATAAATAGCCAACACTACAACACTGTATTGGCTATCAAAATAGAATGTAAACTTTGTGGTGAGATGATACTTTCTCAAATGACCGCAAAAGAAAATTTGTTTTCATGATGATAAGAATGATCATGATTGTAAAAGATTGAGTAGGACGCTAGAAGAAAATTGTCCATTTAATCTATCCCAAGTACAGCTTATAAACTATGGAAAAAATAATCCAAAATCAAGGATAACAATAGCAATAGCCGTTCTATTCTATTTAGAATGGATCTAATGTATTTTTTTACAATCCATTTTATCCATTTACAGTTATGATAGACGCGCATTGCTACTGTGCTGTTGTTGTTGTGGATAAAGAAAGTCTAGAGTTTAACCCTTTGCTAGTTTTTTTCAATTATGGCGTATCAAAGGCATACGTGATCTTAGCTTTTACAATTGTCCCACATTAATAGGATTCATCTTCTATCGATCATGTATTATCTTGACAGTTTCCTGACTATTAAATCGACACCATGGTACACAATGAGGGACGGTAGCATTCGTCCGGAAAACCCACTTTGATAAAATTGCATTTGCCTGGGCTTTCTATTACACAACAGATTGGTGATTTAAATCTTTACTCTATACTAGAATGCAGCAAGGGGATCATCCTATTGCCATTGTAGACAATTGACATCCTAATTAATGGCTAAAGGCTTTATTTTTCTGTAATATCATACCATGCTTCCATGTTGATGGATGGACGATCCAATTCTTAGAATAAAAAAAAAACTTTCTAAATAACGTCTTCTTAGCAGTCCTACCTGTGCTATCGATTTCATGATCCGATACATTTTTAATGCGACAATATTGAAATTTAGTGATATTGACAATGTCTTCAGATGGCATCACTAAACCTCACTGAGTCGAATAAGACGGATAGGACGAATCGGTTGTTGAAAATCAGTCATTATTAATATCTTCAAGGCTTCATCAAGACATTTTCATTGATATAGATGAAGTAGAGAAACATAAATACCCACATTTCTACTTTATTATACTGTATTCATCTAGCATTGATGTTGACATTATTTCCTTTTTCCCCTTTCTACATTTCATAATAATGCTTGGCATTTCTATCAAATCTGTTATTGATGAATGCCATGTGCACTGCTTACACTGACCTATTCATTATGCGAACATTTCAAGCAGCTTTCTTCATGTGAATAACACACATTGGAAAAAGGATAATTATTATATCGTTCCATTTAAAAACAAAAAATACGACTTGATGAATTGATTCATATCATCTTAAAAAGGTTCTGTGGGTAATAGTGCAAGCAGCTTGCTTCATGTCAATAACACACATTGGAAAAAGGATAATTATTATATCGTTCCATTTAAAAACAAAAAATACGACTTGATGAATTGATTCATATCATCTTAAAAAGGTTCTGTGGGTAATAGTGCAAGCAGCTTGCTTCATGTCAATAACACACATTGGAAAAAGGATAATTATTATATCGTTCCATTTAAAAACAAAAATACGACTTGATGAATTGATTCATATCATCTTAAAAGGTTCTGTGGGTAATAGTGCAAGCAGCTTGCTTCATGTCAATAACACACATTGGAAAAAGGATAATTATTATATCGTTCCATTTAAAAACAAAAATACGACTTGATGAATTGATTCATATCATCTTAAAAGGTTCTGTGGGTAATAGTGCAAGCAGCTTGCTTCATGTCAATAACACACATTGGAAAAAAGGATAGTTATTATATCGTTCCATTTAAAAACAAAAATACGACTTAATGAATTGATTCATATCATCTTGAAAGGTTCTGTAGGTAATAGCGCAAGCAGCTTGCTTCATGTCAATAACACACATTGGAAAAAAGGATAGTTATTATATCGTTCGATTTAAAAACAAAAAAATGACTTAATGAATTGATTCATATCATCTTGAAAGGTTCTGTAGGTAATAGTGTGATGGGGATTAATTAGCACATATTTTATTCAAATATAAAACTGTAAAAAAAATAGGCCAATTATTAGGCATGACTTATTTTTGCGCAGAATTTTTAATCAATGCTATTAAAAAAAACTACAGTAATGCCGTTATTTTGACGATCTTCCATTATGTACCTCTATCATTGGCTATTCAGAAATGTAAACTAACGTACTATACATAGATTTTTAATGATCTTGTATCGATTAATATTACTATTTATAGGAAAGTATGACTGTCATCAAGACTAACTTCAAGGTAGACAGCGATGGATTTTTTGTCTCATGGACAGAAAACAAGGTTAAGTGGAATACCTATCAGAGTATCTCTAGCCAATAATCATCAAACTGTAGTTGTTTCATTAATTAGACTTTACATTTAAAATAATATGATGATTTTAATTTCCGCTATTTGACATTGCCATTGCTTAGACATATGATACATAGACAATCTACCCATCTTTTACAACAATAGTTAGTATTACTAGAAAATTAATTAACGGCTGTATACAGTATATACCTTATAGACCAGATATTGATTAGCCTTTGTAATAGCCAAAATTGGCAAATGTCTGTTAATCTCAATCTCAATATATTCCAATAGGTTATTCTATACAATTGTTATCGATACAGTAGTAATTACTGGTGATATTATTGAGTGCAATCTTATTGAATCATAATACGGAAAAGGAGCCAAGTAATAATATAGCTTTTAAATAATATTATTATTCTCATGGCATATATCATTCTACTTTCTTGTCTATTGTGTGCAATAGGAAGGGATGTGCTTGGATATGTTTATGATCAATGAAGCTAAAAATGGCACGCTACCAAAGGTAACTTCATTCATAGTATGGCTAGGTAGTTTCAATTAGCGGACATCAGAAAAAATCAATGCACTAGCTTACAATCATCCTAATTAATGGTAATACGAATGCTTTTTATACTTGCAATTGGACCTGAAAAAGGCCCGGTTCAGTTCAATGCTGTTATTAGCTTTACAGGTCTACTTGTAATAGGTTCATAAGATATGAAAAAGCGCAATGCTCGATTTCAATTCAAAGGCCTTTAATCTAATAACATTATTTCCCCCTTATGTCTGCCGATATTGTAATCGGAAGACTTTAGGGATACAATTTTAATATATTATTCCACCAAAATAGTACTGTAGCTAAGAATTTGACCCTTACTTTTATGACAACCCAGTGGAAAACAACAACCATAGTTATCCCTGATATTGAAAGTTAAAAAATTTGATGGCAATCTACAGTAAACTAAGATTAAAATTATGATTTCTTTACCTCACGCCATTTCATTTTAAAAATAATACATATATATATTTAATTTTAAGGTCTAGCCCACAATTTACATAATATATACTCGTACTGTTTAATAGGAGTCATATATATACAAAAACTTTCTAATGGCATTTATAAGTACTGGATTAATGTAATGCAACATACGAACGTATATATATACGTTAGCTTTTAATAATTAATTCACTCTAATATTTAGAGTAGCACTATTGGCAGAAGGTAATCATTTTTGCCTTATGCTGTACTATAAAAATACTTACCAGAATCTATTCCTAGTATGGTATTGCTATAGTTTATTTGTTTAATAAGTGTGATGATGTTATTAATGACGTACTTATATAACACACCTTTTGTATAGTAGCGTAAAACCATCAATTGAGGCGCAGTAAATAACCTATAGTTGCATTCCCTAAACTATTGCTATAGCGCATATGCACGGTATAATTTTAAATTATAATAGTACTGTATTGGCATTGTTGACATTTATCATGGTTGATGACTGTTACAAAATGTAGGTCATTTTACTATCTATTTTTAATTCTAACAAGTACATAAATATGGTGTTACTTTAATTAACGCATCGCTCGTTTCTTACACCAAGACTTAACTTACACATGCATCATGTAGTGCTCATTCTATAGAGAGTACTGCTACTGACTATACTATATTTAGTTAAATATCTCTTGCCCGAACATTATTTACCAATTTCCTCGGTGATAAAATATAATTTCATAGTGTCTCTACCATATTCGTTTCGTAATGATTATAATTACCTACAGATTGCGCGTATTTAACAGAAAGCCAATGTATTGATACCATAAAGCATGATTCTGTAACATTTGCGTAGAAATATTAGCTAACTTTTTGACTAGTATTGCATAATATGAATTGCATTTATCAACAAGAATAGTTATGTTTAAAGGAAAATTTTTGCATAGTTACAATAAATTTGTTAGCTACCAGTATTACTTCGCAAATCCATTATTTAATGGATAATTCATGATATTATAATCAGGATCAGAGAGTCCGTGATCTAATTGAGAAGGAATGTGGCCCCAACGTCTCTGAAGCAAGACTTTTAACAATTGTTTACGGCTACTCGTTAGTAGATATGAAAGAGATACGCTTAATCGCTTCAGATGCAAAATCTCGTGAGGTTAGATATTTGACATTTGAGGCATGTTCGTAAAGATAGTATAATAAACGGAGTTGCAGTCATTTAGATTATTATAGAGCGATTTAGTAATTACTTATTACCATCTGCTTCATTGCTTTAGATTTGGAAAGGCGGAATTAATAAAATCATTCACGATGTTATTTCGATGAACGCACCATCTGATCATTTCATAAAGCGAAGGTATAATCTAAGCAATTCTGTAGTATATAATAGTAATATCTAGCGCATTAGGCTTTTTGAATTAGCATTATACTTTTCCATATTGAACAAGAGTTCCAAATTTCATGCTTTAAACTTAGTTGGGTCAAATTATGCTGTACTGGAGATGCAGATGGTAATATTCAAGTTAAAAAGTAAGTATAAAATTACTTTGCGCCTGAATCAAATTAGTTTTGCTTACTACAATGACCTTTGTATAATTGAAACTTGTATTATCTTATTACAGCATCTACAAATTAGTACCCAGTAAACTAGAAGATAGGGTAGTAGACTCTTTAAAAGCCTTAAACTTGCCAAACAAAAAGGTTAACTTCACGAAAGTTATTTTTTTGTGCCTTACTAAATTATCTTGATAGAGATAGAATTTAATGAAATGTTGCGATGACGTATGTCTTAAATTAAATACTTCAATACATGTATTTTAAATAGAATGCTGTTATCGATCCGTCGAAATTTCCATTTTCGACATTTATGTCTTTGTACAATAAACTGTGCCCTCGGAAAGATATTGAAGATATCGTCATGAATAGAACTGGCGGCAAGGCACCTTACTTATCAATTGAACAGTTGAGGACATTCCACAATGAAGAACAACGCGATCCTCGATTAAACGAACTATTATATCCATTTATGAAAGCACTGCAATCTAAGGCTATAATAGACCAATACGAGCCGTTAGAAGTTCTTAAAGGACGAGGTTAAATAAAATATATTTACTACGATCTAGTTGAAAGCTATTCCAAATTAACCTCTTTTATCGTTATGAAAACAAATATTTATTTTTCCAGGCCTTATAACACCGGAGGGCCTGCAATATTATTTTTACAGTGCTGATAGCTTGATTGTACCATTGGAAAAATTACAACTTAAAGCTAAAGATATGGATGAGCCTATAGCGCATTATTTCATTAACTCATCACATAACACTTATTTAGTCGGTATGCTCCTTTTCTTATATATTCGTTTTCCCACTTAAACGAAATAACTAATGCAATAACAAATGTAACGCTCTGTGGATTGCACCTAAAAGCACCACATTAATTTCGATTATAATTTACATTGCTAATTGTTAATTGTTTTACTTGATTTTGTAGGGAAGCAGTTTGGAGGTAAATCTGTTGTTGATATGTACAGAAACGTCCTTTTGGCTGGCTGTCGGTTAGATTGAATTAAATAATTTAATGCAAGTCGATGTTTATTATAGAGTCTTGATATAAGCATGATCATTCTTTTAGATGCATCGAACTCGATTGCTGGGATGGCAAAGGTCAGGATGAGGAGCCAATTATCACACATGGTAAAGCAATGTGTTCAGATATCCTATTTAAGGTATTTTTAAACACGATTTGAGAAAATTTTAGTAATTCGTGACACGTATCGATGTAAAATCTAATACATTAATTGCTTTTTATTAAGGATGTAATTGAAGTTATTAAGGAAGCCGCTTTTATAGCAACTGATTATCCAGTCATTTTATCATTCGAAAACCATTGCAGGTATAATTAATAGTTGATGGTTTATATTGCAAATTGCCGTTCATTGACTGTTGCAATTTCGAATACAGTATTAAACAGCAACGAAAGTTAGCGCAATATTGCCTAGAAAGTTTTGGTGACTTATTACTGACCAAGCCTATCGATGGTTATCCGGTAAGTCTTATTACTAACTTCATATCACTAAGTTATTTAACGGTATAGGATTTAAGATAAATACTGTTGTACTTTACTTCTAAGACTGAACCAGGCAAAAGACTGCCACCTCCTAGTAAACTTAGAGGGAAGATTTTGATAAAGAACAAGAAACTAATTAAAACCGAGCAAGATACCGGTAAGACGTAGATATCGGTAAAAACAATTGTAATAACAGATTATTTCATTTTATGTTGACTGTTTTTTAATCTTGGCTCTAACAATAAAGGGTTATTCTACAATGTATCTTTTATTTTAAACTATATATTTAACAATAGAAAAGGAAAACGCTGCAGCATCAAAAGATACAGCAAACTCTCCTACAAAGGATTCGAATGGTACCATTACTACGAATTCTCAAAACGGTAGTAACATCTGTATAAACTATATATAATGATACATATACGCAAAATCTGATAGACATGTTTCTCTGTAGGTATCAAATCTGATTCAGCTGCCTCAGATACCAAGAAAGGTTTGCCCCTGTAGCATTAGATTAACGAGCGTTTAAAGTATCTTCCCATGCCAGATAGTATAATTCCGCTTAACTCTTGTTTTTGTAGATGGTACTGATGACGCAAAACCTAAAATCAATGGCTCAACAACCACCAAAACAACTAAAGGGGATTCTTCTGAAGATCCACCTGCTAAGAAAGTTTTATCATCTAGCATTAATTTGGAAGCTCTCAAAACTGTAATCATGTTTAGAGATATCTTTTTAAAGTACAGTTAAAATTCTATAAAATCTCAATCAGATATTCCTAACGAGATCTGCGAAATTTTCGTATTAAAATTGCAGAATCTCGATCCAGACGTTGTTGCTGCTGTAGCAAATTATCGCTATACAGGGTCGACTGGAAATATTGATGAATTACTATCTTCGGTCGTGATTTATACCCAACCAGTACCTTTTCCAGGATTTGAAGAAGCGAAACGTGTGTATTTAAATTTTACTAGTATTATTATACTTATGTAAACCAAATCGAACTTTCCCAATAGTGCTCCATCTGATAATTCTATCAAAAATATCATATTATGCTTTCAATACCTTCTATATAGTTCGTGAAACTTGTTAACATCATTATTTAAAAATTTTTTATAGAGGAAAGTAGGCTTGCACAATATATGCGTATAACATTAATTGCAACTACTCTTTTTAATGTATCCACTGATGATAGACTGTATTATACATTTATAGAGCGAAATCTACATTACAATATGTCTTCATTTAACGAATCAACCGGATTTGGACACTTCAAAGCATCACCAACTGACTATGTTAAGTACGTCCATGATTTATTGCATTATTAACAAGCTTGAAGATACAAATGGTCAATATCTATTTCGTTAATACTTAATGCGAAAAGACGATCTTTATTTATTGCTATTTATGGATATCGTTTTATGTCATAACCAGCTATAATAAGAGACAACTGAGTAGAATTTATCCGAAAGGCAGTAGAGTTGAATCATCTAACTTTATCCCGCAGGTACGACCTACCGGTTGTGTTTATAGTGCATCTGTAATTATACATATAACATCTAAATGAGAATCATCGTGAAGAACGTATTTCACTAAAATGTTAATCGATTTACAGATTTTCTGGAATGCTGGATCACAGATGGTGTCGTTGAACTTTCAGACTCCGGGTACAGTGATATCATAATTTTTGCTCGCTGACCTATCCGTTATTATCAATCTACTGTTATGCCCATTAGGAGAGCTTAATTTTATCATTACCCACTCATGTTATATTACTAAAATTTACTTAGATTTGGGATTTCAACTTAATCAATGCAAATTTGAGTATAACGGGATGTGTGGGTAAGCAAACAGTCTGCTGTTGTTAAGAGATTTAATATCGTGGTAGAAGTTATAGTTTAAGTGCACTATCTTGATCTGTTATTATGGATATGGTTGTAGTTACCTGTTGAAACCAGAATTTATGCGCCGCGATGATAAACAATTCGATCCATTCGCCGAAAATCCAGTTGATGGAATTATTGCTGCTGATCTTGCCGTACAAGTAGGATTATTTTTTTACAAGGCAGTGACTACAATTAATTGGATTCTTACTAATATCTTTAATATCTTATGCCATTTTATGAAACAATTTATTCGGAAGGTTATTTCTGGACAGTTTGTATCTGATCGTAAAGTTAATACTTACGTAGAAGTTGATATGTATGGCCTGCCGGTTGATACCGTACGAAAGAAGTTCAAAACGAAAACAGTTTATGGCAACAGTATTAATCCTTATTACGACAGTGAATCGTTTCGATTTAGAAAGGTGAGAAAGCCATAGTAATAAACCCTACAAATACTCTAACCGAATTCTTACTCAAATAGTATTTAATGAATATTTCTTTGCTCTTTATCGCATAGGTTATCTTTCCAGATCTTGCTCTAGTAAGATTTACCGTCAACGATGAAAATGGTAAAATGATTGCACAAAGGGTAATTCCATTCAATGCAATCCAAGCAGGTTAGCAACCATTGAAGCAATGCTTGAAGAGTTTTTAATAAAGTCTTTAAAGTTTTGTCTCGGCTATGTAGATTCAATTTGTATGACTATACTTACGTGTTATTAGGCTACCGCCATGTAGTGTTACGTAATGAATGGTGTAATCCTATTGGATTAGCGCAATTATTTTGCCACTTTAAGATGAAAACTTATGTCCCTGAAGGATTAGACGGTACAGTAATTTATCAAATATATCATATTAGTCGTGCAATTGTTTGCTATAATTCAATCGTTAAATTTCACAGAAATGGTGGAGATGTTATCTCAGCCCTTGAAGTTTTTATCAATCCTTGATGAACGTTCTAAGAAAATGCAAGTTTATGACGTGGATGAGGTTAAATAATAATTTATCTTATCAATATATTGTTATTATGGCTAAACTTTTTATCCTAAAGAATGTAGAATTATATTATATTTAACAGGATGAAGATGTAAGTGCAGTTGTTGACGAAACAATAGAAAAAGCTCCCTCGAAGGATGATAGTAAACCACAAACGCCGGCTAAGCCGAATGCTAAAGCAACTCCTAAAAAAAGTGATTCTGGATCATCAAGCTCCAATGACAGTTCTTCAAATGAGAGTAAGGCTCAAATGGTTCGCCAGACCTCAGCAGTTGGTGGTATGTTAGATCGAGGTAAAGAATACATCTCGTATGTTAAGTGTAGTAGCGGTAATCATAAATGTCGCATATAAATGACGAAATAAATATTGTTCAAGGAAAGTAATCTGTCTATGACCTTTTTCAGAACCAATTAAGCCGGTTGACATAGATGAATTACTAAAATCTAAGGTAAGCAGTAAAATAACATCTTTGTAAATATTGTCTTAATCGTTCCTGTATTAAGCAGTATGTAATACAAAAAATAATCTTTGCTGTAATTTATAGGCTTTCTCTAAATTTTTCAAAAAGCATCAAAAAGAATACCATCTCGTCCATAAAAAACACGACAAAGTATATTATTACTTTTTTCTGTCTTAGATTTCATGTTTTACCAAATATTCTTCACTACTCGCATCAGGAAAGATTTTCTGCAATTAGCCAAAATCTGAAGCAAGTTAATGATTTATCAATGGAAACTTTCGGTAAGAAATCTTTTATTGAAAACAAGACTAAAGAGAAAAAATCTAGGCAGAAAACGGGGTAAGTAGTTTGTAGCGTAAATAAATCGTTAGAATACTTCTTCAAACTCCATGTTCATAGTAGGCATCTGTAGAAAAGAAATAAAACTTTTGTTTTTTTATACTATATTCTCTTTAAACTTTATTCAACGTAAAGAAATCCTGAAGCAGATTTGAAAAGTAAATATATTGCTCGAGTTAAATCACTTAAGGGATCTCCTTCGAAAGACAAGGTTGGTTGCTACTTTTAAACAGGACTATTTTATAGTATCAATTTATGATGCAATCAAAATCTGTTGTTACAGATAAATGCATTGGTTACGAAGCACATCAGTGAATCAACAGATATTGCTAAGCGCCATGAAGAGGATTTACAGAAATTTAAAAATAAAGCTTCAGGCATTGTAAGTATCACTTATCACTCACAATTATTTATCACCTTTTAAGCAAATGTAATAATTTTTGGAGCTTTCTTAATAGCTGTATTCATTTATTTCATAAGATTTGGGATCAAATTAAATCGCTTATAATAAATGCTTTTGGTGATCAAATAAAAAATTTAGAAGAACAACAAAAGCGGTATGTAAATTTACTTATTGTATACCGAAATATCAGTATACGCACTTACATGTATTCATACAGTATTTATTAACGTGATTGAATTTGTTAATTCTTGGATTAAAGAGACTTTGCGGAATTAAGAAAAGGTCAAGCGAAGCGATCTATGGATGATACCAAAAAAATTGTGATTGATCGATCAGAGAACACGGACAAAGAAGATAGAACTAGGTAAGATAGGATCTATTGATGCGGGCAAATCGAATCTCTATTACCTCTAAATCTGTTTATATTTTTAGGCGCCATCGTGAGCTCAGTCAATACAATGTTAAACAGTTCATGGAGGAAAGGAAAAAGGTACGAGCTAAACGTTGGTTCTAGATTAAAGGTTGCTAACCTGAGAAACCTCTGTAATATTAGTATTTGTGATGTATAGTTATGCGGCAGGCATGATCGTGAAAAGAAGCAATTGGAAAAGAAACAAGAAGAAGAGATGCGATCTTTCGAGAGTCGAAAAGATGAAGTAAATGCAAATCAAATATTGTACCTTAATATTAACAGATGACCGAGTAATAAATAGCAATATTATTTAATTCAATTCTAAAACCTTAATTATTTGTTCATCTACTTGTATAGATCACTGTACCAGTCTTAAAACTTTTTGATGAAGATTACATCCCTCCTGCAGAACTAAAGCTCACTAATAATTCATTCGCTTAAAATTAGATTAGCAACGATAATCCTGTTAATTGGATTACAATTTTAAAACTTAAAATGATCATTGTTTACTTTGATTATAATTAATTTTAGCCAGGATTTTAAAAACTTAGCAATTGACTAGTTGATCAGCCTGTTTCTTTCTACCTCATGATCACTTTTCTTCTGTCATTTTACTGTATTTTTGCTATTTATGTTAGGTACAGGGAAATTCTCTGCATGTCAATGAAATTTTACGTTATAATTATAAATTTAAAAAATTTTTAGCAACGATTTTTCGGTACTTTTAGATACATATTTTAGATGTTTAGGTCTTAGAATTGCACTCGAAGAGTTCCAAAATGAAGCTTACTGAAGCTTGCACGTGTTATGCCCACCTTGTTGAAACTACGAATAGTTATTATTGAAGTAATGATGAAATTTTTCGATCTAATGTTGTAAAATTATTTTCATACGAAAGCAAATGTGCCGAGTCTTGAGTAGATGTTTTAACATTTATAGTCATTTGAATTTTATCTCCTATAGGAATTTTCTTAAATACTAAAATTTCTTTCTTTTATCTTTAAGTCCTCGGCTCCTCAAATAAAACAACTATATATATATACATCTTAAAAAATATACCTTTATTGAACTTTGTTCGTTACTAAAAAGTCATACGGCATAACAAAAAATTTAGCTGTTAGATTTGACAAATCGAATCACTTGTTTTTTATTATACAAAAAAATGCATGAATACTATTATTCAAGTCGTGATTACTAATATAAAATGTATTACATTCAAGAGATGCAGAAACACAGGTCCTTGCATGTAAATTATAAATATAAAAAATTTTGTTACAATTATATTGTGTACATATTATTGCACGATATGAAATGCAACATTGGATAATCCCTATCACAATTAGACCAAAATAAATCGAGAATGTCGCATATGATCCAATCTATAGATTTCTTAAGTTCTTTACAAGCTCAATTCCGATTCTTCTTCGCCATTTCCTTCATTAATGATTAAAGACTGAGACTGATCGTCATCTCTACGTCTTCTTCGTGTTCGCGTTCTTCTTCCACCTCCGTTCGCACTTCGCCGTTCATTTCCTACGGGAGAAGAAGCAGCTGAAGGACTCTGCGTTCCTTCTCCTTGATCATCAATGTTATTTGTTGAATTTACTTCACGTCTATTACCACTTTCTGCAGTAATTTGTCGATTTTGATGTGGTTGGTCTTCGTTAACATAATCTAATCTATTACCAGATACTTCTTCGTAGTTAGGTAAAGCTGCCAAGTAACGGACAGCCATACCACTGGCCGCATTTCTGTTACTCTGATATGGCAATCGTCGGCTTCGCCTCACTTGTGGCGTAAGAATGTATTTACGAATTACAATAATTAAAAATGAAGTAATGAATACGCCAACTACGACTGCTGCTATAATTCCAGGTGCATTATTTCCATCACTTGGTAAATTTTGAGCTAGAATATTTATGAAAGGAATTAGTAATGTACATAGAAACTTATACTACAAATTCGCACTTGGTAAATATATAATAATGACTGACCATTGTAATGACAGATAGTGTAAGCCTGAGAAGTACATGTGCGATAAGTATCCCACGTAAAGGGGCAGTCTATAAGACGTTCTTCCTTCCCGACACAATGAGCGGCTCTTATTGATATTACATCAAATTTGGATACTTTGTTGTTAATTGCTTTTGTTGTGGCTAATAATTCAAAAGTGTTATTACGTAAATCAAAGATAAGTCTACCAAATTTAAAAATTAATCAAAAACATTTTAGCCCGGTAAAAAGACCTTACATGAATGGAAACCTAATTGCTTGCAGAAAACTCTGGCATTAGTGTCTGTCCATAGACTCCCACAAACAGGATGCCAACCGTAATTGTAAAATACTCTGACAAAACCTTCACTCCCATTACCGAGTAATTTAACTTCTCCATCAGATATCAGTGAGGTTTCTAATGTGATAAATAGATAAAATTTCAGAAAAGTTAATTTTCATGCAATTAAGGAAAAAAATGCGAAGACAACTATGTTGCATCGCTCTACTCTCTTCACCCTACCATCACAAATTACACCAGCCAAATAACTATGGGAGCACGTTTGAGATGAACCCGGATACCTCTTACACTGTAATAAATATCTTTCAGACTTATCACATTGCACATTGCTGAGTAAGATTGGCTCTGACCCAAAGCCAAAATGACTACCAGCGGTTGCTTGTTTTGCTTTCTTATAACCTATGCATGATTATGAATTTAACAGTTAGTCGCTACCGACTAAGAAAGACTTACAACTAAAGCTGCATCCGTTACAGTGCTTTAATTAAATTATGTGCCTGCATGATACTTACCTAACTGTCGACAAACAATTGCTGCATCTTTAATATCCCAACCGTTACCACAGATACTTCCCCATTTGCCATTATGAAAAATCATCACTCTCCCTTCAGAAGGCTTTGATGAACCAACTAATTTAATACCTCCTTCCACCGCCTCTCCTATACATAGATTAGCAAATATCGTAAAACATTTCAAAAAATACGCATACATGATCTATCCAGGAAAAACAGTTCAAAAAACTTACCAGAAACCGATGCACAAGTTAAGTAAACGCCCATAGCACTTGAACAGCCACCATCATCACCCCAACTACGATGACTACAGTTAAAGATACTCTTCTCACTGCCTTTACACTGCAGATTCCTGAGCCATACCGTATTAGTACTGGAGAATCCAGATACATGCAGATTCATCTAGTACCAGAAATTATCAAATTTCACAAGATATATTTTAATTATTACCATAGAAAATATTACTAAACAACTGTTCCAGTTTGCTCACCTTAACTAGAGACGTATATCCCAATTCTTTACAGGCTACTTCTGCGCTTTCTTGAACAAAACCTTTATTACAAACCGTCCCCCATTTACCATTATAATAAACTTGTAATTGGCCAACATTGCCAAAATTACTACCGTATAAGCGCACTACATGAAGAGAAAGATAGCAGGTAAGCAATCTAGTGAGTCTTGCAACTATATTCTAAAACTAACCAAATACACCGAATAATTGGCTAACCGTTAGTGCATCGTATGTTAATTCCTCGCGTTCGTCTGCAAATCACCGACGCAGTTTTGCAAGATGATAACGAATTTTCATGGCCATAACAATTGAAGCCTTTAGCTAGTAGTGACGATGGTGGAGATATAACCGCTGGTAAATTATTACCAACATTGCCAATACCTTTATTTATTGCATGAAAAAAATAAATACCCTTGCTAATGTACTTTTAAAAACGAAAATTGAGATATCAAAATTACCAAGTTGTTTACAAACAACCATAGCTTCTTGATATCCCCACAAATCATCACATAAAACTTCCCATCCAATAAGAGTATATAATTCAAGTAATCCATACTTTAAATTATCGCCCGTAAAGCCGCCGACCAATCGGATGTCACCATCTGGAAAATAATAGATATACATATTTGGTTGCAGAAAGCACATGGAGCAAATGTAAACAGTAAATTTTTGTAACCTGAGTCACTTTTACATCGGATTCCAACATCATCTTTATGAGTGCAACCGTTACTGTTTCCCCAAGTATCGTGATAGCATTGAATTAATGATTTTGCATTTGTGGAACAAATAACATTAGATAGCCAAATTGGTCCACTGCCAGAGCCGAAAAAGGATTCTTTATCCACTGATGTCGAAGAAGCAAATCCAAGCTGCTTACAAGCAGCATCACCTGCTGATTTAGTGAATCCCTTGCCACATACTGTACCCCAAATTCCATGGTGAAAAACTTCAAGACGCCCACTTTTAGATGAACCGCCAGCTAATCGTATGTCCCATTCTTTAGCGTATACTACAGTAGCATATATATACGCATAAATAATATAAATATTTGTACTGTTAATACACAAATAACATGCGCATACACTATATCGATATGCCTCAGACCTTTTTCAGCATTACAAACGACATAAACATCTTCGCTGTGTGTGCAGTCTGTACTACTCCAATTTCGATGTTTACAGTAAGCCAATGCTGGCTCATTTCCGAGACAACTAACGTCATCTAGTAGAATGGGGTAGCTACCAGTTAAAGAATTTTGAGCGAATGGATCTAAGTTATGAGCTCCCGTATAACCAAGTTGTCGACACGCAACATTTGCGTCAGTTAAACCAAAATTATCATCACAAATAGTCCCCCACATTCCATGGTGGTTGACCAAAAGAAATCCTTGGTCATTATTCTCAGGGAAAAATTTGACTAAGTATGAAACGAACGTATTAATTAAAGAGGTTACACTTGAAAATTATTTACATTTGAATTTCTCTACGTACGTCTCGGCGCGACACACTTGACTTGCACCATATCGGTCTGTGGGCAGAAAGAACTCTTTGACCAATCCCACGAACGGCACTCCGCTAATGATTGTTCAGAACCTTTACAAGAAATTTTACCATTCCAGTAGCTGTTCCCTGGAGGTGTTGTCATTAACTGCGAAACATGGATAAAAGTTGTGTATCCTAGCTGATGACAAGCTACACCACTCACATCGTCATTCCAGTTAGAAACACACAAGGGTAGCCACAATTGCTTACGATAAATTCTTAAGTACCCTTCGCCATCAACGTTATCGGTTTCTTGAATACGCACTAAGTATACATTCAATAATTATAAGGATATTGCTACATAAATTTTGGCATTGTTAATACTTACATGTTGCATTATTATTCGTTGTTGGTTGTGAAGTACCTATTATTAAATCAAATGCCGTTTAGCATACAACTCAATATTGCAATTACTTAAAAATTTATTTATGCTTAATTCCTAACTAGGGCCCTATTACCAGTTCGGCATGTAACACCAACATCCTCCGAATGACCACAGTTATTGCTGCCCCAATTACGATATCTACATTGAGTTAATCTATTCTCACTACCACTACAAGTTACGTCGTCGAGCCAAATTTTTCCGAAGCCTTGGCCATAGTATGCATTCCCTGCACAAAAGGCGAAGTACAATTAAGACAAGATAGAATAAAGTAAAATAAAATTAATATTAACTAACCCTGCACGCTTTCAGCACCAAGTGGATAATTCAGCTGTCTGCAAACTACGTTAGCAGCGAATAAATTGAAATAGTCATCACAAACGGTACCCCAAATCCCATTATGGAATATTTCAATTCGACCCTCCCAGCTTTCAAATCCTCCAACCAGATGTATATCGCCATCTTCTATACCAACTGTGAAGCGCTATAATTAGATTTAAATACCATATATATTAAATATCTCTACAGTTAACAGTAATACCTATAGATTGACTGCATGAAATTGCTGCATCATCGCTGTGTTGGCATGTTCCAGGGGCTCCCCAACCTGAATGACTGCAAGACACAATGGAGGTCTCATTCCCTGTACAACCTACGTTCGTTAGCCATATAGGGCCCAATCCTAAAGAAAATACTTATAACGTTACGGTCATTCCTTCTTAAGTATATAAGTCAAAGAAACTGTAAGAATTTCTTGGATCTCTAAACACTGTATACTTCATAATTTGAACATCATTGCTCTACCTTCACCGAACTGCAGGTCAGTAATAGCACTTAGCGCTTTTACAAATCCTAACTGACGACATGCGACATCAGCATCGGCCAAATCCCAATCTTTATTACAGACTGTACCCCACATCCCTTTATGCATAATTTCAAAACGACCACTACTTTGAGAGCCAATTATTCTCGCTAAAACATGAATAATAAACTTGTCTTAGTTACAATAATCTCAAGTAATCACTTCCACGAGCAGTAATGCTAAAATTTATACCAGTATCGTTCGTGCAGGAAATCCCAACATCTTCCCCATGGTTGCAATTCGTTATTCCCCATCGAATGCCAGGACACTGAGCAATTGATAACTCATTTCCATTACACGCAAGGTTATCTAACCATATCTGTCCTCCTCCGACTCCGAACTGCATTGAGCTATAAATTCTGCTCACGCCAGTAAATCCTGAAAATTAAGATGATTGTAGGTTAGTTCAATAATCTGTTAGCACATTCCAGTCGACCTTAAGTACCTAATTGTCGGCAAGCAACATCTCCATCCCTTGTATCGAAAAAATCGTCACAAACGGTACCCCATGCTCCATCATATAGCACCTCAAGTCTGCCAGCAGATGGATCAGGACCGTTAACCAGGCGAATATTCTCTACATAAAAAAGTATCGTTAAATAATCTAGATATTTAAATTAATTATAGAAAAAATGACATGAACCCAATATCAAAATAAGTATGTAGGCGTACATTTAATTAGTTGTATTACACTTACGAGAAGTCGGTTTAACAACAGCACAAATCACACCAACATCTTCTGAATGATAACAGTTTGTCTTATTCCAACCTGAGTTAGGACAATCTTCTAAAGAAGTTTCATTTCCTAAGCAACCCACCATGGATAGCCTATACAAATTGATTATGCAGTATAATATTAATCATGTCATCAATTTAGTAAGAAAAATAATCGTTATACTTACCATATCGTACCATTACCAATCCCAAGTTCTCCGTTAAGTCTGTAACCTAATGCTCTTGGAAACCCTGTTAAGACACGAATCAACTTTTATTAAAAATAATCAAGCATAATATAGATAGAAAAATTATTACCAAGTTGCTGGCAAACCACGTGTGCATCAGTAATATCCCAGCCATCATCACATACTGTGCCCCATACACCATCGTGTAATAATTCCAAGAGTCCTCGAGACACAAAAGCCTGACCGCTGTTATCGATGAGGCGAACAGTATTTGAATTGAACCGTGGTACTCGACATTGATGGGAAAAATACAAGTCGTCTATGGCAATATCTCCAAGAAAAGATATACCACGAACGCCCGTAATAATAATCTATCGCAAATAAGAATTTCCTAAGATAATCTAAATAAAGCTCACAATCATAACATAATATTCGCCTTTGTTTACATGCTGTATACTTATCAGCAGTTTAATGTGAGACTAACCTGATAATAATGAAATGTTGTATTGACAGGAACGGAAGCAAAGTGCCACTGTGAACCTTGATTACCATCACGGCGCCATAGCAGTCTAGACTGTGAATGATTGTTTCGGGAATCAACGAGCCAAATTTGTAATGAACCGATAAAAGCTCCATTCATATTGTAATAAAAGTTAAACTGTAAAATTGCAATAAAGAATCCTTAGATAGCAAAAATAGTGAAATGCTTATTTAACTGGTATGTAGTTACACCGTACTTAGTTAATTGTTTAAAAACTGCATAAGAACATTCCTTACGATACGTCCATTACTCACCATGCAACCTTCTGCAAAGGTGACCGGTCCTAATAACTCAGGACTTATAAGACGCGCTTCATCATTCGGTTTCCTCGGGCTTGAAGCTTCTATATATAAATATGATGAACTACCATCTAAATCTTTCTCTGTATGTCCTTCCAGTGGTCCTGTTCCAGAAGAGCTAGTTTCACCACTGTTTCTAATCCAATCGAAATCGTCATCATACATCTGGGACCAAAGGCAAATACCACGGCCAAAACCGCACCGATACGCATAGATTCCTAGATTTATAATTTGTATTAATAATACTATACACTAAAAATAGGTGTAATAATAAATCATGGTAGACTTATTACCTTCGTCGCAATCCTTTTCGTCAGATCCATCGTAACAATCTATTCGAAAGTTACAGCGACCGGCTACATCTATACATTCACCTGATTTGCATCTATATGCATCATCCGTACAACTAATATTTTTAGATAATGTCTGACATTGTTGCGTAAATGAAATATCATCAACTGCTATATCACCCAGGAGGCTTATTCCTCGAACGCCTTCTAGTATGACCTAGAATTGATACATTAAGTAATTTCGTTAATTCGATATGTTCCCTATAGATTTCCTTTAGAATAAGCTGGAATAAATTACATTTACCTTAAATGCCACGGTACTATTTAAAGGGACACTAACGTACGTCCAACGACCAATATTTTGTTCTCCATCAACCTGAAACCTGGTTTCATTTCTTTTATCTACAAACTGAGTTCTTACTCGAAATGATCCAACACCTGAACCTTTCATCTGGTAATACAATCTTATCTATCGTGTAAATTATATAATATCAATATAGCGCTTATCTTAATCTTTGTCCGTAATTTATTTTTAAGTGTTACCTGACATTCTTCATCTACTGGTGCAAAGAAATGTGGACTTGCTATGTCGGCCTTTTGTCCAGTAGTATGTGGTAGTGACGCTTCGAAATATATGTAATGTCCTATAAAGAAAAATCGTATAACCCTTATGTACAATGAACATACTTACATTGAAGTTAAGTGTATAGCAAGTTTCTAGTATTAAAACGAAGCAGTGACCTTAAATTATCGTAAAAACTAAGTTATCCGAATAAAATCAAGAGTTATCTAGTAAATTTCTATTCTTTGCACTAATACAGCATCTTCTACTTATTATGAGAACTTATCATCTCGCTTAAGTCCCTAAGACGTATTAGAAATAAGGAAAGCTAGAGAGCAGTAGCTTTCTTCACACGGTATTTATAATGTAACACCTAATTTGAGACAAGATTTCTATAACATTGTGTTACCTGACTTATTGTGAAAAGTATGATCGACATCAGGCCCTGTATTAGCTGAAGGAGTTTTTCCATGCATTATAATCCAGTCAAAATCATCCTTAAAATTTTGCGACCATCCACAGAAACCATTTTCGAAATCGCAGCGGTCAATAAAGGCATCTAATCACACGGTAAAATAATTAATACCATGCAAGCAAAAGTAAATATCATAAATTAAAATTATGGACGGCAAGAGGTAATGCAAAAAAGTCATACTGCAATCACGTTCATCGGATCCATCCGCACAATCATCAGTAAAATCACATCTCCGGTTTGCAGGTATGCAAGCTATACTCCCGCTTTTACAGGGAAATTGCGTTCTTGTACATGTTGATGAATCTTAGCGATTTGCACATGGATGTTAACGATATTAATGAATGTTATTTGCATACAGAATATATTAAATTTTGATACAGAATAACTTTCAGTTACCTATACATACTACACTAGCGTCTTGATGGTGACTGCATGAACTAAGTCCCCACGCTGGATGTTGGCATTGTTTAAGCGATACGGCATCATTTGGACAATCAATACTAGTAAGCCAAACAGGGCCATAACCCTGCCCATAATGCGCACTTCCATATATTGTTAGAGCCTGTGCATAACCTAACTGACGACATATTGCCTGGCCATCAGTTAAATCAAAATACCAATCGCAGATAGTTCCCCAAATTCCCTTGTAATAGATCTCAACTCTACCCTGGCTTGGTCCTAATCCACCTTTTAACTGAATGTCTCCGTCTCTAAGGTACACTGTAGTAAAATTACAGAGTTAAAACTATCGCAACAAGTCCATAGCAATTATGTTAGTAAAGAATCATATATGCTGTAGAATTAGTTATTAATTTACTTCGTATCCTTTACTTTATGCAAGAGCAGAGTATTTCAAATTAATCATGATAGCTTACTTCTCTTATTTATACACTCAATACCAACGACTGCTTCAGGCGAACAAAATGTAACGTCGCGTGAATGAAGACAATAAGCCAAAGCCCCTTCATCTCCCGTACATTGCACTCGACTGATTAAATGTGGTAAGTTGCTGGAAGATGGTACTGTAAAAGTCTTAATACGCTTTGCACCAACATAATGCAACTGGCGGCAAGTAACGTTTGCAGCAGCGATATTGAATCCTTGATTACATACTGTGCCCCATGCACCATTAACATTGATTTCTATAACTCCTTCGTAAGCGTGTATTGAACCAGATAACTTGACTAAAAATATTAATAACGACATCAGCGATTTAAGATGATCTTAGCTAGAGATAAGTTTTTACATACCTTTAGGGCTACTGCAGCGAACAGAAGCAAGTTCAATTGTTGGACATGTGTCGCCTGGTTGCCATTTGCCAAGAGAACAATCGAATATTGACAGTTCGTGGCCTTGGCAACTAACAGTTTGGAGCGTTAGACTGGATTCAACTTTATATTGTATATCATTAAGAGCAGGCAAAGCAGCAGTATATCCGAGCTCTCTACATAAAACGTCTGCATCTTGATTAGTCCACCCCTGCTTACATACGCCACTCCAAGTGCCATTATGCAATATCTCCACCATTCCAACGCCAGGGTTTTGTTCATTAATTCGAACTGTTGGCATAAACGCAAATGTAATGATACATTTGTAAAAACATTAATAAATACTATGTTTGTAACTGACCGCCTTTATTGGAACGGCATGTTATAGCTATATCTTGCAAATGAAGGCAGTTCCCTTTATTCCAGCCATGGTAATTACACATTAATATATCTGACTCATCGCCATTACAGACTACGTTATCTAGCCAAACTGGCCCAAGGCCAGTATTAGAATGAGTAGCATCTAAAAGGAAATGTAATACCAACGTTAATATGTTACATTTCGAGGTTAAGAAATCACTGTGATATAGTATTTCCAAGCTAACTACAGCTAGACTAACTTCGATAGGACGAGGCACCCAAGCTAAATCCTATTTGTCGACACACAACATTCGCAGAATAGATATTAAAATTATTACTACATATTGTGCCCCACAAGCCATCATAGAATATTTCGAGGCGGCCATCCCAAGCTCCTTCACCACCAACTAGTCGGAGATCGCCAGTCTTAAATTGAACTAAAACGAAGAATGTAAGATTTATCTTATAGACATGAAGTAGCAGTTTATTCCAAGCCCAAAAATTTACTAATTCTAGATCAATTAGTCCTTCATTGTAAGCTATTATCTACGGAAGCAAATGAATGCATTACTAATGCGTACCATATTGATTAGTGCAACGTAGACCCGCATCGTCAGTATGGTTGCAATTGCCAACTGAACCAAACTTTGATCCAGGACAAGATAACAATGTCGTTTCATTTCCATAACATGCTAAATTGGATAACCAGATTGGTCCATCACCTACATAAATGCATATATCGTATACAAATAGCAATAAAATTACGAACTAGCTGCTGACTACAACAACATTCTATACAGTCGTTATTAATTGCAAAGAATCATTATAAACTAACCTGGACCAAATCCATCAATCGTTATTGCATTTTGCGCTCGTAAAAAACCTAATTCCCGACAAGCGACAGTAGCATCATTTAAATCCCAGCCTGTCTTACATACTGTACCCCAAAAATTATTATGCAGAATTTCGAGCCGGCCAACGGTAGACGAACCAACTATTCTCACTATCGAATGAAATCAAACAATTTTTTCATCTTCAACAGGATAAATATGTACAACCAATGATAAAGTAATACTTTGCACTTACCTGTTTTGTTGGTACAACTTACACCAACATCATCACTGTGATAACATTTGATATTACTAAGTGCATTAAGGTGACAATCAAATATTGATGCCTCTGTTCCATTACATGTAAGACTATCAACAACAACATAACCGGTTCCGGGACCAAATTTATTTGATCCATATATCTTCCTACCACCAGTGAAACCTTTCGAAAAAATGCAATGATATTATAAAATATTTTCGGTTACAGTGAGTATTAACATCATGTTCTTACCAAGTTGCTTGCAAACTACGTCTGCTTCTCTTAAGCCAAAGTTTTCATTGCAAACCGTTCCCCAAGTTCCAAAGTAATTGACCTCTACTCGCCCCTCCATTGTGCTAGATCCACCAACCAGACGGACACTCGCTTCTAAAAGAACACATGCAATTCAAAGATTATATCAAACTATTTTTTTGGGCATAATTAGTAGAATGCAATCCACTGATTTTCAATATTATAACGCAATCGTTATAACTAGGAATTACCAGGTCCTGTGGCTGTGGTACACTTCACACCTACATCTTCCATGTGAGAACAATTCGATACATTCCAACCAGAGAAATGACAATTTTTAATGGCTGTTTCATTGCCTAAGCACTGTACATTTGATAGCCTAAAAAATTTTGTATACAACAAAAATAAAAGTCATTAATACTACAAAGGTACTATGAATAAAAATAGACGAGGCTGTTTAGTTTTAATACAAAGTAATACCATATCGTGCCGTTACCAGGACCAAATTCCTTTGCTTTGATAAGAGCTACAGCCGATGGATAGCCTAACGAAGGAAAATCGATAACATTTTTAACCATGCTTCTTTCCAATATTTTCGAATATCAAGATAATTAATTCGACACACTATTACCTAACTGACGGCAAATCACGTTAGCATCTGGCATACCCCAACCGTCATCGCAGATTGTGCCCCATAAACCATTGTGAAAGATTTCTACCCGTCCTTGATGTAATGATGTTTGGCCGTCTGATGTAACTAAACGAACTATATCCGATTCATATCCAACTACTCGACACTGATGCGAGAACCATAAATCATCTATTGCAATATCTCCAGTATATCCGTTTCCACGAATTCCGACAATCATGATCTGTGTTTTTAAACAATTATAGTTTATCCTTTCGCTAGACTACGCGACTGAATTTTATTATGCCTAAACAGATGATAAAGATTGAATACAATTTAGCATTTACGTATATGCGATACATAACGAACCTGATAACGCTGCAAACGAGTGTGAATACGAACGGCTGCGAGATGCCACTCCGAACCTTGTTCTCCACTTTTCTTCCAAATATTAATGGGTTGTAAACCAATGTTGTTGGAGTCAACTAGCCATACTTCTAAAGAGCCGATAGTTGCACCGTTCATGTTATAAAAGAAATAAAACTAGGATCGAAAACAATTGATAATTAATTCTTATGTACTTTGTATATTTAACTAGTATGGCTTTTATGTATTGTTTAAACATTCTGATATGCATATATAGTACATCTTACATTACAGCTATCTTGCAGTTCTACTGGTCCCAATAACTTAGGACTAATCAACTTCGCCTTATCGAAGGGTAAACGTGGATCCGATGATTCAATATATAAGTAATTTCCGACACCATCCCCGGGTGTATGATCACCTGCAGGTCCAGTATTTAAAGACGTTGTTTCTCCTTTATTTAGTGTCCAATCAAAGTCATCGTCACCTAATTGTGACCAAAGGCATAATCCATTGGTGAAGCCACACATATACGAATAAATCCCTATGAGAAGAGTGAATATGCAAGTAAGTTAGTGGCGCATAATTAGCTTTGCAGGCCTTAATGATATGGGCATTAGATTTATTAGTCAAATACAGTTGCATAAATATTATCACCTTGGGTACAATCGATCTCATCTGATCCATCAAAGCAATCACGCCTAAAGTTACAACGATCTTCGTACGGAATACACTCACGATTTTTACACTTGAAAACATTTTTACTGCAGGCAACCGCGGTAGCCAAAGGTTGGCATTGTTGCGAAAAAGAAATATCATCGACAGCGATATCACCTTTAAATGTTTTACCCCGAACAGCTGCCAAAACCACCTACAGGATAAAATAGATTTTACTTATATAGCATTGCTATTAAAACATATTTAAGAAGCACGTTCTAGACATACCTTGAATGGCTCAGAGCTTCGTAATATAATTTCAGCCCTGGTCCACTTGCCCCCATTTTGATGTCCACTTTTACTCCATATAGTAACATTTTTTACATTTTTAATACCAGAACGAATACGTACATTTAATGAACCAACATCAGCACCATTCATGTTGTAGAAAAATCGCATCTAGATTAATATAGTTATAATACAAGATAAAAATGATCTTAGAAATATTTTACGGCTGGTAAGAATAAATTTCTATAGCTAAATTTACCCGACACTCTGAGTCAGACGGAGCAAAAAAATGCGGACTGGTTAGCTCGGCAACATCACCAGGTTCTCGCGGAGATGACGCCTCGATAAAAATAAAATAACCTAAAAAAAAATACCAAGGAAACCATAGGTGAACGCTAAAAAATATTAAAGTATAGCAAAATTTTTCTATATTTACCAGAAGCATTACGAAATGTGTGATCATAGGTTGGCCCAGTCTGCTCAGAAGACGTGCCGTCTTTAGTTCTAGACCAGTCAAACTGATCTTTAGCATATTGTGACCAGCCACAAAAATCATTTTGAAAATCACACCTGTCCGGGAAGGCGTCTATAAAACGTACCGTACAGTGCAATTTATTAAAACATCGTATAAGAATTATTTCGAATTTTAAGGTTAGCAACTAACTGCAATATCGCTCATCTGAGCCATCTGCACAATCGTCAGCAAAATCACATCGAACTGATGCAGGAACACATTTCTTATTTCCAGATGAACAAGGAAATTGATTATTATTGCATATTGATTTGTCTGTAAAGGAACACATTGAATTTGCTTAATCTAAATACATGAAGGTGACATTAAATTCTCAGATCAATTACGCTAGTGAAGCAATCCTACCTTGACACATAACACTAGCATCCTGATGATGATTACAAGTACTATTACCCCATCCAGGATGTTGGCATTCTGATAGGGTTTTGGCATTTAATGGGCACTTTAAATGTGCAAGCCATACTGGTCCATAACCATGTCTGTAACGTGCGCTTCCATACACGGTAATAACATTGCTGTAACCCAACTGACGACATATTACTTTGCCAACGGCAAGATCAAACGATTGATCACAAATTGTTCCCCATAAACCATTATGATAAATTTCAACTCTTCCTTCATAAGGTCCGTTGCCGTTTTTCAATCGGATTGTCCCTTCCTTGATGGTTACTTGATTCCGAGTGCATTTTAAAGAATATATTAAAGTACGTGAATTTCTATGTTTAAGACGTTATTGATAATTTTGAAATCGATGGAAATAGTACAGAAAGATATGAAAACTAACTTACAGGTTTTGTTTACACAAATAATCCCAACTGTATGATTTCGTGTACAAGAATTGGATGGGGGTGAATGATCGCAATAGTAGAGCGCTTCTTCATCACCCATGCAACGTATATTACCAATTAGTGACACCATATTTTGAGTGCCAGTTGCGAAGTTGAATTGGACACGTTCAGCCCCCACATAATTTAACTGGCGACATGTCACATTAGCGGCAACCATATTAAAATCAGGGTCGCAAAGCGTTCCCCATATACCGTTTAAATTGATCTGTACAATGCCTTCATTTGGTTCATTAGATCCAAATAAGCGTACTACATGATAGAAGAAAGCACATTTATCTTTTTTCGTCATTAAATCAATCTACGAAACTACTATGTACTTCCTATAATTAATAAAAATGCTTCACATTCCCTGTGAGATTACCTCGTGGAGTAACACATCGGGCCGTTGCTAATCTACCAGAGGAACAAGCTTTGCCCGACTGCCAGTTAGAATGACGACATTGCATTAAAGATGATTCATTACCCTTGCAGTCAATATCCATCAAAGTTAAACTTGAATCAGGTTTATACTCAATGTTAGATAGTTCTGATAAGGTCGCTTCATAACCTAATTGTTTGCATAATACCACTGCATCGATAAAAGACCATCCTGCACTACAAATGCCAGACCAACTTTGGTTATAATAAATCTCAACTACGCCAATTTCAGGTGTATTTCCCCTTATTCGAACTGATTTAAAAAATATGAAAAACGTTCAACGATTTCTTCAGAGTATTTAATTAAAAGGAAATAATCAAGTTTCAAATTTTAGCGGCGTATTTTAAAAAATTAGCAAGTGCAGGAATTGCTTGGCGTTTAGAATTAGCCCTTAAGAGTTTATAATATGCTGCAGTAAATACAGAATAAGACCACAGAAAGTTGTTTAGATCATGGACCTCAACTATTTAATCAAACTTACCATTCATTTTGGATTGCCGAAGTGAACCAGATTCTGTCACAAAGCATATCAGTTAAAATACGTCATACCAAAAATTCAATTTTAATACCATAAAATGGCATGGATTATTACTATAGACCTAAAACGACCAACTACCCTTTCATAAAATCATAATCATTCTTCTAAAGATAAACTGCAGCCGATAAAAATAAGTATAACTTAATTCATTATTAAGATTATCATGCCTATGTTTTCCTACTACCGGAATATTTTCAGTAGCGATATATTATTACAAGTAGAGGCAAAAGATAAGCTGTATATTGCCTATATGAGTACAATCTAATTAATTCTACCTGCTAGCGTTGCACTACGCGTTTGCCGGTGGGAGCAATGGCTAAATGTACTCATCTCGTCTAAATCGTAGACGGGATGTTTAGAAATCGAATTTAAGTTGTGGCATTTTCCAGTAATATCTCTACCAAGCTGGGAATTTTTCCATATCAACAACGGTAGTATATAACAATCGCAATCGACGGGAGAAGTAAAGTGACTATAACGTTCAAAATGATTGCATATTAATTATTAATATGAATGGCATTATTACAATAAAATATCAATGTCGATTAATTAAATAAACTTGTATAACATTGAATAGTATTCCACAATTATCATACAAATTGATAATAAAATGATGGGCAATATTAAATAGAATTAACTATCCATAGCGATTGCTTTCAACTTGTTAAAATTGAATTAAATTCAACAATTGTTATATAACTGATATTAAAATAAGTACACTATTAAATAGAATTAGCCCATCAATACTGATTGCTTTCAATTTGTTTAAAATTGAATGAAAATTTTATAATTACGATACAACTAGATATTAAATAAATTTATAAATCATAAGTCAACAAACGCTCAACTTAGATACCATGGACTTATTAGATGACCTTCAATTGGTGATGGTGAGTGAAAAAACTCATAACTTGGAAAATGTAAGAAACAATCTAAGTAACGCTGGAAAAAATGTACTATTTCGCCTATCTGAAAAATTTCTTCTACTAATTAGACTGTCGTGTCTGATGTGAGTAGGATTACGTTGCAGTCCGACAATCGGTAATCCTTGTCCATACTGATCAGACGGTCTGATCATAGTAGGATTATATTGCAGTCAGACAACCGCTACTACAATCCATAGTTGATACAAAATTGTACTTAGCACCATGGTCATTTACAAAGCATAAATACGCATGTTGCAAACACAATTTTGATTACGTAGCTCGTTTTCAAGAGTAACAATTTACCGGCAAAAAATGAAAATTTACAGTATATAAATAGATATCAATTGAGAATTGAAATAGGTAGCAGGCGATTACATAGGCAATCTATTCATTCACTAGTCTATTGATATTTTCTATCACAAGATGTTTCTGCTAGAGAATTACGTTTCATCATGTATGGCAAAAAAAAACAAATATCTGTAATTCTAGAACCATTTCAACTTACATGGCTCGAATATGAGTTAACATATCAACGTTGGAAGATAATAGCCTGGCTTGAGATCCGGGAATTCGCCTATTCATATAAAATAACATCGTATTACAATTCATTGATCAATAACGTTATTAATAATGTGATGATTGTTTATCATTTCCCACTATCCAATTCTATCCTATCCTACACTAGTTATTATGCAACGTGTGTAAAGTGAAATGACCAATGTATGGGTAAATATAGCGCGAGTATTGTTGTGAGTTTTCACATCAGTGAAAAATGAAATAAAGTTTCCTGTAAATTGAGAATCAAGCGTTGTCGGCTATTGCATCCTTGCTATTTTGATCACTAGTATTGTTGGGCTATTGGTGTCTATCAACGGCCTAGAGAATAAAAAAATCTCTGCTGATAGGAGAAAAAATTGCTATTTCCGATCTCTAAAAATAAAACAAATTCCCAACATACAACGTCGACAAGAGAATTCAATTAGCCAATGGGTGGATCCTGTATACCATCAATATAACGCCATTTTGAAGAGTGAAATGATTTAAAATGAAGGACAAAAATGGCTAATAGCACTTGGGTGAAAATTGCAATCAATGATAATTATGATCACTCTAATCAATTCTGTCATCATTGAATTGGGTGAGAGACATGGGGGCAAATTCAATCTACACGACCCTTAGTTTGGTCATTAAAATTCCTCTATGATAAAAAGACAAACAATGATACTGTTGATATCATTGAAGATCCAACATAATATTGCACTTTAACGTCATGAAGGAGATTTATCACGTTGATTGGAATGAGACTTGATACCGTAGTGATCTACTGTCGATTATGGGTTTCTTTAAGAAGAGCAGGCGATAAAATCGATTTGTCTCCATAATTTGTTATGGAACAAACGAATAGAACACCGATGGCAAGGATAGGCACTCGAACCTTTCCAAACACAGCTACCACTCAATTCGCTGCTTTGCTGAGTATATCATTTGCAAAAGTGAAGTCAGAATGGCCGGTTTAAAAAAGGTCGCCTAGGAAGATTAGAACATCGACTGCAACAGTGATTTGGTTATAACATCTCTAGACCGTTATCGCAAGGATAGGCACTCGAACCTTTCCAAACATAGCTATCACTCAATTTGCTGCTTTGCTGAGTATATCATTTGCAAAAGTGAAGTCAGAATGACCGGTTGAAAAAAGGACGCCTACGAAGATTAGAATATCGACTGCAACAGTGATTTGGTTATAACATCTCTAGACCGTCATCGCAAGGATAGGCACTCGAACCTTTCCAAACATGGCTACCACTCAATTTACTGCTTTGCTAAGCAAATCATTTGCAAAAGTGAAGTCAGAATGACCCGCTGAAAAAGGACGCCTAGGAAGATTAGAATATCGACTGCAACAGTGATTTGGTCATAACACCTCTAGACAGTAATCGCTTTGTTAACTACCTCTGAATATTCTCCTTCAAGATGAGACTACCACAAAATCAACATTTTGTATGTTTATAGTTTGATAGTAAATTGGATTCGAGTTTAACAATCAATACTCATAATCATGGAAAGCAATCCTTCAAAAATGAGAGTAGATTCTGTCCATTGCGAGAATAAATTGAGTAGACAGTAAAGAAATACTACTGCTTCTCAAATTGAAGGTAGAGTTAGGTCAAGTCATACTGTACTAGAAGGAATGAACCAAGACGTATTGAAAGGACGACCCAGGACGTGGCAATGTTAATTTGAATCACGAGCTGATTTTCTACGACTATAATGTATGTAGACGAGTGTGATTGTTGAAAAAGAGAGTAGTATCCTTGTAGAGTCCAATCACGATTTATATTAACAAATGAATGGAGTCAACAACTAATACCAATGATAGATATATCCCCCAATCCTTGACTATGAAGAGTTGATTGCAAGAATAAATCGAGGAAGGAGCAAAGTAGTAATGCCCTTCAAGTTGAGGCTATGGGTTTAGCACTTTTGGTGGAGAAGACAGATCATTGCACAACGTTGGTCATCACCATTTGGCACAAATGGACACAAGTGATCGCCATTGCCGCTAGTCAACGCACAGCACCGAACTGCCATATTGACTAAGGCATTACGAGGATGTTATTATTTTTCTTCAATAACAAAAATAAACTGTAAAGTGTGAAATTTCAATAACGTATTGAAAATAGTGTTGATGATTGCGTATCGGATGACAGAAGTAAGTGAAAATGTCTACTCAAACCGATACGGCGATCCATTGATTCATCATCGATTACATAAAGGTATTGGCTACACGCAAGGGCCGGAGAGTATCTAGTACATTGATGACTAAGATGTTGCAATGCAAAGACTAACGGTCCCAACTAAAGAATGAATCCATTCAAATTGAAGACCATGCTAAGTTAAAATAAATAAATGGTTGGTTAAGCAGCCCAATTGGGTTTTAAAATACTTGTAACAAGGCGAAGTAATATGCTAGCATGTGCAGTATTGGCAGGAAAGATAAAGCAAATGTTCAATGCATTCAGTACCTTGCATAATCATAAAAAAAGACAATTGTATTGGTATGCTAGTTTGATGGATAAATCTGTTAGGTCTTATAAGAGGAAATAAAGCAAATAGAACTTGTATTATCCTTGAGTTGATGAAGGATAACACGATGATCAGTCCAGCATGCCACAGTGAGAACCATTTAGAATCATTTCAAGTTTTTCTTATCTCTCAGTCCATAACGTGATTTATGAAATGCGGAAGTGCAATGATGCAAAAATGATCTACCCCTTGCTGTTATTGTCGATTTACAAGGAAAGAGTGTAAAATGGGATGGATATTACCCTAAACATGTTCTATCCCACACATGTTGCCAATTACACAGTGTAGCAGTGAAATAGAGTGAGAAAATACAAAATATCTACCGTAGTTTAATCATTTGTTGGTTGATGAATTAGCAGTCATTGGATGGAAAGGAAAATGCAATGAAAGTGGTGAGAAAATGAAGAGCAATAATTGCTATCAAGTGCATCAAATCTTGAGCAATCAATGCTTGATAAGATAATTTACCTAGGACAGACAGTAATGTCTTATTGATTAGGGAAATAAGCACTGTACGCGTATGCAACATTGCTCAAAATAGAGCAGTTTAAGACTGTTTGGTTATCCTTTGATTCAAGTCATGTATTTCATGGGAGAGACGTCGTAATGAAATTACTATCTGTTGAGCACTGTATCATTGCTATGGACTATTGGTAACCATGGCCTAGGTAATAATCTACTCAGTGGTAGTGAATTTGATTGATCTACTTGGATCCAGTATGGGTGCCATGATAAATTGGAATGGGAAAGTGATGAGCTAGGCAAAGTTATTTAGGTAAAGTCCAATGTTGATTATTGGAGTTGATTAAGACACCACTTTCGAGTGGTCGGTCAAGGTAGAAGTCGATGCTTGCATGGATTGATAGACACCATTTCAATTTGAAGATTACGTTCATCTCCATGGAAGATGGAGTGGTATAAAATTACTAGTCATATCGGTGACTTTAAAGTAGAGAGAATTGCATAACTTACAGTGATTGAATTGACCAAGGTAATGGCTGCGAAGGGAATTGATTACAGTCTGCGGTCATTTGTGTATGATGTAGCGCACAATGGCAACGATGAGGGCAAGTTTCCATGATGGTAGTCTGGTCAATGCCAAGTCCACTGGTGTAGACTATACTGACAACATGACAGGCTACAAGATAGAAAAGCAGTAAGTACTGTCTATGATTATTTAAAAGGGTCCAAGGTCTCATTTTGAGGTATCTTGTGGTTGGGCGGACGATTTGGCCAACCAATTGCAAATAAAATGCTTCGACCCCAAGTCAATGTTGTCGATAGAAAAGTGATGAAATAGCGATCAATGCAACGCTATACCAGGTATTATACAACCTACTACTATTGACTACAGCAACTTAAAGTATTCAACATATTCCAATGATTTTACTGGTGCAAAATAAAAAAGATATCGACAGGAATTGATCAATTTTTTCAGTAATCACCACTCTAAGAATTGTCTCCTTCAATCTTGATGGCCATTGAAGGCTGCTAATGAAACCGTTATAACCAAGCAAATGGCTCGATCAACAAACTGAGTCCTAAACTAATTTGACTGATGGCCGACTCGTGTATGGGACGGTAGAGTACGGTATGCCATCACTGCCTCCTAGCCCAGCACGGTATGACTAAGAAGCGTAGTATCACGTGACAGCAGTCCCGTACCAAGCAAGTGGAAGAGGGGGGGGGGTGGACTTGCCTACAGTACACAGTACTGTAGGCAAGACGCCTTCCTACCGGACAGACGACGGACTGCTGCAGGCCAAGGAGGCAACCACGACTGCCAGTACTCTACTGTGTACAGTAGAGTACTTGGAAAGAAGAGAGTCGAGTAGTCCCTGCCTCCACTACAGTACAGTATGTAGACTACAGTACATACTGCAGTAGAACGGTGAACAGGTCTGCAGACTCTCATTTTGATGACGACTTGCCTACAGTACACAGTACTGTACTCTACTGTACAGTGTACAGTAAAGATCGAACCTGTTTACGCTATACTACTGTATTTACCTGTCAACAGGCTCAGAGATCGCTATATAAATGAGCGCATCTCTAGCTAACGATAGTGATTATACCTCGTCTCTCTCTTGTTATCCTCTCTGTCTTTCTTTAATAAACATAGTTTTCTTGACTGTGAGTTGTACGTCTCTGCATACAACAGAATATATTACAGAGTAGTCCCTGCCTCCACTACAGTACAGTACTGTACAGTACCGTATGTAGACTACAGTACATACTGCAGTACAGTACTGTAGAACGGTGAACAGGTCTGCAGACTCTCATTTTGATGATGACTTGCCTTCCTATCGGACAGACGACGGACTGCTGCAGGCCAAGGCGGCAACCACGACTGCCAGTACTCTAGTGTACAGTGTACAGTAGAGTACTTGGAAAGAAGAGAGTCGAGTACTGTACGTACAGTACCGTACAGTAGTCCCCTGCCTCCACTACAGTATGTAGACTACAGTACATACTGCAGTACTGTACACCGGTGAACAGGTCTGCAGACTCTCATTTTGATGATGTCATTCAAGCAAGTGGAAGAGGGGGTACACTTGCCTACAGTACAGTACTGTAGGCAAGACGCCTTCCTACCGGACAGACGATGGACTCCTGCAGGTCAAGGAGGCAATCACGACTGCCAGTACTCTACTGTACACTGTACAGTAGAGTACTTGGAAAGAAGAGACTCGAGTAGTCCCTGGGGTGACTACAGTATCCACACTACAGTACATACTGTAGTAGAACGGTAGACTCTCATTTTGATGATGTCATTCTGTGTCGGCATTCAACGATCATGGGCAAACTTGGAGTAAACAATTTTTTGTTTGGATCGTTTTGCCGGTCTTAACTCCAGCTACAGTGTTGTACATAAATAGGACAAGATTGGACTTTTACAGCAAGTTCGATACTGTATTATCACCGTGTGTCCATGATGCTGGAGAATCTTGCTTTAGTAAGAAGTTACAGTAGTCAGGGCACGGCCATTTGTGGCATGTGTAGATCATGGGCAAACTTGGAGTAAACAATTTTTTGTTTGGATTGTTTTGCCGGTCTTAACTCCAGCTACAGTGTTGTACATAAATAGGACAAGATTGGACTTTTACAGCGAGTTCGATACTGTATTATCACCGTGTGTCCATGCTGCTGGAGAATCTTGCTTTAGTAAAAAGTTACAGTAGTCAGGGCACGGCCATTTTATTCAAATTACAAAGATACTTGGGGTAGATTAGTGAAAGTCCTTCGTCAAGAACAACTAATAACGGATACAGTATGCACTGTACAGTGTATGGGGACTTGTCAGACAGGACGGAAAAAAATTTTCTCCCACGACTTTCTAGACATGCTCAGCTTGACTGTACTGACTGTGTCGAGTTGCGCTTTTTCCTTCAGTCTACACTCACTATCACTGCTACTGTACAGTACAGTACACTACCAGTAGTTCATCTAGTAGCCAGAGTTTATTACCCCGACGGTCAGACTATCGGACTGACGGATTCAGTCCGGGACACCACGCCATCGTTCAGTGTAGACAAGTGTAACGTCAACTTGCGAACCGAACCGTGACAAGTGTAATAGCAACGTTACGTCGATTCGGCAAGGCAAACCCTCCAACGATCGCAAGATGGCCATCAAAGTAGCAACGTTGCTCGCAATCATTCTCCTCCTTCTTGGTAATCCAGTATCAGGACAAGTTGTCAAATTGACGGGGAATAATTGGAAGCAAGCCTTAACTGGAGAATGGATGATTAAATTGTGAGTATAGCTTGTGTAGGATTCATGCTTGAAGAATGGTACAGAATGATGAAAAATAAGCATTGACAACAAGCTGAATCCAGTCAGCATCCATCGTAGTGGTAGTTTTGCACCCATTTGCCATAGTCAATGCTCACTGGACTACAGTATATCCGACATTAGCAATCGTTAGGCATGGACAAACAATAATCAATGGATACGGTAGCTGTGTATCTGCATAGCTGAATATCAATTGAAAAATAATGCAATAGTAGTTGTCATCAGCTACTGCAGTACAGGATAGAAATACAATCGATCACATAGTGCACAGGAGCAAATGGAGAAAACGACGTCATGACTATTTCCATATACGGTAGCAATGACTATTGTTGGCTTCCTCCTATAGTAATAGTCTTACTGTGGATCATTCAAAAGAGACGATCAACATCAATCATGCTTTGCAAAATGGGAAATGACAATGCTACAGTAGTTACATCATGAAAGTACAATTCCCAAAATAATTGTTGATACTATCCTCTCCTATCATCTCAAGCCCTCCACGTCTACAGTAGAGTAAAAGAAGCCCTTCTTCCAATAGTCGTTGACTGGAATCAAGCGAGCGATACTCTACTCTACATGTATACTACCATAGTAGACATATTCTCAAATTTAAAAAAGAATTCAAAGTCACATTGAATACAGATATACGTGACAAACTGAGATTTATTCTGACAGTAGTGGAACATACAGTACGCTTATCCTTTCATGAATACATCAAAATTGAAATACCAATACAGGATATCACTACGGTAGGTAGAACATCAGAACCGTACAATCAACCGTAAACTACTAAACTTTATCATAGCAATCCAGCGGTAAATCAAGTTCTTTTGCTGATGGTTCATTCATCACGATACCTTCACATGCCGTGTCAGTAATAGTAGAATCTTATGATCACCAGGATGTCAATCCTAAATTTCTGTATCATGCACGTTACCCTGTATGAGGTAAACATCACCCGATTATATTATAATGATCAACACCTAACGCTTGTTACAATCGGACCTTTCCCAAGTGTTGCAAGTAATAGGAATATTATACATATTATTCACTTTTGAAACTTTATCTCATTTTACCTTCAATACTAATCCACTCATCTATACCTCTATCGCTACGCATTGATGCGTTATATGAAATCTTAGCTATGCTCCTTGGTGTCCAGCTTGTCAAAACCTTGCTGAAACATGGACTAATTTTGCTACGTGGGCAAAAAAACAAAAGGATCATACTGTCAGCGTTGCAGAAGTAGATGTAACACAAGATGAAGGTTAAGATCACCGTAATAATGAAAGCGCAATATTCTGAACTACTGATATAATGGCGATGCCAATTACAATTGTATTGTCATATTATGATCACCATCATGTTACAACAGTAGCCATGATTTACATTTCTCATTCTATAGTCAATATTAAGTAAGACTCATCGCTGATGTTTACCGTAATGACTTTTCGGCTTATTGACTGACTGACTACAAAGACCTAGTTATAAAGTGTCATTTAGCCCTAGCCGTAGGTGCACTGTAAATGTTGCAAAACAAGTAATTGTGAAGTACTCTACAGTATGAGTAGGACAACACAATAATATTGCTATCATAGTGACACAACAGGATAGCCTTATCGAACAAGTGACAATAAATAGATTTGGTCTAACGTCGGAGTTCTTTTTAGCTTTAGGAGCACAATTTATGATCACCGCCTTACCCACTATCTTTCAGTAAGCAACGAGCGGATTATTCTATTCATATCAAAATCGATTTCATTGTCAATTTATGGTGCCATGATGTTGATGCAAACTTTTACTGAAAATACACAGTGTAAAGAACGGCCAGTTTCGCAAATATTCACCTCCACCCACTTTAAGCAACTTTCAGGCGTACATCACCAATCAGAATTGGGAAAAAGCTGATCCGTTATCTTGGTGGAAATCGCCTAGCTCTATAACGTAAGTAGATCGCGATAAAAACAACCGATCAACACAGTATTTTGCCTTAATGCTTTACCCAATGAACTTATTCCGTACAGGATGGTTGGGCTTGGCTATTTATATAAATTCTCCATGCAACTTAAGGTTATCCACTGTTGATGATTAATTGAAAATAGCTACAAATTGCATCGTTATTATTGGCTTAATATTTCAGTAATATTTAAAAATCACCTTTCCGATCCAATATATTCTGCTAACTCACTACACAAAATTCCCAATAACAAAATTATAGAGTCTCCATCAAATGCTAGTATCAGAGTACAACATTCCGGAGTATGTTGCCTACGGTATAATGGGTCTTGGATTTATTATAGTCGGACTCGTTATTGCTTTGGTAAGTTTACTCAAGAGATATATCAATCAAATTGTTTGTGTTACTAACATTGCAATGCTAACGGTGACAATTTTACCATCTCTTCAGCTTGGTAGTTCATTGATTGATAGTGCATTAGGAACTCCATCGCCAAATAGAAATGTTCAGGAATTAATAGATATGCAACAACCCGAAAATGATAGTAATACACAAGATCCTGCAACCAGCGAAGATGTTCAAGATAATAACAATAAGGATGAAGATAAAGATAGCACGGCGGGAACTGATGAAGGTGCAAAGGTTGAAGAAGATTACGTAATAGTCAATAAAAGTTATACCAAAACTGAAGGATCACCAAGAAGTAGTCCGCGCAGAAGGTTCATTCATTTATTACTCATTATATTACCGTTAACATTGATTAATTATTCTATGCGGTATTGCTTTACGAGATGAAAAAATCTTATCCTAATGTTATCACTTCATTCTTTAGGAAACTAAAAGCGTCTGCCGATTAAAAATTTCCTCTGCTCGTAACCATAACGAAATATTTTTAGACTCTGCCAACGATACGCATAGTAAGCAGGAAATGTGTAACGTTCCATTTTACCGTATGGTACTGTGAAATGCTTAAATTACAATAAAAACTGTACTATCAATTCTAACAGAATTGAATCAATGCAATAATATAACTCAGCTACTGTCAATTGTATGCGCAACCACTTTAAATATGTAAGTAAGATACTTGTCTTTTTTATATTGTATCTTAATAAATCGACTTAAATGTGAGTATGTGTTCGCAAAATGTTATCTTTCAATTAAAAATGGTGCTTTTTGCATATATTGTAATATGTTATATTCTAAATTTCATGGTAATGTTGTGATTGAGCACGTTATGGTTAATATGAATAAACAACACGTACGTATCGCAGTTAGAACTGACTGTAATACGAGTATACTTTCTAACCTGTATGCGAACGGCCGATTACTAAATGTTTTGCTTATTTTATCGGTATTCTCAGTCGATTTCATCGATCGAAGAAAATACGTGCAATTTCGTAAGAGTGTCCTCTGTTAAACATGACATATTATAGCTAAAAATCGGATAACAAGAATTTCCGTATGGTATATGGCAGATACATAACTTTTTGTCAAGCGGCAACAAAATCTTACTGTTAATTCTTCTTCTACTACTAAAACATCAAATGTATCCATAAACTTCAGATAACCATCAGACTGTACTAGTACGCTAATATGATCTTGATTTTATTATTAATCAGCTGAACGTACTCTCTACGATGCTGTATCCATAAGCTTACCTCAAGCCCAGTTAACCTTCATTCAGCATAGGAACTATAGTAGACAGTACGCTTTTTTACTGCATATTCTACCTACCCTTTCATATTGAAATACAAACTAAATGATTTCTGTATGTAACTCACGTAAAGCTAAATTATAATTGATTTGATTGCTATCTCCCCTTAATGAGTGATAAAAATTTTTTGCGGTAACTTCCTACGTATCGATTAATTTCCGACCAGTGAATCTTGAAAAATCGTAAGATAATACGTATAGCTGATACCATAAAGTCATAATAACAAAATTCAATGCTGGCCGTAGCAATCTATCGGTGCTCAATATTACGATATTTGTAATGCAATGGCCACATTGTAAGCAATAATAGAAAATCCAAGACATTGCAAAAGTTCGCTTTATTATTTGCTTTTAATGGTTGACTTAAAATTATAATTATCAAGATATACAAATGCAAAAGATTTGAAACCTACTTAATAGGAAGACATATTTAGATAAGGTATTAATTTACAGAATATAATAAGATGCTATATTCGATGAATAAAAAACACTTAATTCGAGGTCTGTTGCTGCATTTTCCATTTCTTTGCCATTTGGAGAAGTTTAAAGTTAGGCATATTCTCTTCGCTGTCCGGGAATATGTAGTCGTAGTATTCCTCCCAACCGCCGTCGGTCTGTAAATATGTAAAGACATTCAAAGATATATCGTATCATAATTACTCTAGAAAAAATACAATAAAAGATAAAATACCCCATCCTCATTTTGTGCTTTTCGTCTCTTCTTAATTTTGCGAGGCATTAACTTTTGTACAGCATCTAACTTTTCACTTCCGTTTTGTGCCTTAGATTTATAATAGAAAATATGTTTAATCGGGTTTAAAGCCAATACTTTTGTACTTACTTAAAGGTAGAAAACTATGCATGCCTACTTACTTCGAAATCTCTCCACGACTCCAACAACATTAATCTCTCTTCTTTAGCGTCTGTCTTCCTTAAGGCATTATTTGCACGCTCATAAGTAGAACTAAGAAATTATAATCGCATGAGACCATTATCAAATCAAAATTACAGCTAATCTACATAATTTTACTCACCGACAACGGTCAACTGCCCCATTCTCTTCAGCATTTAGTTCAAATAGAGCATAGCTAATCCAAACCTAAATAAAACATAGTTCATTCATCCTTTGAGATGTACAAAAGACTTTCGAAATGAAATCCATCAATACCAAAGATTACCTTAACATGTTGGGTCCTTTCTAACAGTTTTTCATATAAACTCCTAGCGTTTTCGTACTCCTCTTGACCAATCTCAAAGTCTATGTAACTTTTCCACAAAACCTAGGTATATTACACCATATACAGCAATTACACTAGACAATTCTCTGCTAATTACACTCACATCTTTCAAAATAATACTAGAGTAAAATAATACCTCTGGCATATCCATTATTGGTTGATTGATGGCTAACTCAAATATAGCTCTAGCACGCTCTACATCACCTAAAATAGTCTCAAGTTCCGCATACTACAGTATCATTATAATAAGCATCTATTAATACATAGCTACAATTATTTAATTCAGTATTAACATATAGCATAGCAAACACATAAACGAACCTTAACCCAACTTGTACAACAAGAAGGATTAAATTGTAAAAATTTCTCGTATAACTGTCGACATCTGTCAAATTCTCGTAATTGTAGCTCCAACTCAATGTAGCTTTTATATAACTTCTCTTTGGGGCATCTCCCAATAGCATTGCCCTAATTAACAAATAATTCCGTAAGAATACATTATGACCTGTAAAATTTCACTATACCCTACTCGTTACCAAAATCTTCCGGGCAGAAGTAGCGTCCTTTTGACGAATCTCGAAATTAGCCAACATTATCCATATTTTGGCAAAAGTAAACTAATAAGCGAGATACAATAAATACATATTATAAAAGGGACCATTTATGACTTCTTACCGCCTGAAAGGACGTATTCATGATTAAAGTAATCTAAATTTGATATAGAATCTAGCATAATTACACTTAAAACATATATACTGAAAATCAGCGGCAATGTAATTTGAAGAAATGTTAGTTTAGATATATTAGCAGAACTGAAAAGAATCAACGAAATTGTAAAGCTTCATTGTTCTCACCTTCTTGTGAGGTATAAGATTTAAGCAAGCCGTGTAGACCTCTCGTGCTCGTTTTACATCCTGAAATCATTATCGCAACACTTTTAAATATTTCACTATAGTACAGTATTTTGCTAAGTACAAAGCAAAAAATATCAAACCTTAGCCACTAATTCTTCAAATAAGGCGTAATAAATCCAAAGGTATATATATCGGCGCCAATAGCGTTTTTCCTAAAAGCCGATTGCTGTCTTTAGTATCGTATGATAGCATAATCTACTTATGGTAGTAACTTAAATATTTTACTTGAATTAAAGGAACGTTAGCTATAGCCCGTTCATAGATTTCACGAATAGCTTCTTCATCTTCCTCATTTTCCATTAGTCGGACGTAATCAAACCAAACATCATAGTTATGAGGATTACTTTCAAGTTCCTAAAACGGCATTATCGTGGTATTATCATAGGTTAAATAAAACTATGCATTTACTCTATACAGCACGCTATCACATCATCTCAATAACAGATATACAATTCTATGCAGTACAACAAGATCTCTCTCAGAAATTCGACTACTCAATAAGGTAAGGTTCAAAGTATAAACTTGTAATACTGTAGTACTAGTATTGAAGTGGAAAGTATTTTACCTCTTCATATTGACGACGACGTTTACTAGTAACCACAGTCTCTATGCCCATTCGATCCCCATGTCTTTTCTCGAACTGTGTAAAATTTTTATATAATTCTTTGGCATCTTCCTTAGGCAATGTGTCTAAGGCATACTTATAAATCATACGAGCACGTTCAAACTACGAAAGAAAAGTGTATAGAAAATATACAATTAGTATTTCAAAATTATGCATTAATCATTCTCACTTAGCATATTAAAATACGATATACCTCTTTGCACTTTTCCTCGAGTTTAGAGAAAGCGATAAATATAGATTCATCCATAAGTTCATCGCCATAAAAATCCATAGCGCGCTCATATACTTTCCTAGCTTCCTCTATATATTTCAGTTATATATATGTCAATACGTATAGATCAGCAGGAGTTAAGATTAACAAGATATAAAATAACAGCATTAGACTCGTTAATGTAAATTAACCTGAGCCACCGTGTTGCTCTTCAAATCTTGCAAATTTAATCCAATTTTTTATATCAGGATGAACGACCACAACTGTAAAAGCATTAAAATATTTATCCATAAGATCAAGTACATCTAAAAAGATCCTTATTACATTAAGAACTGACACATGATATCAATATTGTAGCATCTATGAGCAGTAGATAAGATAAGCCTAATAAAAAATAATAACGTACATCTTTCGTAAATATTCCTCGCCTTATCGACCTCTTTATATCTTAGTTCCATTTTAATGTACGAAAACCATGCCTACGGATAATATAAAAAACTTGATTAAAAGATTTATCCAAATTAACGTTCCAATCGGTAGTACTGTTTACAACCTATCCACCACTATCGCGTCATGAAATGTTTGCTAGTTAAATAACCTGTTCTTCTGGTTCCCATTTCATCCATCTTTCAAAAATTTGACGTGCAGCAGGTATGTTACCAAGCATTTCTTCCATGTACGTATATTTATACCTACAACGTTAAAATTGACCATAAGGTTAATCTTGACTATAATGGCCTGTAGCAGTAAGTCGAAAGAACTACGCGTGTATATCAAAATTAATAAATTAACGTCGTATTCTTACCAAAATTGATTAGCACGAGGTAAAATAGTGACGGCTCGATCCCAAATATTTCTGGCATGATTTATTTGACGATTCCTTTATAAAAGTGGTTGTGTAAAATGAATATTTGTAGCAATTTGTATCAATGACAATTTGATTAGTCAAGGTAGCAAAGTATAAAGTCTATACTACGTGTATGTTCAATATATTACACATACCTCATTTCCATTTCAGCATATTTCAGCCATACTGCCGTGTTACGATGGTCAACGTCAAGACCTCTTTCGTAAATAGACCTAGCCCTATTTCATTAATTATATAATATATGCATTTTAGTGTCTGGTTAGGACAGAAGAGGATATCGTTGTCATTAAGCAGGCCTAAGCAATAAAGATAGACGTTTAACCAATGGCACTGGCACACCCGTTACTAATTTTAAAAATTTCAATATGGTATTTATTAATGTATCCGGTTGAAGGTAGAGAATATTTACCGATCAATTTCGCGCTGACTCTCTTCCCAGCTAGCATATTTCAACCAATTCCCCATTAGCGTCCGATTCTTACGCAAGTTATCTTCGAAATCTTTCCTTTTCCTTAGCTGATAACTTCGTAATTCTTCGGGATCAGTAATCTTTTGCTTCGGTGGCTATAATCATTACGTAAAGCATTTATAATGCAAAGAATGCATTTATGATGATGATAAAGTACTGGTGTAGTATAGCTATTTTATCCAATTTGCTAAGATTGTACTACTAAAGTGTAGATCACTTGTTTGCAATGATGACAACACGTTCATCCAAGTGATTGAATATTGAATTGTATTCATTACACGTTGTTAGTACTTGGCCAATGTAGCCTAGATAAAGCAACATTATTACCGGTGGAATTCCTTCTAATTGCCTTTCTTGGGCTTCACGGAGAAGTTGTTCGGCCGTAATTTGTACAGGAGCAGGCAATTTATTTTTGACCTGGGTAGCAATATGACAATTAATATAATCCATGATGATGATGATCGCACGCCATCGAGTCATACACCAGTAGATAGGTTATTGAATAGAGTAATTTTTCTCTTGTAATGTATCTTATATCGTAAAGACTGCTTGTTCACTTGGCTATATACTGTACTTTACTGTAGATCGCTATCTCTATCCTTTCAATTGATTGATATAGCAAGAGTTACCTTTGCCACTTTGGGGACTGACGTCCTGACATTTCTATTTTCTGGAGCGGTTGACATTTTCAAGTTCTTCAAGTATGATATCGACACAAGCAATAAAACACTCTTTGGTAGTGTGCTCTCTACTAAGAATGTCAATCACTAAATAGGCAAAGTAAGGCAAAATCAATCAGCTTCTATCCACGATGGCAATATCAATGAGTGAAATATTGCAGTGATGTCTAACCTTTGCAATAATATTTCCAGGATGAAGAGCATCAGCGGCTAACGATCGTGGGCTCCAGACTGCAGTGTTGTACTCAGCTTCTACAGTGTACAGTACAGCATACTGTAGTACGACAGTACTGTACAGTACTGTACTGTACTGTATTATGTACCGTGTACAGTGCAATATACTGTAGTACTACAGTACAGTTCAGTACGGATCCATTGGCCGGTTGCATTCCATACAGTACAGTACTGTACAGTACAGTAATGTAGAAATAAAAAGTACTGTAGTCGACGTCTAGTGGAGGAAATAACGGTTTGTCATTGAACATAATTTATGAATAAGTTCAACGTTGTATGTCAATTTTAACTCAAGAATCTTGTTATTCAACTCTTTCATGATCGCTTAATGTATTATTTGTCTACTTTCCAAAATTTATTTTTGTTTGGATGTTAAAATTGATGGGCTAAAATATCTGAAACATACAGTACAGTATTCCAAGTTTTTACACACCGCCGTACAGTACTGTACAGTATGTACTGTACAGTGTACACTGTACACTGTATATTGTACAACGGCAGAGTGTCGACTATGGAGGTCCAGCGAGCTAACCAGAGAAAGACTGTTGCAGTCATTTTCTAGACTGTACTGTGTACAGAAAAACTCCACTGCACCATAGAGATACAGTACAGAAGATAGAAAAAAATCGCTCTTTAAGGAGGAAAACGTTTCCTATTCATGGAGACCCTAGTACCCATGAAAAGCATGGGACATGGAGACCTAGTACCCATGAAAAGCATAGGACACAGTCACAAACACATGAAAAATGATGTTAAGCATGGCGATGATTTCGTACTGTGCTTGTGACATCATTTTTGCGAACGGGTTGGCTTGCTTCTACGACGATTCAGCATACTAAGTGCAGCTGGGTAAAGGTGCTTTGGTGTACAGTATCGCCATCGACACTGTACGATACACTATACGTACCCATAACCTGATGAATGTGAGCAACACTCGAGTGCATAGAGCAAAGGCAATGTCACCTATTTAGAGTACTACGTACTGTAGGTGACAGTCCAGCTACAGTACATCACACTCAAGACAAGTACTGTAGGGTGTACAGTACTGTACTATACGCATGAGTACCAGTATGGTATGGTACGGTACGGTACGACACTGGTTAATCCAGTACACTGCAACCGAACCATCCCACTGTGGCGAATGCCGAAATCGCCACTAGACTCCATTTTGTTTCTTGATTTTTCAACATCTTTTTACATCAATCTTTCCCATACATTCTACAAATAAGACACTATGGTTTTAGCCGAATTAGGTAGAAAAATTACTGATGCCTTACGGTCTCTCAGCAATGCGACGATTATCAATGAAGAGGTATGAAATTGTATGAAAAGATTTTCATTCACTGTCAGTAAAAGTACACATAACCGACATGTTACTGTATTTCACCATAACTCGTCCATGAATATTTTTCATTGCCAGTCTCTGTTGAAAACCACTCAAAGATAAAATGAGTAATGGTAAAAGTGCTTAAAATTGGTCAGGATTAGTCTGCGTCTTCATGTTGAAGATAAATAGAGGATTACTGCTATAGCAATAACAATATTGAATTGACTGCTTATAAAAGTACTTGCTGTTGCTATTTTACAAATGGAAAGCTAGTCTATCGTAATGGATTGCAGTAGAAACCTGTACGAAAGGTATTAATTTTAGAAATCTGCGGTTGCTGGTACCATCAATTGTGCAAACAGTAGTTAATTTATCGTATTAATGTTGCCAAATACCACTCCAAACGCAATGGCATGCACTACTAGGGACATCTAGTAGTCCATAATGGTGATCAATTTACTCATGGAATAGACAGAATTCATTTCTTACGTTATGTCCTCTCCTATGACACTAAAGTTTAATCTTAATATTAAAGCGTTAACTCATTCAATCTCGTAGAAACGATATCATCAAACTGCAATAAACTAAACTTGGATGCTTTTTGGACTAATCGATAGCTGAATTCCATCCATGTGTTGTACATTACGATTTTTTCCATTATTTTGCCATCTTACTCTTTGACGAGGACTGTACAGTGCTATACAACAGCACTCTTGAAATTAATGAACGTCTTACTAATAATTATAATCGCTATGATAGAACCCAATAGTTGATGCAACTTTGATACAACCATGTGAGGAAATACTCTTCTAGAAGCCTGATAGTCATATTTATTGTTAATGCCAATAATAGGTGGTTCAAGCTTTATTGAAGGAAATATGTGCTGCTTTACTGGAATCAGATGTCAATGTTCAATTGGTTAAGCGTTTAAGAGAGAACGTAAGGTACGTATAAAACCTAGAACAGATTGGACCAAGTATTATGAAAGATGATAGTTACTTATAATGTATCTGACCAACGACGAAATTCATTACGCTATGAATTCAGTCATTGTGTAACTGAGATATACTCGTCAATAGCTGCAATTTTATAAAGCCAACTAGTCTATTTTCTAGTCTTGAAAATATCATATATTACCTGTAAACAGGGCTGCCATTGATTTTGAGGAAATGGCTGCTGGATTAAACAAGAGAAGAATTTTACAAAGAGCTGTTTTCAATGAACTATGCAAAGTGAGTTAAAACTAAATTCTACGATTAAACTCTTAAAAAGTACTCTTACACTTCTTTCATTCGCGGAAGTGATTCACAGTTCGCGCTAATATAAATGCCTTTGCTCCAAAATTTCAATATTTTATTCATATTCTAACTTCATCACACTTTCTGATAGCTTGTTGATCCTGGCGTTAAAGCATGGCAACCCACTAAAGGGAAAAACAATGTCATCATGTTTGTAGGGCTACAAGGTAGCGGTAAAACTACCACATGTACTAAGGTAAAAACATAAATTGTATATCGTTTAGCTTCAGCAGCCAATACAGTAACTGTGCTGCTACAAATTCAAACAATCTGTTCATTACCAAGTATTGTGCGTAGAAATATTAACCATGCTAATTTTATTCCTAAATTATAGATGGCTCATTATTATCAAAGGAAAGGGTGGAAAACTTGCCTTATATGCGCTGATACATTTCGAGCAGGTAATCGCCTTATGAAAACCCTGTAATTTTAACTCCAATCCAGATTAATCATTGTACTGATTGTCCATTTAGGTGCATTTGATCAGTTAAAACAAAATTCCACCAAAGCAAGGATTCCGTTTTATGGAAGGTACTCGCATATCCTAAGATCCTGAATTGCATAAGAATTGATGATCATTAAAGTGAATTTTCCTGTTATAATATCGATATCTTCCTTATAAATAATAATAATACCGTAATACAATGCAGTGCCAATACATATCTATGAATGAGTATAGTGCTTTATAACTGTGTAATAAGTTACGTCTTGTATATTTTAATAGCTATACCGAAATGGACCCAGTGGTAATTGCGCATGATGGTGTCGAAAAATTTAAGAAGGAAAATTTCGAAATAATCATCGTCGATACGAGGTATTGCACACATTTTATTTGTTAGCCTAAAGTCCTAGTATTCCTAATACAATAATTACATGTTCATCATGTGAAAAGTGACCTATTAAATATATCCTGATTAATTTCTTAACAGCGGCCGACATAAACAAGAAGATTCCCTATTTGAAGAAATGTTACAGCTTTCCAATACTATTGTAAATAACGTTCCTTGCATACTACAGTTGTTTTGTTTTAGCTACGCAAAGGTGTAGTTTCTAATTATTTTATGAAACCGATAGACACCTGATAACATTATATTCGTAATGGACGCTACTATTGGACAAGCTTGTGAAGCACAAGTTAGTATATCTTTACGTTGTCAGGTTATTATAACACAACGTGTAGTGTGTCATCAAATAACCATAGACTTATTCCTAATAGGCAAGAGCATTTAAGGAGAAAGTCGATGTTGCTTCTGTTATCATTACTAAGCTAGATGGACATGCTAAAGGTGGTGGATCTCTTAGCGCGTAAGTTGGCATCAACAAGTTATTGAAATTAAGAACAAATTTTAAGGATTCAAGCTTATACCACCATTAAACTTTTTCAGTGTAGCTGCAACGAGAAGTCCCATCATTTTTATTGGTACCGGAGAACATATTGAAGACTTTGAGCAGTTTAAAACAAGGCCATTTATCAGTAAACTCTTAGGTATACATCTCTTTATGTGATTTCTAAACTTAAAATAAATGATTTACTAAGTAAAATTTGAATTTATTACTTAAAGGTATGGGCGACATTGAAGGACTGATAGACAAAGTCACTGAATTGAAGCTAGATGAAAATGAAGAATTAATTGAAAAATTAAAACATGGTTAGTATTTATCTATCCTTATTTTCGAAAGAGTCATCTTTTTCTACTTATTGTAAATATATCACGGATGTAAAGCCTTAATTTAGCCACAAGTCCTAACTTAATAGCCATACCTTTATTATCATAATATTCTCCAGGTCAATTCACTCTTCGTGACATGTACGAACAATTTCAAAATATTATGAAAATGGGTCCATTTAATCAAATTATTGTAAGTGAACATGTGCTCTTATCACAAGGGTTGATCAATGATCCAATAATTAAGTTAAACTTAATTAACTGCACTCCCTTTTAGGGTATGATTCCTGGATTTGGTCCTGAATTCATGAGTAAAGGAAATGAACAAGATTCCATGAAGAGACTAAAACGACTGATGACAATTATGGATAGCATGAACGATGAAGGTATAAGATTCTTAAACAGCCAACTTATGCAACTTTCTACTATTGCTAGCATTTTTAATATATTGAATATTTCGTCTCTATAGAGCTGGATAATCGCGACGGCGCAAAATTTTTCTCTCGCACACCTGGAAGAACTCAGCGGGTAGCACGAGGTGCTGGTGTATCCATTCGAGAAGTACATGAATTGCTGTCACAACATACTAAATTCGCTCAGGTAGTGAAAAAAATGGGCGGCATCAAAGGCTTGTTTAAAGGTATTCATTGCATACATATAACAAGTGGCTACTGTATGACCATACATTTGATTTATAACACTTATTATTGCGTTTGCTTAGGTGGTGATATGAATAAAAACGTTAACCCATCCCAAATGGCTAAACTTAATCAGCAAATGTCCCGAATGATTGATCCACGAGTTCTACAACAAATGGGTATGTAATTAACTTAAGCTATTTTTTATGTGCCAAATCAAAGCTTACGATGTTATTAAAAATCCCTAGGTGGAATGCCAGGTATACAAAATATGATGAGACAATTTCAAAGCAGTGGAGGCATGGGTGGACTTGGCGGTAATTTAGCTAATCTAATGGGAGGAAAACGTTAGTATTGTTATCGGACGTTGTGAAGGCAATTAACTACTTTTGACCGTAACATAGAAAGCAACATCTTAAGAATGTAAATCGCTATTAAGCATTCGAATGAAGAAATACCACATGATGAAATTATTCAACCTTACGAAGGTTAAAGTAAATGACTAATCTTTTTGAAGTATTCTCTGGTATAATAAGCAGACGTTACGTTTACGTTATACATGTTGACAATATACTGTATCATATATTCGGTAACGATCACAACTGATATCAAGTCGTGTTATCGTTAAAAATATTAATTTGAGGTGGATAATCTGTAATGAAATTAAAAAGAGTTGTAACTATTTTCTATGTTCACACGAAATACTTTATGTATTGCTTGTGCAGTATATGGTATTTATATAGTGTTGTGCATAATGACAAACATTTGATGGTACTGTCTCACTTTACTACTATTGATACGTCACTATGCTTTGTAACATTTGCTATTCTTGCATTTATAACAACACAAATTTTAAAGGTATTGGATGATAATGCATATAATTTTAGGTCAAGTGCATACAAATTATTAAACTCATTCCCTCAATTTGAGTTGGGCTTGATCTATTTAATTACTACTGATAATCTCAGACATTCAATATTGTAACACAGACGCAGAAGATTGTTAAATAATATAGAGCATGACATGTTCGGCCTTATTGTACTGAAAAAAGAACGTACCATAATAATTAGTTTTTTATCTATAAATGTATTCGTTATATATTATAATCCTGTTAAGTGGCTATAGTATATTAGACTGCAAGTTTTTACATCATGACAAGGGTACCTTCAATAATATCTACGTATATCAGCATTCCATTCTTTCGACAGGCTTATTTCTTTTTAAAGACTACCCCATTCAAGGTAACTTTCATAACTCTCCAATGCAATAGATATACTCTACGGAGAAAAGACTGCTAAAATACTGCCAAAAGAAGTTATTCTTCGCTGCCAAACTTTTAGGAATTACCGTAAGAGAGTTGATTTGATGAAATAAGAAGAGTTGTCGCATGAAATGTCAACTATGTTTGTATTCACCTACTATTAAAATACTACTGGTACGCTACATTTGCATAAAAGAGTGCAGAGCTCTTTGGAGTGTACAGTACTGTAGATGCAGGTGTAGTCCTTATGCCCTTATATCTTGCTAGGGAACTGCGCTTCCTGTCAATCGTATAAGGGTCCTTGTAACAATTTTTTTTTTGCAGTTTAGAAATGCAGTTCAGTAATTTAAAGCATTGAGAGCATTAAAGATCAGAGTAATAAATATAAAACACGATAAGTGCGCCACCACTAATAGCTGTAACGTTATAGCCAAATGCTTTTCGTACAGTATAACAGACCTTCTCTTCGAGGAACTTAATTAATACTCAAATAGCATCAGAAAATCATTCTGGTACAATACAATAAAAGTATGCCATATTACACCCTAGCCAGCCCAAAATCTTGCTCGTGAGTGTCCGATATTAGGCGTTAAATCAAACTATATCTATCAACATGTATAATTTCCATACTCAATATTTTCGATGAAGGTACGCAATCAATCATCTAAAAAACGATTCAAATAATATTGATGTAGATGGTATAGTAGCTTTAATGAATGGATATGCAAACCGAAAAGTAAGGCAATTATTACATATCTACTTAAAAGTTAAAGCTACTTATTAGTTATTGTACCATATGAGTGATTTTATAACTCTGAACTTTGTCGCCGATGCACATTCAAGTAGTATTATAATATCATTTGTATCTTCATAGCTATAAAATTTTTGCATAATAAAAGATTCAAATATATATTCGTATCAGTCCCGCATTCGAATCTTGCATATATACTACTACACAGTATTATGATTAAAAAACGTAAATTGATATTGGATGATTAGTTATAGCTGAAGACACAATATTAAATCATCGATATTTACGAATTAAGAAAATAAAGTAATCAATAAAATCGTCTCTTTCATTCGAATTGAAATCTTAATAAATTATGAATTTGTTTATAGCAAAGTTACTGTAATACATATTCTTTAGATGGTTGATTCCAATGCAGTATTGTAGTTTTAGAAGCTGATGTTGCATTCGAAATCATGTATACCTAGTATGGTGTTATGTCAATAAAATAGATTAGAAATTTGATGATAAAATCTCGGAATATCTCGATCTGATTCGTCTACATTGTAATATGTTCACTACTATAAGATAACTAAGACATACTGATACTCTACACGAATGATTACATTTCCTGGCGCTTCATGTATATCTAGTAATGTCAATACACATAATTTATGCTAATGGCAGAAATATTGCTAGAAATTACGCTCTATTCAACCACAGTTTCCTAATTTTTGCTGTCTACGGATGAATACGGTTATTTACAATATACGACAATTAATAAAATCAGTAGTATGAATACATAGCAAGAATAAAATCTTGCTAAAATACAACTCTTAATAGTTAGTTATTTCAGAACTATAATTAGGGATGCCTATGAAAGCTATCCAAAATTATCCCATTAAATCATAATCAGATTGATGGCATCGGTAAAATCGAATCTTATTCTATATTTAATTTCCTTCATTTTAGCTATCACAACTTCACTAGAAGGTGTCTATTATAATTATTTATTACGGCAGACAATATCCAATTATAAGCTGATATGCTAATGATAACTTTATCTTGAAGGCCCTTGTTACGTTATATCATTTATATTAAGTACAATAAACCTATTACGAAGTTTCTATTTCGTAGGACTAATCAAAAATCCCTAGTTCACGTATATCGTACAAAGATCAATAAACAGAATTAGTAGATGACAGTTTTCACATTCAGTGAAGCACAAATTATATGCTAATTCACGGTTAATAACCCCATTCAAAGGATTTTCATTTATATTATGTTCTTGTATCACTTTACTAATCTTATCGCCTTTACTAGAATTAGTTTTTATCGCTTTAAAGAATGATAGCGTACATGCTTTTGTTACTGTAAGATAATTTTTCTTGTTACTGACATTAATTTTGTTCCGATAGATATGATTACTTACATATACGCAGTAGATACAAGATATCACATCATAATTTAGCGAACTATAATATCTTTTACTGTCTAGGAATATCTTCTGAAGTTAATGATATAATTTCAATTTAAATACCTATGATAATAATAATCATCATCATATGTATTTAAGCGGAACTTGAAATGCGTTTGGGTCAAAGCCCTTTTAAATATATGACGCCAGTCGCCCGACGTCTAAAATATAAAATAAAATTTTATATTTTGGGCGACCAGTATCGAGTTTAGGAAAGGATTTAGCCAAATATGTCTAGTTCTTGATTCGACGCAATGTAAATGTAGCTCTACTGTAAGCCAGTAAAAAGCGAAGTATCACGAGCGAGGAAATGCACTACGGTAATGCAAGTTTTATGCTCAAATTAAGCCATAGGTCAAAGGCTCACGGTTACAACTTCGTGTGATCTATAAAATTAGGTACAGCTAGATGCAAAGCTGGTAGCTAGCTTTTTATGTTTTTTTTATTAATATGAAACTTGAATAGGCGTTGCTGGCTTTACAATTTCCGGTTGCACAATTAGATACAACTTCGTATGATTTATAAGTTGCGTATAGCTGATACTGTAGTTAGGTTCTATAATTTAATTCTGGCACGGAAGTTAAAACAGATAATGCAGGCTTAATCATACTACTTACTAGTTGTATCATTAGATATCAGTATAGAATAAGCTTAAACCACATTGATAGAAATTTTTAATTTAAATATACGAATGGGTGCGTATAGTGCATTTCTTCAAAAATGTTATCCTTGGGCCTCTATGCATAAAATGTCTTATAGCGTACAATCCATTATGAAACCCTTAATTCTATTAAAGCGACATGATATTTGCTATCCATACGCGTAAAATATGACATATATTTGTCTTCTATAACAGTCCTCTACGTTAGTTTAAATCTTTGGAGAGAATCAGGTATATGCTTTGTTGTTATGCAGAAAAGAACCATTCTTTATTGAGATGCTGAGATCTTTTACAGCCCTAAGGCTAAGATAGTATTTACTTGTTGGAACGAATTATAAACAAAGCAATTCTTTGTTTAGATACATGGCTTACTCATTGAATTCTATCATGTTACGAATTCATTTTATTGATCTACGTGCACATGCAAATTTGCTTTAATTAGCCTCCTTAGAAGATATACCCAGTAAATTGATAAAAAGCGGAGACGCATAATAAAATCATTCATGCCAGTACGCTAATATACAGTGCTCGTTTAGATTAATCACGCTAGAAATTTTGGGCAACTTTTAAGACTTGATTGATAAGTTATAATTATTATCCATGAAAAAAAGCATTCAAAAAAATCTCAACTAATGACTTCTAAAACCCCTCAGGCAGGATTCTAAATTGTTACTAATTATTTTCCGTGGTGATTGTCAAGGATTGATCTTGACTATTGAAGGCAGAAAAGTAATGCCAATGTTGTATAATTCAGTTTTGTGTAAATTATACAGTGGACAATGCTGACCACTTGATATAATTGATATGTTCCTATTTCATCAAAATGTCTGTAAACGTTTAATTTCATATATGGAAATAATTAACTGATAATTGCCGCAAATAAAACGTGGGCACCGAATCAGATATAGATTGTATGAAAGTTTATGCTATAGTCTATACTGCCTATTTATGAACAATTTATTCGTTATGACAGTAGTTCCAACTTGTTCTCTCGGAAGTAGCTATCACATCAGGATAGTAAAGTGGAAGTATTACACAGATGGAGCATTTCGTAAGGACCGTCTCTTCATGTGTAGCAGTATAGTAGTATATGATTGATTTATAAGACGGATATTTTACGAGACAGAAGTTTACTTTGGCCAATGAGACAAAGCAAATCAGGTTGCTGGCGTTTGTCTATCCATGATGGTATTGGTGTCTTGAATAATATTGATAACGAAACAGCTATTAACATTAAGCGATTTCATTGATTACTAAGTGAAAAGTATCGCCAAGACAGATCATTTAGCTAAAACTAGCAGTCATTATTTTCGTCCTCAACATTAAACAGCATTGAACAGCATAAAAAGATTGCTTACTCCTATGAATACTAGTGAAAATGGCATCGATTTATTAGTCCAGACCACACTAACAATAGACCTAGAAAAAGTTTACAGTTCATAATTGCGCAATTTAATAGCCATAATGTTGTTGTCTTGTATTACATTGATACCTTACAGACAGAATCAGAAGTCAATTGACTTTTATTTGTGATATCTTTGGAAGAAATAATGCCAGTTCTGTAATTATATCGACTATAATAACAAATCCATTGACGTTGCATAGTCACTATGACAACCTTGATTCGACTACTTCTAGTATTGCTACTCCCAAGCAATTGGAATATGAGACGATGATGGAGTTATATGGAAATAGGGAAATTGCTATAACTGTATCAAGTCTTTTCAATGGTACAATAGCTACGTAAACAACGAGCAGTAACGCTAGATTTTATTCTATAGCGAATTAATTACTGAATGAGTGTACATACGAAGATGAATGGTAATTTTGCAAATTTAGACTTATTAGCCTACAATAAAAGATTATTTCTCCATGGCTAGTTACCTATTCGATTTTCTATTTGGCGATAAGTTATTAGGAAATCATGTTGAAACGATGACGACCAATTGCTTTCTAATCGAAGTGTATAAGATCTTAATAGGGGAATTAATCTTGATTTCTCAAAATATCGACGCATGTTTTAACATTACAGTAATCTAATTCCATAGAACACTAATTTGCTCTAGAAAGTGCATTCATGTCCAATTTTTGTTGGCGCGCCGCAATCATCAAATGATTGGAGATCGAAATCAATAAACTGATTTGAGTGGTTACATTGAATTGTCCTCAATGAACTATTATCGTTTTATTGATCAATAATTATAATTTTATCATCGCTTATGTTGTATATTGTACTATACTGTACGTCTGTACCCATCTTAGTGAATATGGACGCATAAAATAGACAAATTCGTCGATAAGTTATGCATTGCTAACCAATTCATTAGCTCATAGTCAAAGATCTAAAGCATCTAGTCTAACCTAATGGTCATGCCGTTCAATCGTTCTTCCACTCAGGTTATTCAATTCAATAACCTGATGTTGTCGATACTCGATAAGTCACTACCATTAAATTAAATTCTCCTCGATCTACTTTGATTTACTGATAGCCTCTACACATTTACGTCCTTGGGATAACGTTCTTCATCAGAATGACAGTTTTCCCTTTCGGCTATTTATTCTCTCCATCTTAATAAGAAAAATAACAATCATAATTATGACTTATTATTATGACTTAATGAAGAATTGTTGAATTGTATTTGGTTCAAATGATTGACGATCTCATTTGTGCGTGGACTATCGTTCGACCTTGGATTGCTGTGCTATAAATTGTATAGCAGTTTTTACATAACCTTCATTAAAATCAATTATAGAAAGCATCACTGTGGTCTCCATTTGTATGGAAAGTCAATGAATAATTTTTCTACAATCGTCATCACTCTTGAAAATTAGCTTATGTAACCTTTGTAATAATATATCGATCTTGTTCTAGACTGTACACTGTACAGTAGACCGTAGACGAGAGAGAGAGAGCTAGCTGTTTTGGAGAAGAGAACTTTATATATTCTCGTGAATCAGTCAGGTACAAGGTAGAGAGATGGCTATACCGCTACACATTGAATATCACGGTCCATTCGATCGTGTTGGTAGGATTTATGAAAAGGTGGGATGGGATAAATTAGTGAGACTATTGTTAATGCTCCTGTCTTTCTTTGTAAAACGCTTCGTCTACTACAGTTAGTCTCTACTCCTTCCGTAGCTATGGTAGTACACAACTGCAATTTCTGGAATTGAAAGCGGTGATATAACAGCAATGCGGATGCTTTATTAAGTTAATTAGTTATACTAACCGACAGTGAAATAGGACAAACTACTGTCGTCCTTTATTGTACAGTACGATGATTGAAAGTTTTTCAAATTGACTGTATGAGCAAAGTTGATGATTTCCCTATGCTAGGTGTTGTTTAATGGCTTTGCAAACTTTCAAAATTGATGTTCGGGTTAGCACAGAAAATATCATTCAACAATGACACACTGAGAATGCGAGCAGTGTTGTTGGTATTTTCTCAATTGACTGCCGCAACTGGCTATTAATCTATTACACCGTCGAGTCCATTTGTTCAAAGTCTTTACAAATTTTCAAACTTGATATTAGGGTTAGCACAGAAAGTATCATTCAACAATAATACACTGAGAATGCGAGCAATGTTGTCAGTATTTTCAATTTACTGTCGCAACTGGCTATTAGTCTATTACACCATCGAGGACGTTTGTTCAATGACTTTAGCAATTTTCACAGAAAGTATCATTCAACAAGGACACACTGAGAATGCGAGCAGTGTTGTTGGTATTTTCTCAATTGACTGCCGCAATTGGCTATTAATCTATTACACCGTCGAGTCCATTTGTTCAAAGTCTTTACAAATTTTCAAACTTGATATTAGGGTTAGCACAGAAAGTATCATTCAATAATGACACACTAAGAATGCGAGCAATGTTGTCAGTATTTTCAATTTACTGTCGCAACTGGCTATTAGTCTATTACACCATCGAGGACATTTGTTCAATGGCTTTAGCAATTTTCACAGAAAGTATCATTCAACAAGGACACACTGAGAATGCGAGCAGTGTTGTTGGTATTTTCAATTGACTGTCGCAACTTGCTACTAGTCTATTACACCGTTGAGTCCATTTGCTCAATGTGTTTACAAATTTTTAAACTTGATATTAGGATTAGCACAGAAAGTATCATTTCACAATAATAGACTGAGAATGCCAGCAGTGTTGTTGGCATTTTCAATGGACTGCCGCAACTGGCCGGTAGTCTATTTACACCGTCGAGGACATTTTAACATTTGCCTTCTAATTTGGCACTATCAATCGTGAAACTTCCATCTAGCAAATGAGTCCCATTGCAGACAGACTATCACCATGACTATCATACTCAGTCGTCAGTACTCGATGAAGACACGCCATTGGACTTTTCCGCTCTATTTTGTAGTCATTTTAATTCATTTTTAGAAGGGGACGAAATTTTTAAATTTTTCTGTCTGTCGTCCATGACTGATTGGATAGTAGCTGGTAGTTCAACTTCCGATTCATTTTGCCTATACAAACTGTGTAGACTGGAGAACGACACCGTCGAGTAGACTACAGTCGATATCAAGGCAGCAACCGGCGAGAGTGGTAAAAGTTCATCCTCTCACTCGAGCCTTTTACAGTACTACAGTCCAGCAGAGTACAGTACTAAGGTTTTTCTACAGTACTGTACTGTAGGAAAACATATGCACAATCTCTTGGATACGGCTTCCTTTCACGATCACTTTGGCATACGGCGCTTGTTGAATAACACGGCGTACGGAACACAACCCTAGCGGTTGTCCTAAGCCAATCTGCTGAGACCCGGTATGACATGCAAAAAAAAAAAGCAATGATTGACCCTCCCAAACGATCGTTTGTACCGTGACATACACACGAGTCACACGCTACGTGAACAACGGTGAAGCGATGAGGTCGGACGCTAATAAAGTCAACTCGTAGCGCTCGTCCATCCCTATTCTACTGTACGCTCACCACTGGTGTACTGCTGTCATTTTCCTCTAGGATTTTATTCAACTGGTGCAGTCGTTGAGGCCAAATCGACGCACAAATTGAAGTCTATTTGGATCAATTTTATTCTATATTACATCCTTTGACAACCCTTTTGCACCAATTTTGTATCCAAGTACCGGTAAGATTGCTTAACTATGGCTATTTGTTTTTTCAATGGATTGGTAATTTGGGTATTCCTTTTTGGAAGGTTTTTTTTTTTTCATCTTAGTGGTTTTGCTGTACTGTAGGTGTAGGACAACTTTCTTTGAGGTAGACGCTTTTGCCACTGTCAACCAATTGAAAGCTTCTTTTTTTTTTTGTCTCTTTTCCTTCTTTTACTAGCGCTTGTACCTCGTTGAAACCATTTTCAATTGAATTGCTGCCAAATTACAACTGCCAAAAATGCCATTAGTCAAGGAAGGATTACTCCTCAAAAGAGGTGAGGTAGCTACAATTAAAAATATCGATCCCTATGTGTCGTGAGTACAGGTGGACGAATGGAGGGGCCCGCCTTAGACAACGTTACTACTACTGTAAAATGACACAAAGTAATCATCTTGATCATCGACTGTACTCGTCTATCGGCTTAATGTAGAATGACCACTGCCTACCTACTCATCACAGATGTAGTCGATTGCGTTGACCTTGTTTGGCTGACAAGTTGTTTCAACCTACCTTCAATGGCCATCATGATTCAAGGCTTAGTGACATGTTGGTGATGATTGAATAGTGTCTAAAATGGTTGTGTATTGGAAACTATTCCGTGGCTATCATCATTCATGACTTAGTGACATGTTGGCGATGATTGAATAGTGTCTAATGGTTGTGTATTGGAAACTATTTTATGCATCATGTTTGGCTGCTTTAAGCGATCTCCAGCTATCTTCTCCCTACAGTATTACTGCATATTGCACTGCTGAGTGTGTGTGCTATCCTACTGCGCTATGCCAGTCAAAGCGCTGTACTGCGGTGACTATTACTCATACAGGATACGAGGAGTCAAAGATGATTTTCAGTGATCAAATACTATCAAGGTCAGCAGTACATTTCCTTGCTTGATTGATGGTCGTAGTCTTAGCAAATGATCATTCTAGCGCATACTACATGATATGGAACTATAAACTTTATACAGTAGTAAGAACAATATCGAGCTTAAATTGTCTGCTGTCATCAATTTCCAGCAGTTTGTTGACCACTTGTGCAGTACCAACTGTACCATTGGCGAAAGTCAATTAATTCAGTTTTGTTGTCTTTGCACTGTTCATAGCGCACTACTCTCGATCCGCCTAGTCAAATCCATTCCAGTATCAGACGTTATAGTAGGCCACAGTATATACCGTACGCATTGACTGTGCCAATGTTATTATTATTATTATTGTTCCAATGGAAGACAAAAACACATCCGATAACACTATCAAATAAAAAAAACGTATAGTATCCCAAAAATGGCCCCTCCAATTTTTCCATATTATAGCATCTAGGATGAAAAGAAATTTTTTCCCTAGCCAAGGAATAAATGATACTTGCATTCTTTGGCCATTGGCATGATATCCAAAATAATTGCGTAAACAGGCAAGATGGTCATAAAGATATCATGTATCCTTGAATCATACCATCACACTATGACGTATGGAAGCCTTGTTTTCTCTGCTATCTTAGACGGTGTTGTATTGTTATCCTTTATGGCCAGGTTGAAGGATTAATCAAGAATCAGTATTAAAAAATGATGACAACAGTTTTCATCTTGGGATAGCAACATCGTCTCAATACAGTGTATGTCCGTCAAATGAAGATTTGCCTAGACCATCCCATTTCACTTCCAATTTATTTTTTATCCATTTTTTCTTTCTCACCATTGTATAAAATTGAATTCAACAATTATGAATATTGTGCTGGCCCTTCGATATCATCAATGACACTGCTCTACATCTATTATAATACTAGTAGCGTAGCTATAAAAATAATAATGACTGTAGACGTAGTTTTTACTATAGAACATACTAACTACACAAATACACTACCTGCTTACTACTGTACTATGTACTATCGCTCGATGGAGTGGAATCGGTAGACGATTGCGACCCATGCAAGAAAAAAAAATGACAAAAAAAAAGAAAGAGTCGAAGAGATATCATGATAACAGATCAGTCGATCCATTCGCTTGCTATTGGATGATGTACAATAGTTATCATTATGATTCATCGAGAATGTATTGACATGATCAAATTCTTCAAGATTGTCTTGCAACATCGATCCATGTCATTACTAGTGGCTGATTATTAAGATTGAATTCACTGAATGAATAATTTTGTAACATTTCCAATCTTTCATCCAGTACGGAAGTCATGATAGGAACATGTGAAAATCTACAGTAATGATAACACTACTTACAGTCACCTACGTTGACTATTTTTGATGAGCATTTTGCTGCTTTGAAAAACAAATGATATTGATCAACACTTTGATGGTTCATTTTATCGACTAAATTGCAATATAATAATCACCTACAACGACACAATATCCGCTGTAGAAAATATTGGCTAAGTAACGTCGATAAAAATTCATCTTGAATTGAGATAAAACTATATTAGCGAAAACTTTCTATTAGTGATCAAGCATAGCGCCTATGTTGATCAGCTTCCCCCCCCCCCCAAAAAGAACTCAGCCTGCCGTACAGTATGGGCCATAAAGGGTCACTTTATATCCATATAATTAACTAATAATAATCATTACCGACTGTAGTAGGTGGCGGAGCTTTTATATTCGTACCATAAGGTAGACTAATAATTCAGTTGTCTATGCTGTAGTGCAGACGTCGGGCTTGATCAACTTACAAATTAAATTACGTTTACTGTAGTTAAGGCTACATCTACCATCAAAATTGGATTATTGCAGATGCTTGAAAAAAGGTTTTAGAGTCTAGAATGAAGTACCTTTATTGATACGCTGGTATCAAATGGTATTAAATCGGTCTGACTAGTTCAAGTTGACATGACAGCTATCGTTACTGAGTGATCACTGAACGGCGAACAAGTTACTTGACCATTCAATATTCTTGTTATATTGCTAAATTCAATTTAGCGTATTCTCATTATCAATTAAATTGAATGAACGATTCATAAAGTTTATCGCTGGGATAGGGTCATTTTAGTATTTGAATGAGATAATTAATCAGTAATAATCGTTTTCCGTAGCTATTACTAGGATAATAAACGATGAACTCAGAGTCAATGCGTATTTTGACATTGTGATACAGTACATCATAATTGCCTATAATAAGTGTCGAATCATGTTATACTATGATAGCATGTATAAACTGTAAAGCGTAGTTTTTTAATTGATAGATAATTGATACTGCAATTCTGCTGATTTGCACACCCGTTCACTTTAATAGAAATTTTTTTTCTTTAAATTGATCAAAAAAGATTTGCCACAGTGTTTCCGTGGTCAATCTTTTCATGTCATCATCGGTTTATACCATTTTGACCTTATTCTCATTAAAATGATTACCGTGTCTACTCATTAAGGCGAATACATCAAGAACTGGCGTCCTCGATGGTTCCAGTTATATAGCGATGGAAGTTTCATTGGTTATAAAGAAAAACCTAAAAGTTCCAATGTTGATCCATTGAACAACTTTAGTGTAGCAAGTATGCCATCATTATTAAGAAGAGAATAGTTTATAAAATAAGAGCTAACCTATTTCTTTGTTGATAGTGAATTATAATGTGACATTTTTTTTGTTCAATTTTATTCACATGTACGAATGCAAGTAATTATATTTTTAATTGATCATACCTACAGCCAGTGTTAATGTATATGATTAAATCCGTCATGAATCTCTTTTCGTATTAGAGTGCCAACTGATGAAATCCGATAAACCTAAACCTAACTGCTTTATAATAAGGTAAAGAATTAATTGTTGTGATCTTTCTCTATCGTAGCGATCTATGGATTATTAAAATAAGCTATCAAAAGATGATAGTTGTTTACGGCCTCAGTTAAATATATAAGGGACTACAGATAATAATTAATTTGTGAACGTTAAAATATTTGTTTACACCAGGTGCTTCCAATGGACAACATTAGTTGAAAGAACTTTCCATGTAGAAACCCCAGCCGAGAGGTAACCCAACTAGATTCTAAATTATATAATTATTTGTTTCAATATGAAATCATAAAAGTTTCAATGAGGCGATTTTAAAGATTAAAATGGAAAACTATCGGAAATCAAGTTGATGAAATTAATTAAACTATTACAATTATGTAACGCAATCATCTAGAGAGTCTTGGATTGTTGCCATCCAAAATGTTGCCGATAAGTTGCGCGAAGAAGAAGAAAATAAAAGCAAAGGTGAACAAGCCAGTGAATACGTATCAAGATCTGGCAAGGTAATCATTCCTAATTGAATCTGATCAAACATGAAAATTGTAGCTGGTGTATATATATATATATACAGCGCATTTCTTCTCTACATGTATAGTAATTTGATTAAACATGAAATTTTCAACTTTAATAATAATTGTTAAGTAAATAGAACCACTATTTTTCAAATTTTACAGCGCTTGGAAGATTTTGACATGTTACAAGTACTTGGCAAGGGTACATTTGGAAAGGTATATTGACTTTCTATAATTGAATATACCTGTTACGACAAGTACGCCGTATTATTTACTCGTATTTTTCCTTTACTAAGTTGAATATGTATTGCTAACTGTACAGGTAATGTTAGCGAGAGAAAAAGCTTCAGGTGAAATATTTGCTGTTAAAATATTAAAGAAGGAAGTAATTGTTGCCAAGGTATAGTAATCATGTTGTTTTTCATTTTTTTTTTAACTTTCAATGAATTATTTATTATAATTATTGTTACCTTTCAAAGAAGTATGATATTTTAATTGACATATGTTATCCGTTGGATGATGTTTTTATTATAGGATGAGGTAGCACATACTCTAACTGAAAACCGTGTTCTGCAAAATTGTCGTCACCCATTCTTAACAGTACGTATTAATACGGTGCCTCATTTGCTGTGATCGTGTGAAACCTTATCGCAACAACTTACTGTATTAAACTAGGAACTCAAGTACTCATTCCAAACCAAAGATCGTCTTTGTTTCGTTATGGAGTACGTAAATGGAGGAGAGGTAATTGGGTTTATTGACGATTGACTAATATAAAATTATAAATGGCATTCGTATGTATGTACAATCAATTTTTAGCACTTTCTAATCCTTGCTTATTGTTTGCCTCTTCTTTTTGAAAGCTTTTCTTCCATTTGTCTCGAGAACGTATATTTACCGAAGATCGAACACGTTTCTATGGAGCAGAAATTACTTTAGCGCTTAAATATTTGCACGAAAGAAATATCGTTTATCGAGATTTGAAGGTAAACTGATTTGTTTAATTGTTGATATTACTTTGACGATACAAATAATTAATATAATTAACGAAGTTACTGATGTACTTTTAAAATTTTATAGCTAGAGAATCTACTGTTAGACAAAGAAGGCCATATCAAAATAGCGGATTTCGGTTTATGTAAGGAACAAATCTCGTTCGGTGCTACTACTACAACGTTCTGTGGTACACCAGAGTACTTAGCTCCGGAGGTAATGATTTATTATTGTTAATTGACTCGCTGTAGATTTTTAAAAAGTAATTACTGCATTCTACTTCATCATTTAGCTAAAACGATATGGTTATAGTGAGTGTATTATCCCCTAGCATATAATTGTATATCCTTTGTAATGCGATGATAATATAGGTCTTAGATGACAATGATTACGGGCGAAGCGTAGATTGGTGGGGCTTAGGAGTTGTCATGTATGAAATGATGTGCGGTCGATTGCCATTTTACAACAAAGATCATGAAGTTTTATTTGAACTTATTCTTATGGTAATGAATTGAAAAAATATAGCGCTAATCAACTCTAAGAGTGCTATATGTCGTTATTTATCCTCGGTGAATAAATTATTAATACTAGATTTAATACGAATAATATAGGAGGACATAAAATTCCCTTCAAGGATTAGCGAAAGAGCGCGTTCGCTTTTAGGTGGATTACTTACAAAAGATCCTAAGAAAAGGTTAGGTGGTGGCGTTCGTGATGCTGAAGAAGTAACAGAACATGAATTCTTTGAAGAGATCAATTGGCAAGATCTTTACGATCGAAAGGTACAACTATATACTAACTCTCTAGATCAATTTCAGGTTACGTAATAATAATATTTATGAGGCGTATAAATGATTCATGAAACTAGCTTATAAATTGTATGCTTTTACAATTACCAAACTAACTACACTAGATCAACTCCACGTGATATAATAATAATATGTATCGCATCTATAAAATGATACACATGATATTGGCTACAGTCTTAAATTGTACATTTTTTTACAACTGCGAAACTAATCGTCCGTTTTATAACCAAACGTAATTATTAAAATTATCGTGTACATTTATTTCATAGATATCACCACCATTCAAGCCTCATATTAAATCTACTACCGATACTTCAAATTTTGACTCCGATTTTACCAGTGAAACTCCTAGGTTGACTCCTCCAGATCACCGTTAGTATCCGTTACTTATCTTGTAATATTAATATCCATTATTATTGAAAGTGTTGAAATTTTGTAACTATACAATTATAATTATTAATATCTATAGATGGTGGCCCAGTTGATGTGAAAGAGGGAGCCCCACATTTTGAAGAATTTTCATATGTAGCTCCAAAAGGTGGCGAATTGTCCAAGTAGACCTAAAGTTAAATATCATCTCATATTAACTTACCACGCCAGAGAAACCTCACGGAAGCTTTATCAGTAATGATATATTATTCATTATTTCGTCCTTACCATTAGTACAGTATCAGTGCATTACCTCTGTCTTTCTAACCGCCTCATCGGTAGATATAATGCGGCTACGTGAATATCATTTAGCTCGTTACTGCTTTGCGTAAAAGTTGCAGTGTTTGGATATATTTGCTCTCAAATCAAACTAAGTTCAAGCCAGAAAAATATGTAATCAGTTACGGTCACTATGTCTGCATTTACTAGGGGATTCTGTAAAATTTTTGTGTTACTGAGGTAATGGGCTCTAGAACGCTAACTCTTGTTTATAACTATAAAATGATTGTAAACATCAGTGCAGTTAATATGTATGTACTGTAGTACGTAATAACTGTTATAATACGACAACTATCATTGTATGTCATCATACTTTAGCTTTTTTTATTGTAGTCCAACCAAAAACAAAAACTATCGGAAAAAAATGGTTAGTTTCTCTTTAAAATTGTTACCGTCATTGATTGTGGCAGTCCGTATTGAATTGTTGATACGGTATAACTGTTATTTCTTGTGCTGCATTTAATACAATATAAATATGAACAGTACCATGAAGCTTTCTACTCGCTATGGTTCACTAGTCAATGTATCGTATTTAACTCAAGGTGATGGTGGAGTTAATTGGTTACTTTCCGTAGACTAGACATATTTTGCAGTTTTAGTTACAATCTATTATGAATAGGATTTAACTTTTTGCTTTGGGACAAATTATTTTAGTTTTTAATTTGTCTATTAATTAATTTTACTCTTTCTCCTTCGAAAATTTGCCATAAATTAGCTACCACTGTACAATTTTAGGCTTTTTATGTTAGGTTCAAGATATTAACTGCGTTGAGATCCAATCATTGTCAACAGGATGATTAAGAGTCTGAATAATACGATATCTTTACAGGGATTATAGAACTGTGCTATCATTGGCATAATAAATACCGATAGAGTCAACAATAATTTTACTCTAATTTTTATGAGTTAAAGGAGGTGTTCGCATTTGTCATTTATTTCTGATAGATCGTACAAACAGTATGGTTATAAATTTGGCAAGCTGATATATTAACATCAAAAATAACTTGGACATACATCGATCATTTATAATATACTAGTAAAAATAGTCAAATTTCCAGATAGAGCGGCTAATCTTATCAACATTAACCGACATGGACGAGAGTTTTAGTTAGTGAAGAGCATTTGCACTACCTTAAATGTAGAAATGACTTTGAGAAACCCTCTAATTGTCCAATACCGATAATATAATACATGATACTAGGGCAAAATAGATCTCTGATATTTGTGTCGACGATGAAGAATACTTATTGTAGTGTTGTGCTAACTAACCACAAAGGGGGTAGTCAAAAATTTCAATGCCGCAACTTATACCATAACTAAAGAATAAAATGTGATCGACTACAGTATGATTCAAAAACATTTTCTTAGTAGGATAGGATAGAAAATTCAGTAATATAACCGTACAATCATTCTGAATATTTACAATAAATGCAAGCATATTAAAGATGAGAAATAGAAAAGTACGAATTTTTATCTAGATAAGAAATAAGTATTTGGAAACCCTCAAGCATGAAAATATCCTATATTTTGATCTTACAAATCATCGGTTCATTTTATAGGTATGCTCGTGCATACATTGTATATTATATAAATCATATATACAGTACATGCAAATATTGCGTATTGATGCATTAGTACGTCTTTAATTTAAAGACTAAAGTCGGTATCTAAAGATGATGGAGTAGAAGAAGTAAGATGAGCTGCAGGACGATTCTTGAAATTGTTACCTTGAGTCTGAGAAGATTCTTCATCTTGCAATTCCTGTAATGCAAATAACAATAATTGATTTATCCACTGATGGGTTCAAAATTAATCGATATTTATTTTTTATTAAATGCATAATCGGTATTCAAAAAATAATTAACATTATAACAAAATATTCTCTAAATGTGCAACATATTGTAGAAGAGAAGATATGTCAATGAGGTTATTCCAATCTCGTTTTACTGCATCAATTATTCAATATATACTATATTGTAAATTTTATAAGCTACTAGTACAGTATATTAAAACAACAACTAGGTAACTGTAGTACGTTGCGATTTATCTATATAACAAAGGACAATTAGCTCAAAACTGGCCAACTAATTGCTTTTCGTTTATTATTATTATCAACTAAGTAATTAATTGATTTAATAACATAAATTTTCTAAAAGGTATTTCAAATACACAGTGCTCGATAGAGGGGAAAGTCTGATAACGTTTAGAAATGAAATACTAGAAATACCTTATCCGTTCTCCATCTGACACCCCTCGACAATGTAAATGACAAGTGCAAATTCTCCCAGCTATCTAGAATATCAGGTATAAGTGGTTCGACAGGTAGCGGAATGGGTATATGACGTTGAAAGTCTTTATAACGCTGTATCATCATTTTTTGCTGCTTTGAATCTACGAAAAATCCAATCATTTATTGCCATCAATTCGTCTTAGGTACAATATTTGTTTCTTCAGATAAGTTTTGAATGTAATAAATAAGTAAGATAGCTACCGACACTGAAATATCCTACAATGGTATAAACTAATCAACGCTTAATGAATAAACTTACACCACGGCATCCTGAACTGTTTTTCACCAGGTTGTGGAGGTATATATTGTTGCTGAAATCCAGCCCAGTACATTAATAATTCGCGAAAAACGCAAGCTTGCGCATCATCAAAGATTGCCCCATCTCGCATATCTTTGCTAAAGTTTCTACTGTAACGGAAACTCTGTACAATTCTATAAGCAATTTCGGGTGTAACGTCGACCTAAAATGAATTTAAAATAATATTAAGCAAAGCATTAAATTAATTACTATTACCTCTCAACTATTATTTACTTCTGACTTATCATCGTCATTGAATTTATTTAAAAGAAAATATTCTACAGTTGTATCTAATCACTGGTAGATTATATATATTCTTTTAACCTGCACAGGAGGAGGCGATTGGGATAAAAGGTAACATTCAACGATAACATTTGCTTTGCCTCTAAGAATGTGCTGTAAATAATAAAATATCATTATTCATTACATAATTCATTTACAACCGATATCGCTATTAAATCTAGATATCGTCGCTAAATCAAACTAAAGTGTAGCCTAATTTGGTAGCCAACCAATATCTAAACTAGGATTGCTAGCTGTGGCTTATGATAGAATTTTATTACTAATAAACAGAGATTTTAGTTTCCATTTATTCAGTAGTAAGTCATATTTAGCATATACATTCAATATGGATAGGCTTAATAATTGACTTTAGATAGAATAACTAGTTTAGTATCCTTTGCTATATCGAATTTGAACAGACTCATTCTTTAAAGAACGGAATATATCTTAATTACAGCTATTAGGCATCGCTTATATTTCGGTGATAATTATAATTTATTTCTAGTAAATATATTTCGGAATTTTCTTGCTCTACCATTATAAGTATAATAATTTTTAGAGTGTGTGTTGATAATAGTATAAATTTACTGATTTACTGCAGATATAGTAACTACACGAATATTAAAGTAGACTTGTTTTAAAAACCGGAATGCAGCTAAATTGTACCCTATCAATTCCGAATAACCATAATGATTATTTCATTATTCGATAATATGTAGGAGTCGTCCTATAATTTATTCGTTAGCAGTATTCAGAGCAAGGATTTCATTATTGTGCTAGTTTATATTACTTTACTGCATGGTGCTAGATACTTCTAGCAATGGATGTGACTTCTCTAATATCAGATAAAATTTCAACTAATTTTGTAACGCAGTTTTAGATATTAATCATACACTGATCAACCTCTTGTAACTATTTTCTAACAGAAAAGGTGGAAAAATTTTACTCAGTAATCATTGAATGGAAGGAGAATTAAATAAAATAAATCACTCAGTTTGACATCTTTAAATTAAGTGGATGCAAAAATTTTGATGTCAGCTATATCATTGATATCCGTAAGACAACCATTTAAACATAAATCAACATTTTACCTCATCGGAATAATCAATAGCCATTTCCTATTGAAATAAAATGAGATTAAATGCTATATTAGAAAAGTTTCACTCGTAGATTAGATTTACAAAAGCAATTTTAATCGTAAAACCAGTTTAAAAGAGAAATACTATGCTAAAAGCTCTGCCTTTTAAGTTAAATTTTAATAAATAATTTTTGTCTTGTGTTAACTTCTGGAATAGTTTGACTTTGTTAATTAGATCATGTAAGATATCTTAAAGTTATAAATTATGGCAAAAATTATTACCATAAGATAATCTAACCTTGTATTTTTGTATTTCCAACCAAAAGCATAAATCATTGACAAGAAATGGGAAGCCATCTTCTTCTCCACATTGCGATAAAAACCGTTTAAAGTATTCCATTTCTATCGTTAATTTACCAGCTGCACATTCTTGTAAAGCTTGTAGGAAAGATTCCTTTTCGACTTTAATTGGTTGAATTCTTCCTGGTGTCTAAATAGACCGAGGAAAATAAATATTCAGTTTAAAAGAAATAAGAGAATAGGAGAACTGTCTTGAAACTTTAAGTTAATAGCAGAACTTACTTTTCCTCTGCCTTTCCTTCTATTTTTCCAGGCTACCACAATGCTACGCGTAGTACTGCCAGGCCGTTTCTCGGGCTCCTTACCGTCTTCATCGGGTTCAACTCGAATACTTTTATATTGATCGGCAAGATGGACCTTATGAAATTTAATTTAGGATTTAAATGTAATGATCATCGCCATACTAATGCAGGCTGATGAAATAGAAAGGAGTCGTTGGGGGATTGTATCACTTAATAATAAATTACGGTCCATAAATTTATCACTGTACCTTCATAAATTTCTTGAAACTATTATCCAATTGTGGACGGATAAAATCCTGGATTGCTATTAGAATTTCTTCTTTGGGAGGATTAGATGGATTCTTCTTAATGCTATTATATAGCTTATCCGGTATGAGCACATTTCTTGATAGATGGTGGTAGCAAAGACAACTTTTAGTTAGGTATGACAAAATTTATAAATCTTACCAATCTATGATCAAGCTTACCTTCTTGCATCTTGCTTGATGTACACCCTAATAAGAATAAGAATGGACGGCATAAGGTAAGGAGAAAATAGATTAAATGATCTCAAAATTGTGCCAGTAGTACAATCAAGATTAGAAGGATAAGGTATCATTTGAGCCAAGTGTTATCGTTTAGGTTCAATTTTAATCTTACTTTAAGATATGATATGACTGAACTTTTCGCTGTGATTTCTTGACGGTTGGAATTTTTTTAAATACTTCAATATCCAAATAGAGCAGTAATTTATTAAAATGTTTTTCTTCGGCATTTTTTTGGATGAAATTTTTAAAGGAGTCCATAGTTCTAATCCAAAATAACGAATTCAATAGCGTTAGCCATCACTATGCAAAGATGAGTAGGGGTATAATAGTTTATAGCAGCAACTTACAATTTATCATCCGTAAAGGAAATAAATGACAATGGCCGAGTAATACTACGATGGCTTTCAATCGAGACTTGATCATCATCTTTTTCTTGCATAAGTGTTTGTGCTTTAACTCCTTCCTTAATCATATTTAGAGTACGCTGTTGAGCACTTTTGCTGATCCTCTTTTCAGTGGCGGATGAACCTGTGCGTTCGCTTGGCGATCCTAACTTTCGCTTATTTATATTCATTCGATATTTTGCATTTTTCAGAGCCATGTAAACGTAATTATTATCATCGGCTAGCGTTAATGCTCGATGTAGCCGAACACCACGTTCTGAAGCTGTTGAATCAGGACGTCTATCAAGAAAAAAATTTGCAGCAAGAAAATCGTTAAGATTGCAAATGGACTGGAAAGGTTCATTAATTAAATCTATAGGTAAGCAATCTGTCCTTATTTCTGACATCGCTATTATCATCTACTAGGGATATTCTTAAATCAGTAGGCTCAAAGTAGCAAATAGCCATGCTCCAATATACTCGTATTTACCTCTTCCAAGATGATGGATAGACTGTAACCATGTCGCGAAAACTAATACGACTTCTATTTCTCGGTGTATGCGATGGTGTAGTTGCGAATTCATTAAAGGTGCCATATTCGACTTCCAAAAAGCCGCGAATATCGGTTTCATAAAAATCTTTCCAATGGTTACGTAAAATTTCTTCAACTCGAGCCTATGAAAAAGATAGATCAATTTTAATTTAGCTTGTAAGTGAATGGATGAGCAAAATTTGAGATGTAGCAGAGGATAAGAACGAAAGACGATCACGCTATCTTGACTATCTTGAATGCTACCTTAATAGCATAAAATCCAGCACTGTACAATGATTGCTGATCTTCTCGTTGTAAGAATTGGCGAATATTTTCTTCTTCTTCTGTGGTTGCCCCAATGTAACATTCTCCTTCTTTGTTAATAAATCGCTTCCATAAGCTCCAAGCTACTGATAACTGATAGCGTCGATTTGAACTTAATTCTTCAACAGATTCCATACTGCTAATTTCTTTCCAAAATGAACAAATAGAGATCGCTTGCGATAGTTTTTGCCTAGTCATCAGTCCAGTTAATTCAATGAAATTGTTAAAATTATAAAAAAAATTCAATTGATGGAGGAAATAATGGACCTCCAATGAACACTAGCATCTTTGCTCGTCTACAATTATGCCATTTACCTTTCTAAATAAGCGATAAATGGATCACCAGCTAAAGTATCATGGCTCAAACCAGCAATAAATATCTCCGTTGTAAATGGACTAGACGGTTGAAAATTTGAAAGAGCATAGTAGAGGGATAAGCATATAATTAATTCAATCAATTGATTAACTGCGCTAAGTATAGTCCAATAAAGATGGATGCAGCACCTGGACTATCCTTATAATTATAGGTAGAATAAAAATGAAACGAGATATACTCATCTGTACAGACTTACATCTTAGATCTTATACCGGCGGATCGAGTCTTTTTCCTGCTACTACCCCTTGTACCGGTTGGATTTAAAAATTCAACCTTATCTTCCACTTCTGGTGCCTTACTAGCAAATGGATCTAATGGAGCCGATGTATTTCGTCGAGGACTCAATGTAGGTAAAAAAGTTAAACTCTGATAAGCTCTTTGCTTTAAAATATTATCGACATCTTCAATTTGATGAGTAGCAAGTTCCTCTTTCAATTTCGCTCTATAGTGATAAAAAGTAGCACCGTAAGTAGATATACTTGTATAAGTATAAAGAATTAAATTTACTGGAATATCTGTACTGGTAATACTAGGTAAGAATCTACAATTATAATAATTTCGACCAATAAAATTAGATATAAAGAATTGAATTTAGTAGAATATCTATGCACGTATTACGCGTTACGCATCTAAAGCTATATTAATTTCTACCATTGAAATGAACAGATTTACTTTTAAAGATTTAGGGCTACAATAGCTCGTTTACACGATATAGGGCAATATCAATAAACTTTAGAGCGAAGTAAAGAAACGAGAAATTAAGATGATTTAAAAACCGTTATAAAATAACGCTTACCTCAATGATGGAACTTTCTCGACATGGAGGAGAAATCGATTACACCAATACGATCTCAATCTTCGCAAGATATCATATTGCGCTTTTGCGAACAACGTATGGCTAATGCCCTCATCTTTCTTGGCTTTACGAATCTGAGCCTAGGAGGAAGATTTTATGAAAAAATTTTCTATTAAAATAGAGCTAACCTTAACTGCTTAAGAATGAACTAGATATCACAAATAGAGCAGGCATCTTTATTTATGCGCAATATAATCCTATAGCAATGCAAGGATCAGTAGAATCATACCTTAGCATCATCGGTCAATTTGGACTTATATTTGTCTTCGATTTCTCTAAATATACGTAAGTTTAAAATAGTTTGATATTAGATTAGACGTCAGTGAATGCTTTGCATATGTTACGTATGCTTAACGCTTACTGAAATAGTTTGACACTTTTTTAATTAAACAGCAATTCTAATCCAAGCTGTTTATTAATTTAGAACGGCTTTACAAATGGGATACTATAGATGTGCTAGCCAATGTAATTGAGAAAAATTTTGCTCTTTATCTCTATCATTAATCAAATTTAACTATAGCTCTATATTGGATCAGATATAAATGAGTGGTATAAGGTAAATTTTATCTAATTCTATACCCTCAAGTGTTATTGAATCTCGTTTATATCATTCCTTAGATTGAAATTTCTGTATTAAATCAAATGTTTACCTTGATGTACAAGCTACATATATCATGTTAATATAATTAAGAGTTCCAGTTACTGCTCTATTTAATGATAGATAAGCTATTTCATGATAATATACTTAAAAATATTCATTTCTGCTTTATTTAAACTACTCATGAAGGTAGAGTATAATTTACTATCAGCAGAGCCCATATAGGTATGCCAGATCGAATAGCTTTTATTAATCAGATAATGTAAGTAACAAACGTAATTAAGTTTTGTATTCCACAGGAATTCAATGCCTTTTCCTTTACCTAACTAGCTTCAAGCGCCATTCCTTAGTATCATGGAGATACTTTGAACATTTCTCTTTATAATATTCAACATCCAGCCAAAATTGAAATAAACTTTCACCGGTAGTACCACTTAAATAATTTTTAAATACGCTCATTCCGGACAACTAAATTACCATGATGACAATAAATTAGTGTCTAATAGAGGTGACTGTATGGCTAATCAATATGTTAATAATATGAATTTAAACATACCGAGCCCAAAATCTGAACTTTAAGATCATGTAGGCTCATTTTCCATTTGTCGGCTAAACTTTTAATATCGGCTTCAGTCCTTTGTGTATCCTGTAAACTTTCACTATCTCCTCTAGAGAAATCAATAACACTCCCTTTACTAAATGCTTGATCTCCATCAAGACTATCGTTTTCTTCGTCGGTAGTTTCAATGTCATCGAAAATTTGATCAAGTTCATCAGTCATATCGATAATGGTATCTCCTTCATCTTGGCCATAAACTTGTTCAAAATCACCATGGCCGAGTTGTTCATCTTCCTCAGCAATGTGGCCCACACTATCATAGGCTGTAGTTACTATATAAGACAGTACCGGTAATGATATTTTTAAATAGAATTTATGATCAAATTCAGTATGGCATTCGTCATAAACTACAAGACTAATATTGCTTATAATTTTGTGAATGCATAAATGCGGTTTAATTGGTACACAATAGTTTAACGGTATTCCTTTACATTTATTTTCCCAACTTACATCCTCCTCTAGTTTGACCTTGGCTTCTCCTAGTTTTTGATGGACTATTTGTTAACATTGTACCTAAACCAGTATCGGCTGATGTGAATCCGGAAGCTTTAGCATCTGCCGATAGTGGCATACTTTTTTGATATGAACCTGTAATAGAGATGAATCATACAGTATCTCGAATTACTGGCAATAAAATGCTGAATTTTAGAGGATGAATATTGTTATAGATAGGAAACGGAGAAAGAATAAAGATATAAGTATAGATACTACAAACTGAAATCTAACTGTAGAGTACTACAGGGTATCATCAAAATCAAATTATATAAGACTCCAATGGTATAGCGAGCAAAACCTATTTTACAGTGTCATCGATCATAAAATTCCATGCATTCCTTACACAATTTTATATGCAGGTATAGGCATTGAGAAAATAGAAAAGCTAACTGTAGTCAATGCGAAGATATTATTAAAATCAAACTGTGTATGAATACAATGAAAAAGCATCCAGTAAAATCTATATAAAAGTATCGTACTAGAGATGAAATAGAATATTGTCAGAAATAGCAAAAGCAAGTCTGCATGTTATGTCTTACTATTTCGATTTCCATCTTGCGATTTTCCATTGCCGCTTCCATCATAAGATTGGTCATCTTGAGTTGGATAATTCTGATTTTCATCGTAGGTATCACTACTCTTAGTCGAATGCTGGCTATGTTTGGAGTAGGATTTACTTAACATTGGTGGTAAACTAAATGCGCCACTTTTTGGTCTTTTATAAACGGGTGGCTGACGGATATCGGATAAGTTAACATCTTGATATTCAGGATCATGTTTTTGACGCGCTTCGATGCTACTCTGGGGCCTTCGTCTTATTGATGCCGATGGATGTGCTCTTGCAAATTGCTTATGGACAACTGTAGCAATATCATCGGATCGGCCAGGCGCTGATCCTAAGCGCCTTCGCGTTGTCGAACTATATGTTTTGGAAGTAACATTAGATTGACTGCAACTATAACCTCCAAGTCGTCTAGAATTTGCTGAATGTCGTGCTGAAGATCCACGTTTCATATCAATTCGTTTAATCAATAATTTACATAGTTTATATTCTTGATAGATGCGCGTTCTGTAAAATGAATTGAAATCATTTTATAATTATAATGAATTATGTTTCCATAAGATTATAACTAATATTATCGTGCATAGAATATTTATAAATTTAGTAGTCGCAATCCTTATTATGTATAACTAAATGACTAGGGTGCTCTATTTAGTGATCTATTTCAAGTAAATCAGAAAAAGTTTCACTAGAGAGATTCTCTCGTATTCTAATACCTTAAAAAATAAGGCAATCGTTCAACAATGTTCCAGTTAAAAACAGCTTCGCGTCGAGTAACTTTTTTATATGCTGTTGGAATTTCTTGCTGCGAGCCTTTTGTAGCATTACCAATATTTAGAGTAGATTGATTTGGATCTGGCTTACAAAGTGTTCCGCTCTGATGCTCAAATTGAAGCTTTTGCCCAAATACCTATATAAATTAATTAATTACAAAATAGACATTATAATATCAAGGTGAGAAGTTGTCATGAAATAGAACTAAAATGAAATAACCGTTACGAGTCGTAAAGTGTATAATTCCATAGTTATTTATTAGATTAAGCTCAGTTTTAAATTTTTATTATAGAAGATGAGCAAGAAGATCACCCAACAACAATTTGGGATTTTTAGTACTCAATCAGTGACAGGCTTCAAAGCATCCAATTATATAGATTAGTAAAGCTATTTAGCTTTCTTAAACTGGGTATACTAGGTATTCAACACTGAAAATGAATTTGCTAATTAGTTGAACTCGAAGTAAAATATTGAAAATTTAAAATTATAAACGATAGTTCAGCCATCATATTTGCAAGTAATCCTACACCAATTTATATCAGTTTGAAATAGCATATGATAGTTTAACTGAAGCAGTCAATAGGAAAGATTTTATTACATTATACAGTTTATGGCTTTTTCTAGGTTAGCTTTTAAACTGTAGGAAAAACCATGTTACTGTTGCACATTTACAATCGTTACTTTTAGGTGTTATAGATGAATGAATATCATGATCATACAAGCAGCTGGCCGATGCATTGCATCGCTGTTCCAATATAGATACACACCCACATACAGTAATTTTACGAAAACTTCTTGTTTTAATAATTTTAAGTAGAATGCTATAAAGTAGAAAACAGGATCTTGCTAGGAAAATTGTTTAGTTTTCATAATAAATCGAAATGTGATACTGTAATAGTGTATTAAACTTAAGCTAGAAATATACGCAAGTAGGAAGCTATTCAGATGTTTAACATCTTACTCATGCTGAGCATAATTCTGACCGAATAAAAGAGCCATAATAGATTGCGATAGCGAAATATTAGACTAGAGTAAAGTGGTGATTTAAATAACACCATGAAACTTAATTAAAAATTAGATTTAAATAATTACCGGTAGTCGCAAGAAAGCATTGTAATAGTCTGCCAGTAATGGATCATCAAGTAACATTTGATGAAAGTTATAAGCAGTAATATCCATGTCTTCCAGGATCCAAGGAGATTTAGTTAGAAACAGTTATTAAAGAAGAAAAATTAAATGAAATAATTCGATGAGATAAATTGCTATTTCTATCAACCTATATTTTATTCTAAATATTACTGCGTTATATATCAAGGCGAAAATTAGGATTAATCTCTTATTCTATTGTATAAATATTTTATGATTATAGAACTAGCTATATTATTCTTCATTACTATTTTATGTTTATTAAAGCCTATAATTCTATACAATGCTTAAATATATTTTGGCCTTATTTAATAATATTACGACTTGATGTTATGACATTAAAATAATTTTAGAATTATATTATATAATTTAAAGTAAGGTTAGATCTTGAGAATTTCTTCGAAATAATACTTTACTCAACTATTAAGGGTATAATAGAATGTGGAAAGAATGTTAATTTGAATGATGATATCATCTAATCAAAATCTTATTATTTAGCTCAATGGCTAACAACGGCCATGATTATAATTAATGCTATAGTGAGTTTTCTTAAAATAGTAAATGTAGTATCGTGGCAGTTGAGCATTCTTTCGAAATTAGAAGAATAGATTAGTAAAGACAGTATATTTGAATGAATATCAAGTGCGGTAAAGTATTGTCTTCGATTTTATGTCAATTAATATATTTAGATCAGTGTTTTCTGAAGAAAGTATGAAGTTAAGCAGCGATTGAATTTTAGAGGATGCTGGTATGTCAGTTGACTATAAATGCTAAAATTAGCCTTGTGGCTCTTCTTGCTTTTAAGTAAGCAATCGGCAATAAAATATATTAAAAATATTAAACTTTGTGATATATAGATACGTAGCATCATAGAATATTTCCTGGAGAAGAGTTCTAATGTGCATATAGGAAGTGAGCAAGGAAATTACTGATCGGATAGAACAAAATCTTGAATGCTAGGGTAAAGAAATAAATGATGGCGTTACCTTTGACCATCCTCATCATTAAGTTATACTGTATAACGATTTGCTTATTATATACGTAATTAGATATTTAAATGAAGAAATTATAGGCTAGCGGGATGTACTGGCTAGATATACAATTATACATGTAGTTATAATTGATCACGATTGATTGAAAAAGCTATTATCATGGCCGTTAAAACCACATTGACCGAGCAGAAAGTATTAAAAAATGGAAAATTTCATCAACTGAGGATAATTTAATCTATAGTTGTAGCGTTATTTAGCGATATGGAACATAAATATCAAAAACAAGAAGAAAGGATTAAGGTGTTGGCACTATATCCTATTATTTGATTTATAGCAACGCTAGTATCCACAAGACTGATCGATAATCTTACCATTATATTTCCCCATTTTGGAAATTTAATCGTTTGGATGTAGCTGGGTTAGTTATTAGTTATAGGCAAAGTTTAACTCCCATGATAATTTTTAACCTGTAGTGAAATGGATGATTAAAAACTCCCATTTTCGACTAAATTAAATAACTAATAATCTATAATAATACCTATATTTTGATAGGAGGATATTATTTAATTATTTATGATTCAGTCTTCATTCTGATTAATCTATTTAAAAATATAGAAGGGATTCAATCTCTTCGTCGTCTTCTTTTTTTTCTTATTGACTAATATGTCTTTAATGATATCTGACTTCGATGATCTAACAGCAACATCTACTTTATCATCATTAGGCAAGGTAAGCTTTATTGGTTACTATGGTAACCTTCAACACTGAGATTTATTGCTATGGTAGTTAAAATGAAAGGCTTTATTATTAAATTGATGATTTTAGAATTACAATTATTAAAGCATGTATAAAGAATTAATTCTGTTTGTACAATGCAGTAGTGCAAATAATCATTTTAACAATAATCGCTCAATCACTACATTATGATGGCATAGTAAAGTATAGAATTGCGGTATTACTATTTATTATTGCAGTAGTTAAATTATAGGAAGGATACTGGTATTATTAGTAAGTCGTTGCTAGAATTCTATAAATTATGCGATAGTCTATTTAATGATATATAAGCATACGAAATTTGATATAGAAATTCACATTTAATAAAAATTTGAAAGTTGTGACTAGTTCACTACATTTTATCATTTACTTCTCACATAAACAAAGTGTATCAAGTAAGGATAACTTTCATTATCATAAGAACTTCTGCATCACTAGAATTGGCACTTTGCTATCATTACCTGAGGGCTTCATTATATAAAATAATGATGTGACAGTATGTAGTAATAGTCTACTAGTTATATATTCAAAAGAAGAGAGTTTAAGACAGTCTAGAGGAACTAGAGTGTTCTGTTAATACGGAGAAAAGAATAAGCTTTACTAAGTGACTGATATTACTTACTTCGATTTATTAGACAATCACCAATTGTTTTAATTTTAAAAACTCTTTTAGTCCGCATAGCTGAAGTTAAAATATTACTATAACTTAGGTAAATTTGACTTGAATGCCACTACTACAGCTACGAAAAGCCTGCAAACATGATCTACTGTATAATATAACAAAGTATTGTTTTCAGAAGGGTAAAATATCATGGGTACATACTGTAGTGATTAAACGTCATCAAACTCAAATATATTTCAATCACGTAAGGCCAAAATTGACATAGAGATAATTGTTTCCATTATCAAAGCTAACTTTGTTAAGGATAAAATAAGATAAAAACAGTAAATAAGATTGATTTAGATATTGGGAGCCATCATTACATGATACGGCAGAACAGTAAAACCTAGGCTAAATTGGAAGTTATTCAATCATGCTGCTTTTAATGAATGAGTGAATTTTAAAGACTAAGGAGACTTAAAAAGTTTCTAATTGAAGAAAGATATTTATGAGATATTTTTTAGGCAATCAATCTCTATTCATATAAATTACGACAGTATGATATGAATCATGAAATTTAGTTTTTAAAGTTTCTTACTTATAGCGTTTTAGCAAGAAAAAGAAATTGTTACTCAATTCAAGCTGCAATTAAGCATATTAATGCATAAATAATAACATTGATTTCATGGTCAGCCTTACAGTATTGTAAGCTGTATAAATAGATACAGCGTAAGATTAATTCGCGTTGCAATTTCATGAATAGATTGATATAAGTCATTTAAAAGATTTTATTTAACAATGATTAACATCGTAATAGTTAAAGTAATTAGTATTAGATAGTAAACGACAAATAGTTGAAGTTGATATATAAACATGTGAATATTCTCTAGCGTACAATTATTTTTCAGAGATGACTTTGTTTAACAAATAGAATAACGTTTTGTTTGAAAGTTGCATCTACGCTCTATTATATATAGTGACTGTATATTCTAAATTTAAATGTTAATTTTACTATTAAACTTAAAAAAGTATCAATAAGTAGGTCTGATGAATTTATTCACTTAGGAATACAAGATACAGCAGCAGCTAGAAATGAATTGAGAATTAGAGGTATTTACTGCTATAAGTAGCACGTAAGCTTTTGTAACATTCTCCAATAGGACAACAAATCAATGAATTGTCATATACTGTAAATATACCAATGATATGAAAGCATGTTGACAAGCCAGAGTAGTGATCACTGTGATAAAGAAAAATATTTTTGGAGATTATTAAATAATCAAAAAATTAAATGCTGATTATTCTTATCAATGGAGAATGACAGTTGACTAATTTATCGTTATTTTTGATCGAGAGACAAACAAAATTGTTGTACAAAGTTGACATCTGATAAAGGTCATGCAAATTAATTATTATGTTGATATAGCTATTGATCGATTCGCGTCTACAACCCGCAGTAATTTTCCCTGCAAGAGTTCTCAGTTACCCTAGGTGTAGATGATTGTAGACTTTTGCGAAGTAGTGAAGTAAGACATTTAAATAATTATGGAGCAAAATCATTGCAATGTATTCAGATTTTCTATCTAGACCATGATTGCTATTCTATTTCAGCATCACGCAGTGACAAGGAGTAAATAATTATAGTGATTGAATACTTTTAGTTATAAATCTGATTTTGTGCTGTAGCGATCTTAGAACCTCAGATCAATGATCAGTTACGATATGACACATTAAACTTATATCACCCTAGATCAGGCATCAATATAGAATACCCATATTACGATAATCTTTAACTTTTTTCTGCAATATCTGTGTGTATTTGAATGACTGCAGGTAGCGAAGTATATCTGTATCTTGAAAGGTTTGATCCTATACTCTACTATTATTACATAAGCAAGGCAATATGTAAATTTATTCCATCCCTGAACTAACGTTTGACAACATTTTCGATCAAGTAGCTCAATAAGTCGGTATATGGGATCTAAATTAACTTTGTATGCGATTAATGGTAAAAGGGGTATCTGATACGCCTACTTTGAGCTCTTAATCAATTGCTGACTGTTGATTCTTTGAGTTCTAAATAAAGTGTTGGATGTAAAAGGAAGTAGATACGAGCAATGGGGATTTATTCTTTTATTGATCGATGATTGGAAATTATCGTGTATACTGTACAAGACTATACTGTAAGAAATTGAGGTAAGATATTTATAATTTATTATATAAGATTCTTTATTGTGTAGCCATAGTCTTCTTTCCTTTCGTTCGCCCAATGCGTTTATCTTTTTTCTTCAATCCGACGATGTTTCCTTTTATAACACTAGCATAGGCCTATTAAAATAAGATTGAATTTGTCGAATAACTACCGCTTGCTCATTGAACAATAATCAAGACTATTCTAATTGTAATTTCTGAGCTTATCCTTACGAGTTGGAATTTGTTTAATTCTTTAGAAACAATCTGTAAAAATGAATTTATTGCCTTGTAAGTTATTGTTTTATACTCGATGTATCAACTAACAAATGTAGGTATTATTTTGCAGTACAGGTATAAAGCTATTCAAGATAGATAGGCAGTTATCGTATTTACGCAATACTACTACGAAGACTATGAAGATAGTCATCCGTTGAATGGATAAGAAGATATTACTAATTTATTTAAGTTTAGTATGATGGTCAAGACTCAAGTTTAAGTCGGGGTCTACTTATTTTACATGGACTTACCACATAACTGACTTTCCTTTTCCCATTGGTGGCTCTGATCAGACATTTATTATCACCAGTCGATTCATTTTTATCTCCTTTACAACTTTTTGGTTTAGTACGACCATCATCTATGCAAGGATTGATAGAATAAGAATGGATTATGCTTGTAATCTCCTATCGGCTAAGAATGATTGCTAGGATTGATGGTTGATATTGATTTCTACTTTCAAAGATTATCTTGAAATTTCCGTCAGCTATCATCGTTTATACTACTAATCAGCTATTTTGGTCAATGGCGTCATCAACAACTTCATAGATTGCTTTTCAACTAGTCACTACAATTATTATGTAGAGTAGAACAATTGCATGATATCCTGTCCAGTAGTTAATTACAATATAGTTGTCTGAATACTGTAGGGTTGTATACTACTCGTCTATTGAATGATATGGTGTCCATGACTGAAGTCAATATAAACTTTTGCTACAACACGTTGTAGCGATTTCGATTGTGCGTGATTCTGCTGAACTAAAGTGATGATGATTGTATCATAAGCAGGAAAAATACTGGAACACCTGTATTAGGGCTAAGTGATCATCGTACTTGAACTAGATGATGCTGATGTATAAGTTAAATGGAAGCAAGGATAGCCTTGCACTGCTGTTGTCCTACTAGCTGTTGACTGCATTTTGACATATCCAAATGAATACTTACATCGTTTAATAGTGACAAATAGTGAATTCTTATTTCGTGTCTCTTCGAAAAGTTTGGTTAATTCACTCAAGAACTAAAGCAATAAAAATAGAGACAAGTGTTATGATCGCTGTCAATGGATTGATTATCAAATGGATTTTTCATCTTACGCTATCGTAGCTCTTGAGCAGCACCATGTTGGAATCGAGGCTGGTCGTAATAGTAACGGAGATGCTTGTCGCTTGAATAACTGGAGTGAGTTTTGCGGTCAAGCCAAGCTAATTGTTGATTGCTTCCCTTCTAACCAGTTGCATGGGCTCATGTACGATACACTATCGAGTCGGTGAGTTAGTGATGTCCAGCAGTAGACGCCACTAGAGTGCATGCGCACTACATACGCTACAAATGGTCTACAGTACACTGTACGTCGTTTACAATACAGTATGTACTGTACTGTACACTTGGCTGAAACAGCCCTACTAAAGCAGTTATAGAAGTTCATGGCGAAGACAGTGAAATACTATTTCGGTAGGATTATTTCAGCGAAGTGTATGATGAATTGAGAGCAAAATAAATAAGGCTACTTTACACTTACTACAGTGCAGTATTTGCCAATGGTGTACATTGTATCTTTCCTATCATTGACTGTTACTAGTCAAGTCAATTTACAGTAGACATACAGTACTGTACTGTATGCTTTTGGCTTGAACTGGGTACGGTACGGTATGGTTGAGTACTGTACTGTACGTCTACTGTACTGTACACTGTACATTGTGGACAGGACTCTGGTCAAATTGTGTATTTCTGTCCTGCTACGTCTTGCCTCCAATGGTCAAGTAAATGTACTACAGTGTACAGGACAGCTAGCAGGACTCTGGTCAAATTTTGAATAAATAAATGTATTGTATTTTTGTCCTGCAACGTCTTGCTTGCAATGGTCAAGGACACTGTGTGCAGGACAACTAGCACGACTCTGGTCAAATTATGTATATTTGTCCTGCTACTTCTTGGTTCAAATGGTCAACTACTGTATTCCCAACATTGACCGTACTGTCGTCGGAGAGTACAGTGTACAGTACTGTACACTGTACACTGTACAGTATGCTTTTGGCTTGAACTGGGTACGGTACGGTATGGCTGAGTACTGTACGTCTACTGTACTGTACACTGTACAGTACATTGTGGATAGGACAGCTAGCAGGACTCTGGTCAAATTCTGTATTTTGGTCCTGCTACGTCTTGCCTCCAATGGTCAAGTAAATGTACTACAGTGTACAGGACAGCTAGCAGGACTCTGGTCAAATTTTGAATAAATAAATGTATTGTATTTTTGTCCTGCAACGTCTTGCTTGCAATGGTCAAGGACACTGTGTACAGGACAGCTAGCACGACTCTGATCAAATTATGTATATTTGTCCTGCTACTTCTTGGTTCAAATGGTCAACTACTGTGTACAGTTGTCGGAGAGTACAGTGTACAGTACTGTGCACTGTACACTGTACACTGTGTACAGGACAGTGAGCACGACGACTCTGGTCAAATTGTGTGTACAGCAAAGCAGTACGGGTAGTGGACGTACTGTACCGTACCGTACCGTACCGTACCAGACCCACATCAAGCCAAAAGCATTTACTCTACTGTACCTGTATGGTCGTTGGGCATACAGGTGACTTGCTTGTGACTTCTACGCACGCGCATGACACTGCCGACTCCATCATAGTGTTTTGTAATCGAGTGAGAAAAGAACACAGACAGTACTACCCTTCACAACGGTTGGAAACCCTACCCTGCCTGATCGCAGCTCTCCCTAGTCTAGTCATACTGTCATTGCAATCGGTGCTAGTTCATAACAGTCGACTTGCCACATCAATAAGGCAATTTTCGCCATTTTCCTTGCATTGATCCTTGAAATTGGTGAGCAATTGAAGCACTCTTGCCATGAAAAATGCCTCATACAGCGTTTGAAAAGGTGTCTGTAGTGGAGAAACTACCATCCAAGCTAATTATCGAATCTATTTGCACCTACGGTAAGCATAGAATGCTAGTATCAGCAATAAAAATAATAATATGCATTCCTGTAAGAAAAGCAAGACAGCAAAGCGTAGTGGCAATGGGCTTATGCTTGTCCAGTACGTTAACCAATAGCAAGACGATAGTACAGTATAGTAGTCATCAAGTGAAAGATGTACAACTTACGATAGCTGTTGTTGATCAAAAATTCAACTTAGCTCCATGTAGCTCTAAAAGAGAAAAATGGATCTATTTCACTTAGCATTGATTGTAAGCCATTTTTGATTCAATCAACTTGACTTTTAGGGGATTACTTACTGGTAGGAACAAGAGATGGTGTCTTAATATCCTACAATATTACCATGGGCCCAGGTAAAAATAGTGCAATAGACAATTGATAATAGGAAAGAACAATTTTCCATGTCTACTAGTTGACACTCCATTGCAACATTAAATCAAGCAAAAGTGTCATGACTTTCAAGGGTGATAAGTTACCTGCACTGTGCAGTGTGCACCCACTACAATGTACGTTTACGTAGGTAATTTGATTTTCATTTACTATCGGTAAAGATCAATCTAGCCCGGATATCAAACTTGTACGAACATTAAAGAATTTCTCTAAGAAACCAATCGTACAGGTAACTAAATTAGCAGTCTATACTATCGTCACTGGATAGAGCAAACTATCTTTGTTACAGTATCAATAGCATGATAAAATGTCAATATTTTCCTAACTTATCGAATCCAAAAAAATAATAATGCAATACGCGTACTATGATAACTACTTGATCGTATTATCATCATCTATCTTATGATAATCTTAGATGGCAGCTATTGAAAGTATAAACCTACTCATTAGTTTATCAGGTAAGCTTAACAGCCTTAGGATGCCGACCCTCTCAAAGGCTACATGCTATTGATATGTTTTAAACCAGCGTAAATTGATATCAAAGGTAGCGTCAATAGAGCATCTCTCTCTTGATATCATCTCTATTCTTATAAAATTAGATTCCACCATTTGCTTGTATGAATTAAAATCCTTGACGTTAATTAATCAAATGGCCAAAACAAGAGGAGCAACTCTGTTTGCTGTTGATGTTTCAGTAAGTACACCAATGGCAATACATAATTGACAAAAACATTCTTATTAATCAATGACCAATCGATCAACTTAATTATTCTTCAATCCACTACTGATCAATATTGTGACGTCGTATAGAAAAACCGAGAGGATGGTAGGTCATCGTTGATTGCGATTGTATCTATACGTCAGATTATATTGAATTACAGTCCTGTTCAATTAAAATAATTGAATGAATGATAATCATTTCATCAAAAGTTCAATCTTTCACCATCATGTTGACGTTCTAATTCAATATTACTTCTAGGAGATCAAATTCGTCTATGTGTTGCCGTCAAGAAAAAATTACAGGTATCAACCTTGATTCGATAATGAATATAGATCCATCAACCATGTTATCTTGCAATAATCACTACCTGCTGTATATTAATGATGTAATGCTCTCACTATGATAGATTTACGTTTGGGAAGATGTCAATTTTGTCGAGTTAGGCCCTGATTTATCTGTGCCAGATACACCTAGGGCTGTCATGTGGTCTAAAAATTACCTTTGGTTAGGTTTTAAAAGGTCTTATTACGTTATCAAGGTATACATCAATGGAGAATAAATACTACTCTTATGACTGCTTTACAGTGGTATCAATTTACATATCCAACATGGATAAACCTCTTTCACAATATTTATTGATTTATTAATATTTCAGTTGGATAATAACGACATGTTTGAATTATTCGAAATTGGAAAATCTCCAGAGCCTATGATAACTGCGTTGAGAAACGGTATAGTAGCTGTCCAAAAAGATGATATGACTGTATTTTTAAATTCTGATGGCAAACCGGCAAGAAGTTTCACGATAACATGGAGTGATACACCAGCCAATATAAGTAAGTTAAGGCCGAAATTAAGATTGCTTGAATTGAAAATTACCAACTGAAATGATGATCATCATCGATTACAAACTTGTACCATTTGCTGTTGCTTTAGCTTACACTGCGCCCTATATTATGGGAATATTATCAAGGTGTGTACTGATTTTTGACACATTTTTTTCCCCCATGGTATTGCTGTTTTATTGAAAGCTTTCACTGTCATCCTTGTAGGTATTTAGAAATTCGACTTGTTGATCCTCCAACATTGGTGCAAAGTATCGAATTCGACAAAGCCAAATTGATAACTTGCGACAAGTAAGATATCCAAAAATAGTAATCTAAGATTGTTTATGCTGTACACAGTTGTTGTTGAGAATATATTAAATTATACTCGTACTACATCATTTTCTTGTTAGATACTGCTATTTAGCTTCACAAAGTTGTGTATGGCGTGTACAACCAGTACGACTAGTTGATCAATTGGAAACTTTAATCAATGTAAAAGAATTCGAACTGGCATTAAATCTATTGGTAATGCTCTATTCATACTTTATAAAAAATGTCTGTTGATAATTCCGACTGATGTTTAATACAGTATGTACTTTTTTTAATTGTCAATTTCATTGTAGAATGTCAATTCCATAGATGGAGCGCAAAAAGAGCAACAAACACGTCGTATAAAAATCTTATTGGCTTTTGATTTGTTTGCAAAGCATTATTTCCAACGGGCCTTTAAATATTTTACTGAACTTAATTTAGGTATTGTTAAACACCCTTTCTGGATGAAAGAACAAGCTGAATATCTTTATATAAATTTCTTTCCTCACTTTGTGATCATTCTTTATGATTAGATGTTCGTATCATTATTGGATTATTTCCTGGTTTAATGGGGGAAGAACCGTTGACAAATTTCAAATATCCTATAGAAATTACACGTCTACCATCAACTGCTGAACAGAATGGATTAACATTCTTAGCAGAGTATCTTACTGATGCTAGAAATAACTATATCAAAGAAAAGAAAAATAGTAACCCAAACGATATCGAAGAAGGTTATAATGCTATCTTTTGACGTTTTATTCCATATCTTATTACAAATGTGTAATAACGTCATGCTGATATCAATTAATTATTATCATCACTTAATTTATATACAGGGAAGAAACGAGATAGTTTATTGCAAGTTATTGATACAACTTTGTTAAAATGCTATATAAAGGTATCGTAAATTATTTTATAGACGTATGCCTTTGCCGTATTATCGTGGAAATTACTGACATAATTTAACTTGCATGTTTCCCTTCTTAGACTGGCAATGGTGTAGTAAAATCTCTCTTACGCCTTAAAGATAACAATTGTCATATAGATACAAGTGTTAAAGTCCTAAAAGAAACGAACAGTTTGGAAGAACTTGTTATACTTTATGAAAGTAAAGGGCTACATGAACGAGGTATGGATTCCTTTCGTTTTAGCTTTGTTCTTATGCTACCTAATTTAATTGCAACTTTTAATAAACAACAAGATGGCATGCTTCTAAATTTTAAATTAAGCAACGTTCTTTACTAATTGTGGTTAAATTGATAGTCGAATTTGTTGATATATTTTCATTTCAGCTCTAGAGTTACTAAAAAGTGAAGCCAAGAGAAGTGATTCTCCATTATCTGGATATGATAAAATTATTAGTTATTTGCAGAAGCTGGGTACTATAAATTGACTCATTTGCATTACACTCTAGATCCTGAAATTTATATTGTTCTGCATTGCAATAGGCTGTTATCATGCTTGAAATGTTTGTAATATTTTAATACATGTGATTATAGGTGAGCAAAATTTAAAGTTAATATTTAAGTTTTCTGCATGGGTATTAAAAACAAGTCCCGATAGTGGTCTAATGGTTCGTATTTGTTTCTCTCACTGGCAACGTATTGAATATGTTATGTTTAACTTATCACAGCAACTATATAATGTTGTTTATTTACTGTATGCTAAAATTTTGCAACACTCGCATCAATAATTCTAATTTCATGTTATAATACAGATATTTATTGATGAAAATACACCAGAAGTTGAAAGCCTCCCTCGTGGAAAAGTTTATAAGCACTTGCAAAATTATTGTCCGGAATTGTGTATTCCATATTTGGTACGTACAAGACATTACTATTTTCTACTAAATCGCCCATTATTTGTAATAATATCTAATAACCAGATCCATGTGGAGGTAATGTATCTTTTGTTGGTTTACTATAATGTTATCAAAAATTTCCAATATTCGTTATATAGGAACATATTATACATACATGGAAAGAAGAAGAAAGTGAATTCCATAACGATCTCATTAAGTTGTATCTTCAAGAAGTAGAAAACGAAACTGTAAAAAATTCCAATGGTATTGTATATAGTATTTCATCAATATCACATCGACAGACATCTTAACATTACAGAACTCAATTTGCTATTTCTGTCATAAAGAGTCAGAAAATGCTTCTGTTAGAGCAAGTAGACAGCGTCTGGTAATGTTTCTTAAGCAGTCCAACCATTATACGCCTCAAAGCTTAGTTACATTTTTTCCAACATCAAGTAAGGACTGCATAGTAATGTTTACAAATGTCGTTGAAAAATGTCAGAGATCAATAACATGTACGTTGTTGCTGCTAGGGTTATTTGAAGAGAGAGCATTATTGTTGGGACGTCTTGGTCGTCATGATCAAGCCTTAGCAATTTACGTTCATGTAGTAAAAGATGATAAAATGGCTGAAGAGTAAGCTTAATGATTAATTATATTTAATGTTTATTTTATTGTCGGTAGTAAACAATTCAGACAATGATACTTTTGCTTTAATGTTTTTGCTGTCCAATCACATAGGTACTGTTGGAGACATTATAATAGTGAAGGTAGTGGACATAATGAGGTAAGTGTAATTAGACGCAGTGAATTAAACTATGAAATTTTTGCCTGTAAACTGAGTTATTGGCTGATGCTAAAACTATTCTTAGGTCTACCACCACTTCCTTAGAATGTACCTCTCTCCGCCTGATCCGAAAGGATTAGGCATCAAAGTGGATATACCTAAACTTGAACCAAATGTTAAAAGAGCTTTAGAAATACTAGAAAAATATTACGATCGTATTAACACAGCGGAGGTATCAAACATTAAGGAGTGCGAATTGTCATCTAGGTAATAACTGTACAATTTTCTATAACGCAGGCATTAGTCCTTCTGCCTCCTACTATGAAAGTGAACGAGATTGCCTCCTTCCTTATGAATGTGGTTGAAGATCGAACCTCACGACGTCGTAATGGTCTCATATTAAAGAGTCTGCTGTATTCGCAACGTCTGCAAGTATGTCATATGACAGTACAGCACTCGTCGTTGCATGCTGATAAATCATAATCTAGTAATTTGAAACGTTTACATCTGTCTGTCACGTAGGTTCAAGAGTTACGAATGCAGTACAGGAAAAACTCTTCAAACATATCGGAAGATAAGTCATGTCGTGTTTGTGGTCAAAGGATCGGTGTCAGGTAGAGCGCTTTACTGAACTCGTATTGTAGTCTATAATTATTTCTCGACGTCTACCCTTTTTTTATGCTTTCCTATCTGATTATCGTTTGTCCTGTACGTTTTATTTATTAGTGCATTTGCCCGTTACCCTAATGGAGTTGTTGTTCATTATGGATGTTGTACGGATCTTAAAGTATGTCCTTGAACTTAACAAGCCTCATCAATCAACGCTATGTTATATTTTCTGAGATGAAATATTTTTTATATTTTGGAAGATAAAAATTTTATAACTATTGTATAATATATGATTTCACTCAATATAATACATTGTGCTACGCACTATACTATACAAGTAGTGATATTCCAAATATCGATTATTGTACGACACTGTCTTAAAGTTTATCTGAAATGTGCAACTGATTTATTTTATTAGCGAACTTAGTGTAATTAATTTGTAGAGAAGAAATTATTAGACAATTGCGTATATTTTAACGTTTAATATAAACCTTGTCATTTTGGCTTGGATAGACTAATTAATCTGTCACTCCAACCTGAAATAAGAATGTAGGCCTGTATAGCATACCAAAAATGTAATCACTTTGGTATTTTCTCGACGTACCTAATATTTTTGATTGAGAAGCGTGAATATGGTAGCTTTTCTCTGTAATGTTATAAAAGCCAATGTACAGCAGAGAATTAATAATCAAACTGCAATTGATCAGGGAATGGTTTTAATTTTATTTAATATCAATCTCACGGAATGATTATTCCAATTCTGGTTATACGATATCACTCGTGTTTTGTAGAGCATGCAATTCTATCGTGCATGGTGTAAAATAAAATACAAGGTGTTCAGTTTCGACCCGGAATTGCTAGAAACATTGAAAGTTTTTTCGTTTACTATTAATTGAACGTGATATTACTTGTTAGGCTTAGAATAAAATTTTAAGTATGGTATTTATTTTAATCAATTAAACTATTCATTATTATTAAATTTATAGTTAAATATCATGGTGTATTTAGAAGTACTTGTACCAAGGATAGTGATGCATTACTAAAATTTCCTGTAGCTAACTAATATAAGAGTACTTAGGTATCGTATTCTATATGAATAATGAAATGGATATAAGAATTTTTTAATAATTACGTCCGCAACAGTGACACTAGTATATATATATATTATCACTATTTTCTCATGCCGTACAAAGAGTATTACAATACACTCGTAGAAGAGATGGTTGCTGTTTCTTGCAGTTAAAGTCGGAAAATAAATAGATTACGAATAGAAAATTGTAACAGCTAAAGGTAAGCGCTAGCAATCTCTGTTGTCACGTTATTTTGTTACGCTAAGATAAAGGTAGCTTTGAATTACTTACTATCTATGATCCTATATAATTGTAGTTTAATGCTACACACGTACTACCGAATAAGAAGCGACTCAAAATCATAAGGAGAGCTTACCTAAATCTTGATGCATACTTAAAAAATATTATGTTCTATAATCTTTCTTCATCTACCCATTGATGTATTTTAACATAGATAATGCAAAAGAATACTAAATTTAATGTAAAGTTATAGTTTTGACGGCCAATGATTTTCTGTAAAGAAATAATGAAATGGTGTTCTTAACCGTAAATTTAGAGAAGCAGATTCTGTATAAAATTTGCTAATATTAGCCTTCTTATACAGAAATACTGATATAAATGTTTCCGAAATATTTTCGGTATATTTATCGCTTTATTTCATTCCAACACCAAACCAATTACGCATGGCGATGAAACTATTAGTAGATACGTACGACAATATAACTGCTTAATTTATTGAGAAATTCGCAGGATACAAGCATAGCAGAGTGAATTATTTAAAAGAAACAAGTAAAATTATACCTAGCACCTCTAGCGGTGACAATCGTTAACTACTATTATGCTTTGTAGTTTAAGCTTTAGATCATTTTGTTGTTAATGATATTACGCTTTCGGTTCAGCTACCCTAAAGATCTCAATCAAGCTGTAGCATTTTGCGTAACACATAACATCTATGTCTAATTAATAGCTACAGCATTCTATTCTCTTTTTCTTCTTCCTCTGTAGAATTCCTTTTTGTATCATCATGTTTATAATATCGCCAACTAATAAAGAAACAAATAGCGCCTAAAAACTTGATAACCGCAATTGTTCCCACAACATGGTAAGAGATAGACCTGCTATCATATACCCAACAAGTTGATGACCCATCACAATCCTTTGTCCACAAAGTACATGAGCGATCAATAAATGCACCAACAATAATTGGACCAGGTATACTAGCTATTAATCTTAAAAACACCCAATTAAAACCCATTGCATATGCTCGCTGACTTTCTGGTACACTCCTGTATTGCATGGTTGAAAATGAATCTGAGTGAGTTATTAGTGATGATAGAAAAAATTATAACGATTCCCTTCGTTTTATTGCTAAAAGTTCTAGATTGATTTCCAAAAAATGTTAATAAATATGTAATATTGCTAGTTGTTATTCTAAAATTGTATACAAATTAATAATGTATTACATTAAGAGGGTAGGGTACTAAGTGCAGCTTCGATTCTGTATCTTTGGTTATTAGACTCAATTATGTTATTTTTAAACGCGATAAACATCTATATTTTTTTAGGTATATAGTTGTAAATACTTATAGTAAGTATTTAAGATAATTGTATTACCTTAGCATTGCCTCTGTTGATGGTACGATTTTACTGGCAGCAGCTGCGATTGATATAGTCAAACCAATGGCGAATGGTGTTAAATATGGACACGGTTCAGTGCATGCTCCACTTACAGCATCGAATCGTACCGTTGTTTGATTGACATTTTTAATACAGCTACAATTTGCATAGCTCTATATTATTATAATCAATAATAACGTTTTAGTCCTTGACAATAGCTGTATATGGTTTTACATTGCTCTATATCACTTATAAGCAAGTAATACTAATCATACAACTATATTTCTTTTAGGCGCATGTTAATACTTTTTACTCCTTGCGTTATACAAATTTAATTTAAGTTATTCAATGCTATCAATTTACCTAACTGAGCATGTAGTTACTTAATTTAATCTACATAGCTCTATAAATTATAATTAAGGATAATGTTTTATCTCTTAATAATAATTTTATACAGTTTTACATTGCTCTATGCCACTTACATGCATGTAACGCTAATTACACAACTGTATTTCTTTTCGGTGCATGCATGTTTATATTTTTTATTCCTCGTATTATACAAATTTAGTTTAAATTATTAAATGCTATAGATCTAGCTAATTGAGCTTATAGGTACTTTATCTACTATTCAAATTAACAGCTGATTGCTGCAACACTACTTAGGATGCTGAGTTTTAATTAAAATGTAGCAAGATTTTAAATCAACGAATGTGTTAATTACCGGATGTTTTCTATCAACTTTTATTAAAAAATGTACCAACAAAAAATAGAAATATTTCCTAGTAGTAGATGTATAGAACTTACGGTGGTTAAATATGTGGGATTATAGATGCCACTAGTACAACCGGCATGGCATGGCGAAAAGTAGGTTACTCTATCCACACCACATATAGGATTGAATTTGACGCCTTTACACATGCAATCATTATTACATGTAGCAGCTAGTATGGGTTTACCGAATCTAATTACATATATTGTGCATTAAAATCAAATGTTATGATCAAATATGAACAAATGAAAATAACAGTAATTCCACACAGTAAATGCATTAAAGTATATTGTATTTATTTCAGACACAGTAGACTATGAAAACCTAATGTACGCGATCTTACATTAAGTGTACTCTCAATACTTGATTGTAGCAAATGTTAAAAGTAGGTGCGCTGATATCATTTTAACTGGCGAATTGGCTAGATTATCAATATATTCCATTATTGGATAGTAGCACTTGACAGCAGGTTGTATATTTTTAGCTATATTGTATTTACTTCAGACATGGTAGACTTATAAAAACCTGCTGTATGCAATCTTAAGTAAAGTCTCAATAGTTTGTTATAGTAAATACTAAAAGCAGGTGCGCTGATGTCATTTAACTGCGGAATTAGTTGTATCACCAAGACCTTCAGATAGTGTATTGGATGATAGCACTCAACTTAGTTGGCTATAGACCATTTTTTGTTAGCTATATTATATTTATTTCAGATACGTGATTATAGCAAATACTGGGCATTAAAAGCGGGTGCGCTGATGTCATTTTTAACTAAAGAATTGTCAAAATATCAAGATATTCCAGTATTGGATGGCAGCATTTGATTATAGACTGTAATATAAACAAAGCCTTACATGTAACTGATATTCATAAATTATCAGGTAAACGCCTAGGAAAGCAAGTAGATTTATCTAGTTTAAATATAAATTTCTTATTGCTACTACGAGCTGGATCTTACTAATATCTTAACACGATACGCTTGCAAAACTTTAATAATTCATAAATTTTGGTATGTAGCATGATTCATTTTTATACTAATTTATCACACCGAATAATAAAAAATCTTACTCTGGTATAGATGATGTCGGTGTTAAAGGATAAGCACTGTTAACACCAGCAAATGGAAGATTTTCACAGCTAAACAATAACCAAAATGCCGCAAGAACATCAATGATACTTAAAATCATGGTTAAGAAAGTAGCTTTCGATCCGTTCATATTAAATACTCTCATGAGAATACCGCCCTAGAATTTCAAATCAACAGATGGAATCATACGGATTGCATTCATATTATGATATATAATAGAACATAAATTCAAAATTGAATCCAGTAACATTCATTATCCTATTAAGTACGTATCTAGAAATTTTTAAAAATAGCCACTACCCGATCTTAAACAATATGATGGATTTCTATTCACTGCTTATTCTATTGATTTATAACTTCAGTACTCTGCATTTTAATATCCCTTACCAATAACATTCCTGTTGCACCACCACCTAACCCAATATAGCCTAGAATCGAACTAGCCTCATATGCTGGCAAACGAAATTGTGCCTCAAGAATTTTAACGAAAAATAATCCAATTCCGGAAACTACTATATATTCAAATATTAAACCAGCTACCAGCAACATATACGGCACATTAGTGATTAATTCTTTCGTTGCTTTAGGGATCTCCTTAATGCTGTGACCATATTCGTTATCAACTTTAGCTGTTTCTGCAGCTTCTTCTAGACGTAGCCTTTTAAATTTCTTATATCCAGGTAAAAATCGTGGAAATCCAAATAGCGGTATTGAAATAAGAATAAGGCCACCACCAGCGATCAGAAATAATATCCACCAGGCTCCAATCCACCGTGCATCGAATATAGTAATACCTTAGATGTGTATACCAAAAATTGAATGGCATCATGTTACTAAACTATGTTGGAAATATGTTTATGCTTATGATGTCTATGATGTAATGCCTATGTTGGCAATATATTAATTATTAGTAAAGAATAGCCAATCGTTCAAGACAGTTCAAGATCAGCTATGAATTAAATGATACACTATTGCTCTTCTGCTGTATTAAGTCTAGTCTATGCTATTACAAATATTTTTATGTGATATTTAATCATTCTAAAATTTGAACTGCCTATAAATTTTCGACATTGCTAAGTTTATAATTGATTTTACCTTCTGGTGGAGATTTTGGTGTGTTTATATAGATTGTTAAAATATTTCCTCCAGCGATATAACCGATTGATGGACCAAGTGTTGATACCGTCATCATCGCTGCGATATACATGGCAGATGATTTTGGGTGGACATTTTCGCTGACATAGGCGCATCCAATGTTCCACAATAAGTTATTACCGGCTCCCATAATTAATTGACCCAGTATAAATACGAAAAAGAAATTTCGAACATAGGCATTACTACCTACTGATTCTGCTGCGCATACTTCAGCTGCAAAAGATGCCGATTTAGCTACACATAAGTCAGTATAATTTGAAGCTGTACTGATAGGCTGATATTCGCCAGCAAAGAAATGAGGTAAGGAATAGACGATAGCGCCAATTCCGGTAGCTAATGCACCAGCACTTAAAAATCGACCCTTATGTCTTTGACCAGCATAATAACTTGCAATGAAACCAGTTACAGCGGCAGAAATTTCTTCACCTGCTGGTAAGCCGCCGACTTCTGCACTTCTTAGATGAAATCGCTTTTCGATAGAACTAACAGTAACACCTACAAATGCTGATATCATCATTCCGGAAACAAATACTTGCAAACAGACGATAAGAATTAGGCACCACCGATGATTTAAGAATTGTAAGCATTTAGGACGGAATGGGCCATAGCCAAAGTAAGATTCTTCTGGCTCGTTATCATCCGCAGTTTGCACATTGCTTATGGGTTTCTCTTTATCTTCGATACTCATTTTGAAAATTTGCAATATCGAAATAGGCCTTTACATGAATAAGAATTGAATCGTAAACATCATTTAATTTGTAGATATTTATTCCCCTATTTTCCAATTCCATGTAAAGTTAGCTCAGTGGCTGAAGTTGATGTCAACATGTAATGTCCAGATATTGTATGTGAAATTGAATTTAGTTACTCTTAATAATTGTTGATCAATCAATACATTCGGAGAGATACATTTAATAGCGATTGTGATTTCCATACATAAGTATTTATGATATTATTTAACTACAATTTTTATACTAATGTGGGTATCTTGATTGACTGGAAGATATATCTAGTGGTTATTAGCGATTGAGACCTCTATACAAAAATATTTACAATCTTGTTTAACTGAAATTTTTATGTTAATGTGGACATTTCGATCGACTCGAAGAGTGTGGACTAGAAAATATCCTTAAGCGATAAATAGCCGTTGATATGTCGGCAATGTATGTATTTGGATCAATCATCTTTAAAGTCTATCATGTCGAGAACTAGTAAACTAAGGTATATGGTCACTTTTCACCTTGACTCTTGCTCAGTTGTACGTCGATGGTAAATCAACAAACCGTGAAGATAATTTCTGCGATGATTTTTAAATCTTCCAGGACTAGAGCTGTAGGTTAGTAAAAATTACTCAGCGCATTAATTTCAGTCGCTACAATAAATCAAGCATTGATCGTAATACGCTGGCATTGCTTTTAAATTTGCCATCATAGCATAGTTTATATTATTTAAATGATTTAGAAATAAACTATTTCATTTTAAGATATAATATAATGTCAAAATTGATCATGGCAAGATAACAAGCAGTTAAAAGACTAATTGTCAACTCCAGATTTACGATGACCCTTGCAAACTATCGCTAAACAGCTAAGCCTTCAAATATGTACAGCTATTCTATTTGGAAACGTATTAAAATTCTCGTCGAATTGGTTAGTTTTTCAAGCTGGCAATATAGCTAACTATTTTCTAAGATAAATTCAATATCAAAATTGATCATGAACACGCAAGACAACACGCAGCTAAAAGGCTATTTATTTATCAGCTCCAGAACTACGAAGGTCCTTGTAAACTACGGCGAGATAGTCAAACCTTAAAATATATACGGCTATTCTATTTTGAGTACGTATTAAATTCAAACCAAATTTGCCTGATTTGTCGAGTTAGCAATATTGCATATTATTTAAGAAAATTACCTAGATGGTTACAAGAGACGGTAATCTTGATATTGACCAAACTAACTTGATAACCCAAAATATTCTTTTAGGCTTCCGATCTCAACGATGTAACAACCAAACAATATTCTAATTTAGAAAAAGGCAATGATTTATATTAAAATTTTTTAAAGCTTTCTCAGATTAATCACGTGGCATTTTCGACAACTCATAAAAAAATAAGCTATTCAGTAATCAATAATTGAAAATTTACACGAAGAGATCACGATGTAAGCATAGCTACCCAATAACAATTAATATTTACCGTACCTGCAGGTGATTTTTTATGTAAATCAGAATTTTTATCTACGCTCTAGCCTATCCATTTGTAAATAATCAATTACATTTATGAGATAATACTTTATAGCTATGTTAGAATGTAATTAACTGAATAAAACTTCATTTAATTAATTAGCTTTCTCTCACGTAGTTCCATTTATTATTACTAAAATACAGAATAGTAATGCGGGAGGAGTCTAAAGTGGGTAGAAAACTTTCCGATCTGACGATAAAAGTGAAAAGATTTTTACCTGTTAAAGCTCGAAAAAATGATTACAAACTTAATTGGCTTATTATAATACTAATCAGGTGAAAAATAAACTAATTAGAAAATAGCTAAATTAAATTCTTTACTGCTGATCTATTAACTTTAATCTATTCCCTACAACACAATACGGTAACTTATAGTAGCGTAGTAGGAATCTTAAGCGCGTAGATGGCTTTCTGATCTGATGATAAAGTGAAAAATTAGTACGAACTTCATTGGCTTACTATAATGCCAATCAGGCTAAAAATAAATCATTAAAAAAAGATTAAATTGAATTCTCTACTGCTGATCAATTAACTTTAATCTTATTTTCTACAATACAATAACTCTAATTATACCTGTTGATAGAGTTGAGAAGTTTAATAAATGATATTCAAGTTTAGCTCTTTGCAAAGTGAAATTTAAGCAAATATTTCAGACATGCGTGTTTATCCTAATAACATGATCGTCTAATATATCTTGTCAGCATTTTTATTTAATATTACATAGTATAAAGTAATCTATCATATACTATGGTAATTTCTTCAAGGGTAATATTAACCTCGCTCCTAGCTCTATATACTGCACAATCGTATAGTGGCTATCAAGACAGACTATCAAATATAGTAATTGTACTAAATGATATTGATTTGCTCAAGATTAATATTAATTTTATTTCCAGTTCTAAATACAGTCTATTAATAGCTATCAAGACAGACTATTAAATAAAGTAATTGTACTAAATTACATTATTTATCCTGACAAATAACTTTAAAGTTGAGTTATGGCGTGATCAAATAATGATAACTGCACTCTAATTTTTTACTCATAAGGAATACATCTTGTAGTTGACATGTAATTTAATATCGTATAAAGTAAAAGATGGTTTACTCTAAGACGCTTAAATACTATTTTCCTATTCTCTGTATTTCAATATTATGGACTCTTGCAGATCCATTTGAAATCCTTTGGCAACCACCAAGATAAACTGCTGGTGCAGATATGCTGTCAAAAATATTTATCTTTGTAAAGTTATATTGCAAACAATGCTGCTTTAATAAACACTACCTTGATACATTTTTTAAATCATTTACTATATTATATTTAACAATATCATATTCCTTATAAAATGTCATTTTTGTCAATTTGATCTTATTTGACCGATGAAACATAAAATTATAAATACAGGATTAATATAAATATAAAAAAATTGTAGACTTGTTTACTCAACAGATGCTGAGAATCGTTACGAATAGCCTAGCAGGCGATGCACCCATTCTGTTTGCTACTCTGTAGGATAACTACATCAATAAGATTGTTGATTTGATTTCTTGTTCCGATTATGTACTCTTACAAGCATGATGGAGTTATTCCTAAGGAACTCATATTACAGAAGCATATTTGGTAATTTTTATTAATCGAAATAAACGAAATAACTTTTATTTTCTAAGTATGTAGATATATATAGAGAGAAGCATATACTTCTATCGCTAAATATATTTACATATATACAAGCACGGTACTATCTACTCTATTTCTACAGTAAGCCGGTATATTAAGGCATAAATTAATTCAGCGATTTTCAAGACAATGCTTATTTTCTCTCATTTTTATCAGCAAAATATTTTGCATGGTATGGAGATAATTACAGTAGCTTGTACAATATGTAAATATTGTAAATACTGCTTGATTAATCATGTATGGTCAGGAATGAAATAAATTATGCCATTGATACTAAAAATTAGATTATATTTAATATTGCTGCGCCTAGAATTAAATCTATCGGTTAGAATAGGGATATGCAATCCGTGGATAGTAATCATGTTAGTAACATATTAATTAATAGGGTTGAATACTTTTACTCCGGTCCTAAACTGCTATGTAATACATATGTCAGTACATTGAAACTATAGTGTTAGGGATTAAATGAAAATATTATTAGATATTTACAGAACAACACTCTGGTACAATTGGTATAAGAACGGTACTATGGAACTATAACTCAAGCAAATTAAAGATTTGGATATCCAGCCGGGATAGTAGAAGCTATTAAAATGTCCTTAATGTCAACGATAATCGATAGAAATGCTCATGAAGTATAATTAGCAATATTTATTATATATATAGTTTTATAGCTACACCATCTTAATATATAATGGCCTCATTCAGTACTAAAGTATATATATCAAAATGAATATTCTTATTCTCTCTATTGATTAAGATTAGGAAATTGCATAAAGAAATGATTGAAGTAAATAATATGGTAGGATATTAAAATGACTAAAATATTTATAATACTCTGTAACTGATGTATCAAAACCGATCTTAATTCACCGTCAACATTCTTGCTGTACTAACACCTACTACTATCTAGCTTAAGATTGGACGTAATTGATATGCTGGTTATAGAAATGGAGATTCAACTACTTTTACTTGACGAATTTTCTAATATTTCTTCATCGCCTGCTACTTTCTTATACTCGTTTTATAAATGATGAAGAAGCCTATCAAGCGGTGTTGGTACTGGAATAAGACTTACAACATCGATAGGAATAAATGATTATCTTCCGATCTGTTATTAAGGTGAAGAAAGGACTTCAAAATATCTAAAGACACTTTGCACTATGGATTGATGGATAAATATGCCAACATCATTATTTCTGCCTGCAACAGTTCCTATACTTATTGTTCAACTTTAAAAAATCTCAACCGATTCCTGAGCTCCTAAGTAAATAATTTTATATTGTCAAGATTGGAGCATAAAGGCTAGTAAAGTAATAAATTTCCACTAGCTATCGTATGAAGGTAAGGTTAATTTTGATGCATTCTATTTCTATTACAGTAATTTACTCGCTTCCTATTAGAAATACAGTATTAAGACTAACATAATTATACGATAGCAATATCATTTATCGCAACATATAATTATTTGTATAAAATTCGATAGAAGCTACGATATTTTGCCTTCGGTGAAAATTTTCCACCGCGGAAGGATGGAAAACACTGTGAATGTTTGTTTTTGTTATAAATTTTATTCCATGATTGATAAATTCATGCTTATTATGTGATTAATATAGAAAAGTTTCGGTCAACTATAACATAGAAAGCTACTGAATTGGTTGAAGATACGGATAAAGCTAGCTATGGTAATGGGTACAGATTGACTGCTATCCTTAATGGATATAAAGTTTCTATCTGATCAACTGTGGATAAATTGGCATTAGTACGTTA